CAACAGCAACAGCAACAGCAACAGCAACAGCAACAGCAACAGCAACAGCAACAGCAACAGCAACAGCAACAGCAACAACGACACCAAGATCATTTACACCGTCCGCCACGGCAACACGCCGCACAACGACGACTCCAACGCCTGGGGCCGCCCCGTCGCCTGGCGGTACCTATCCCAGCTGCGCAAGAACTTCGACCCGCATCTCACGCCCGAGGGCGCCCACGATGCCCGCGCGGCCGGCGAGATGCTGCTGCAGGAGATGATGATGACGATGGGCAGCGGCTGCTCCGAGGAGGAGGAGGCTGCCGCCGCGCCGCGGCCCGTGACGGTCTACTCGTCGCCGCTGCGCCGCTGCGTCGAGACGGCCATGTACATGATCAAGCACGCCGGGCTGGACCGGCCGGGTGGTGGTGGTGCTGGCGGGTGCGGCGGGCCCGTGACGCTACGCGTCAAGGAGGGCCTGCGCGAGTGGATGGGGTATCGCCACGGGCACCAGTCGGACCGGCGGGGCAGCAGGGAGAGCATACGGGCGCTGGTCGAGCAGCTCAAGGCGGGCCTGGGCGTGGAGGTCCAGTATACTCTGGACGTGCCGGAGCAGGACCCGTTCCACGATGAGGTGTACGTCGACGTGGACCGGCGCGTGCGCGGCGTGCTGGACGACATTTTCAGCGATGAGGGGGTTCCCTCGGGGGCTTGCGTCATGCTCGTGCTGCACAACCGCTGCAACAAGTCGCTGCTGCGCGTGCTGGGCCACGCGCCTGCGAGCGTCGAGGACTTCGAGGTTGCCAACTGTGCCATGCTCTCGTACCGCGTCTCGAGGCGCCAGCTCGACGGCCAAGAGGTCGGGGCAAGGGTCGCGTACGAGGACGTGCAGTGGCGGGAGGACCAGAAGCAGTCAGAGAGCAACAGGAGGGGGCGGCTCCGGCATGCTGTCGAGGACGTCAGGGCCTGGAACGATGATGAAAGCTCGAAGCACTGGGTGGACGACTTGCGGAAACTCTTGCAATATCACGCAGAGCAGAGGAATGATCCAGCGGCGAGCGAGGCCCTGGAGAGTTTGGAAAACGATCTGATTTTATTACCAAATTGAGGGCGAAAATCGCCACCCAGCAGTCATACAATCGATTATTTCAGAAACAAAGGGGTTCATTGGGCGGGGACTTGGCAAATGTAAAGGAATGCATGTTCAGGAGCGAAACATAGATTTAGACAGGGAAGACAAGGCTTGCAGCCTGTGAGAGTCGGGGAGCAATGGAGTAAAGCAACAACTCACAGCGTAACTAAGAGGAGTACAAGGGTTGACTTGACTTAAGCCCTTACCGGATTGAATTGGGCGATGATATAATTTGTGTTCGTCCTGAGACAGAAAAGCAATTCAAAACACTCAACGGGACAATAAAAAGGAACCCTTGCGGATTTGGGTTGTCCAATTCTGCGAGCATTCTTACTAATGTTGAACCAAATCACCCGTGATTCACAAGATGGTTGAAACTTTCACGGAATCGACTGTTATCGCAAGCTCGAGACAAAACAGTTTTTGGACCACTAGGCCAAGCTCCGTTACGAGGAGGTTTCATTGCGAAGAGGAAGAGAGGAGATCCGGTAGCTGTTCTACCTGAATCACAAGAAACCAGCACTACTCGGTTGAAAGAAAGGTAAGAACGCAAAACATCGCCATTACCTCAAACCAGGACGGCCTGAACAGAAACTGATGAGCTATGAAACGCAGCGCTGCTAGTCAGCAATATTTTCTCAATGGCATCAAAGTCACGACTTCAGCCCCATTTGCAAGCAAGATTCCCCATTCAGCGCCAGCATTTGACGAAATGCCGACCTTTTTACAGACAATGTTATGGATCAACGCGAGCCCGAACCCCTAATTTCCACAAAAAAACCCTGGCTCAAGACTTCAAAGCTGATTGAGTCAAAAGTGATCAAACTTCGTCAATACTCCCATCGCTGCGCATTTGCTTCCTTCAGGTCTTGCAGGCGTCGGCGTGCCCGCAATTCGCTTTCCATCGCTCCGACTAGATGAACTCCACAAGGTCCCGGAAATCATCGGTGAAATCTGGCTCAAACCCCTCCCATTCTGGATCTCCTTGCTGTGGTTTCTCGGATCGACTGTAATTCTTGGGGAAATAGTCGATCTCCCCCGTCCCATGCGGGTTCCCCACATTGGGGCACGGTGGGATGACACTGCATTCGCCAAAAGCATCCTTAGGCGGAGGCAGCATATACTTGTCCGAGAAAATATACGTCTGTTCTTGAGAATCTTTCCCTTCCACTTCGATGATACTCTCTTGCTGAACAAGGGCATCGTGAATGGAGGAAGTTGTGTGTGGCGTAGGCAGCGCGTACTTGTCTGAGAAAAGGCCGTCTTCTTCAGGGTACTGCGCACTTACGTCCTTGACGCCCTCTTGCTGGATGATAGTATCGAGATTGGTGGAAAATACATATGATGGAGGATTGTCGACTTCCTGAACCCTAGTTGCCATTCCACACTCGTCAGGTGAGAGAGAATGTTCATCGAAGTCAATGAAAGTGTATGACAAGGCTTTCCGGTGGCGCTCCACGTTGATTCGGGATTCGCTTTCGCGACGACCTTTGGCAGTCATCTGTCTAAGATACCTTGTCATCGTAGGCGGACTCGTCGATGATGACTCTCTCGAGGTGAGTCCATTCTCGTCACCCTCGAGGAATTGATTGTCCGCGATGTCTTCGAGCCTCCTTTTCGAAGCGCCCGTGGTGCGCACTTGGAAGCTTTGTTCACGAGACGGCTTCCCGTCACAGTCACTCGTATCCAAGCCCTCAACAACTGAGTCGCCTGAAAAGTTGTCGGTACTGTTGCTCCGAGCTTTCAGAAGTTCGGGATGCAGTGGACTCGTCTTTTTGCCAGCGACAACGCTATCATTGGGAATGCGCGTATCTCCAAATGGGGGGCCTATGTTGTGCTGCAATGCATCGTCAGAGAGACCCTCAAAAATTCCAGCCTCATTTTCAGCCAACTCCTTCTTGCTCGTGAAGCTTTTTGGTTTGTACTGGCTGCGATGCGAGTTATGAGGAGCGTCCACATGAGCGCCTTCGAACTGAGTCAGATCAATCAAGCCATCCCCATCCAAGTCGAAGTCGTCAAGGTCAATCAACCTGTGGTCTTGTCTGTTTGCAGTGGCACAACTCAAAGTACCCATTGATGAATCTTGCTTTTGACTTGACGTTTGGGCCTCTGGCATCTGTGAAAGAGCCGTCTTGGTTCTTTTGGTGGGCGGGTCTGAGGTCGGCCACGATCTTGAATCAGCAACAACAACCTCCTCAGTATCTGCCTTCCTCTTCAAACTCAGGCGCTTCGGCTTTCTGGGCTTATCAAGGCCTTCACGGCAGCACCTATGGGCGCAAGCTTTGCCGCTGCTGATCTTGAACCCGGCATCAGCGCAGTGATGATTGCATTTAAACTTGCCGTTGGGAAGTTGAACGGGTTGCCACGGGATGTCCTCCTTTTCGCTTTCTTGAGAAGGTCTAAGGTTTTCCTCTTGTGTTGAAAGCTTGTTGTCGGCGCGGAAACTCCCGTCACGATCCATCAAAGACCACTGTGAGTCGACGTCTGACACTGCGAGGCGCTCCTCGCCATCACTCTGTCTCTCTTTGGTGACCTCCAATAAGTCATTGTCACCAATATCATCGTCCATCCAAGAAGCTGCGGATTGATCAGGCGTCCTGAAGGGTTGTGGTGTAGCCTTCGGCTTAGGAAGGAAGGCAGACGCTGGCAGGCCGTGCTGGAGCTTTCTAGTGACAACGGTGCCGACAATGTCTTCGCATGCAAAGTAGCAGATGATTTCTTCAAAGAAATCACTGAGGTCTACTTCGAAGTGCAACGACATTTTATGATCGTTCTCCTTTTTGAACTTGTTGATCGAGCCCCTCCACCAATGCGCAAGCACACCTTCCGTGGTTTCGGCCATGAATGTGACAGAAGGGATTTTGCCACGCCATCTTAACTTGTCCAAAGTGTTTGAGAAGCCGAGGGTCACGTCAATACGAGCTATTGGTTGCATGCGCGAGTGACGAGTCTGAGGATTGTTCGTCACAATACGTGCTTCAATGGTTAGCCGCGGAAAGTGTGCCAACTCATCCATCATCTTTTTGCCGAATGGTGGATTTCGGCTCAGTATTCTTTCGATGTTGCTCGTGCCAGCCTTTGCCAAATCATGCACTGTTGTGATTCCGGAGGCAACCAACTTTCGCATGAATACTGGCCCGAGCTGGGGGATCTGCGTTAGTTGCATAGACTTCCCTTCCCAGGCTCTGGCTGCCATCGACCGTGCAAGCTCGAGAGCTGTTCGACATGTGACTCCATCCAAATCACTCGCCTTGCATTCGACAACCGCGCGTACGAGGCGGTGCATCTTCTCAAACAGAAGGCCCGTGTCCAATATCATCTGCCGTCGAACGACTTCAGGTACATCAGACAAGTCCACACATCCCAAGGCCGCTTGCAGCAGAAGAGAAACTCTGTGCGCCATCGTGTTGATGGCCTCTTTGATAGGGTAAACGATGAAAGGGTTCTTGTTCAGTTCGCGAAACACATCACGTTCGTGAGTTCTCCAGCGAAAGTCCTTGAATTCATCTGCTTCACACACAGCTGTCAACTGCTTTCGTTAGCCTCAATCGAGAACGGCTTAGCGGGAGAACTCACCACCTGCTCCATCTTCGCACCTTGAGGAATTTGTAAAATCCTTTGCATCGAGCTGAACCGTATTACGTATCTTGACATTGCACGGCCATAATCTGTGGAACGAAATGTTGGTTCTTCCGTGACAAGCCCTGCTTGCTGCAATTTGGAAATGTCTGTTTCACAGATTTCTTCAAGCCTGTCATCAAGCGGAGAGGTGAGAGAATTCGTTTCTGTCAGTTTGTAGTATATTGGGTTGCGGTCAAGTCGGACAGCAAGAAATGTTCCATTCAACCACTCCTTGGCCTTTTGGATATCCTGGAAGGTTCCCAAATTAATCTCTGAATTCAAATGCTCGATCAAGTTCTGGTGGAGCGTGCTTTCAAGGATCTGCTGTCCCGATCCCATGTCCTCGTAGTGTTGCTTGTTTCGTGCTCTTGTGAGAATTACAGCAACACCGCTGTTGCCGAATTGTGGCCTTCCAGCACGACCCAGCATCTGCATGATTTCCAAGTCGCTGAGCTCGGCGATTGAACTTTCTTGGTATGACGTGGTACCTTTGAGTACTACCATATGGCATGGTAGGTTCAATCCCATAGCGAGAGTCGAGGTGCAGCAAATGACACTGAGACGGCCATCCAGGAATGCCTGCTCGATAGCTCGTCTATCTTGCGCATCGAGACCAGCGTGATGAAATGCAACGCCATATCTCACGATCTCTTGGAGTTCAGGACTGATGACAGGGATGCGTTTCCCGGGCTCAGGCCACGGCCTTAATTGGGGCTGGCGCTCATTCCACTCCTCAGCCAATTTCTTTGCTGAGCTCTGGCAGCTCTTACGGGTCTGACAGAAGACCAGAATCGGCTTTTTCTGAGAATGTTTGGCGATGTGTGGATATAATTGATCGGTTAAAAAGGTATCGAATTGGTAATCATTTGTCTTCTTGTCGAAACCATACACAAACTTCTGCAGCTTCACGGGGCGAAATTCTTCTCCGAACGTTGCTCGGCGAGCTGGAAGTCCTGAACTGGTGTGGTCCCTACCGAGCCATCGTGCAACATCGTCTGAGTTCGGAACGGTTGCGCTGAGAGCGACGAAGCGTACGTTCGCGCCACGGGTCTTCATGCGGGACACCACAGCCTCGAGAGTTGATCCTCGTGGCTCTTTGAGAAGATGTACCTCATCGATGAGGAATAGTTCAACTAAGTCGAGGAGCTTGCGATGATCAGACCAGCTTCTGGTAATTGAATCCCATTTCTCTGGAGTTGTGATGATAATAGTGGCCTGACGGACGCGTCTCATTTCGGCATGCGAGGTATCTCCCGTCAGCTCTGCAACTTCTATGGCCAGCAATCCAAATTTCTGTCTCCAGTCATTGGCCCTTTCAGTGCAGAGAGCCTTCAGTGGGCATAGATAGACGATTTTATAGATTTCGTCGCCCTTCAGCTGCGCAAGCTTGCAAATCGAAAGCTCGAGAATCGCTGTCTTCCCACTGCCAGTTGGCGCTGAAACGACAAGATTGTCGTTTGTCTGATAGACGTCCTCGAAGCACTTCGATTGGACGGCATTGAAGAGATCGTAGGGAAAGATTTGCCGAAATCGGTCGGGGAGGACTTCCCGGGGGTTGATCAAGTTGATCCCATTGGCGATGGGAGGTGCGTGTGCAAGCTCTAAGGATCGTGAGTTTCGGGAGTTTGATGATGAAGCGGTTGAGACTCTCGACGATCCGGGGAGGGTTTGCCGGCGGAGGCTTGCTTTCGCAGCGGGACTCGACGATGAGCTCATCCCGACTGGGGAAGAAGAACTCTGCACAGTAAAATGCTTCGTTGCGTTGAGGGTAGCTACGGATCAAATAATCAGCATTCGAAAAATGAAGTTCACAGAAAATCAAGGTCACTTGCACTGAGGTTGAGGCGCAATTCGCTCCGTCGCTATTAGGGGATCTCGGGATAGGGATCTCTGTAGCCCCCAAGATAATTGTTTCGGAGCAGGGCACGACGCCAGTTGACCAAAGTGAGGCAACGCGTTTCTTTGCACTGGCTCATGGAGTTGCCACGGGGTAGGTTCTGAACCGTTCGCAGGAGAATAGAGTGCGCGGGTCGCTGGCCCCCTAATCTCTGGGTTTGAAAGACTCGAAGGCAGAGTGAGTCTCGACGACGACAGGGTTGGTGTAGTGGAGAATGCAGTTGAAGACAAAGATCTAGCTGGTGCACTCAAAGACTGCGACGTTCCTAAGAAAGGTGATGCAGCTGGCAGGCAGTAATCCGACGTCATGTACGGTGCTCGCATTTTTGCCGGCTCCTGACTTGCAAGAAGCTGACGATCTTTAGAATTGTTAACAACGCACGTCAGCTCCCCTCAATATCCTTTCAAGGAAGATCCATTAGCATCCATGACTTACCGAAATCGTCCAGAGCCAGTTCAGTCGGTTCTTGCAATGCTATTTCGTGCTGCCAACTGTTCGTGATGAGGTGGTGGTGACCATTCCTGGCAGGTGGAACTGTAGTAGGGGCGAGGGAAGCTGGGTGTTGAATCATCTCCCGACCATTTCTTGATGGAATGTTTGCTGGAATCTCTGACTGCGAACAATATGTTGTCTGCCGCTCTTGTTGTTGACCCTGTTGCGAAGCAGCAAGTTGCTTGAGCAGATTCTGGACGTCCGAGCCCAGTCCAGAGAGATCTTGTGCAGATATTCGCAAATTGACTCCATCTTGGCCATCACGGATGGTAGAATTCCCGATTTCCGACATTATGCTCAATTAATTGTTCCCTCAAAGCGTGATTAAACGCAGGCCCAACTGCAGAATGATGGTGGAAATGCTCTGACAGCAACTATGCCCAAGCCGCGAAGAGTGCCGGCAAGGCCAAGTGGAAGATCGATAACTTTCTGTGAAGTAAAATTCGACCCCGTCTTACACGCCGCTTCACACTTCGACTCGATCGCAGAGAGGAGATGGATTGCAAAGCTGGACGACGCCTTCGTGCCGCGATTGGAATGGTGTGGGAGGAAGACAAGTCCGCTGGTATTTGAAGTGGCTCTGAAGGAGAACAAAAGACCTCTTAGGTCACCACGAAGACCACGAAAGCTAAATTACTCTTGAAGAACAGTTGGTCGAGCTGCTAGTTCAAGCCATCAACCCTGGCGGAAGACATCAATGAAGAATCGGAAGGGACAGCGAGGTCGAGTAGACCTTGTATGGTTTCGTTATCAGTATCTTGATGAACGATCGGACGCTGGGATTGGAGGCTCGCTGTGCCGGGGAAGCGTATCTCGAGTACAGGACGGCCGGCTGGGAGACGAGAAGGTGACAGGTGTCCGCAGGGGCTATTATTGGAGTTGAGAAGCTTGACCCTGGAACAGGCAGCAAAAGGCTTATCGATGCTGCTTGAACCAGCTTCGGAAGGAGGCGAGGCGGGAAGGCGCTGTTGCGGTGCGGTCTCAAGGAAGGAACAACATCCACACGAGCCAACTCGGAGAACGTAAGCTCTTTACGGAGACAAAATTTAGACAGTCATGTGTGTGTGAAGTACTGCTCCGACTACCTTTGCTTGTGATGGCGGCACAAGTATGCTTTGTCTTAAGCCATGGTCGCGTAAATTGCACGATAGGCGAATGATGTCTTTGCAGCTCACACGACCAGCTGTCTTATTTGGCTTACACCTCGAGAACTCCCGAACCTCTCGTCCTTGAAAGCTCCGTCTTCTTTTTGCGACCTCAACATGTGAGATCTCGAGATCCCGTAGATCTCCACATGCCTATGCGTCGCATATAAAAAGCGCTGTAGAGTTCCACCATATTCACCGATCAAACATGTACTATGCGCGCACAAAATGTGATGGACACTTCCATGACCACAGGTACTGGAGCGATTTTCATCCACAGTGATAAAATCCGATCTTCTTTTTTGGTTTATATTTCAGGATAAGGTTGCTGGTCGTCCAGCGTGACGTGATATTCCCAGGAAAACCAGCAATTTCTTCCACCGTTCTTGTAGGCACCATCGTCTCGCATCTATCTGCAGTTCATTCTCTTTTGGAGTTTGTTTCTGAAGCTTGCTTCAAATTGGGTATCGTTTATCGTAACTCTTCCGCACTCGTTATGCCCATTCTACGGTGGTGTTCCGCCCAGGACCTGTATACAATCCTTCTGAAGGCGGAAACACCATGCACCTTTTCCCTTCTGCGTCTCGTTTTACTTCATCCACTCATGACCTTGAAAATGGCTCAACATGCAGCATTGATGCATCGTCATCTTGGTCTCGTCTGTTCAACTCTACTCGTCTCGCGCCTTGCCTCTAGCAGACGGGACCCTCGCATGGTGTCTCAATGGCGTCGATGGCCTGGAGGTCGACAGACCGAGGGATGTAGCGGAATCCATCGGATTGAGCAACTTGGTGTCCTCTGGAGATTGCAGTCTTGGCGTGGATGCGATGACTGTCTTCTCGTAGCTGACGATGCTGATGGGCGGCGGTCGACCGCGCTTCCTGTCGGGGCCACTGTACAGCCATGTCGAGAAGATGACCAAGGCGGTGCCAAAGACGAACTAGTTAATGTTAGAAATTTGTGCGGAGTGACCATTCTCGGCGCTTCCGATGGGGGCGGCTTCCAAAAGGACAGCTTACCATGACAGATACCTGGAAGCCGAAGAACCAGAGGCTAAATATGAAGCTGACAACAATGCTGATGCTTGTAGCAAAGTTCTTGGCAATGTTGTCCGCGTAGTTTATGCAGAGGCTCGTTAGCACGCCGCCAATCGCTTGGAAGACGATAGCTGTCCAAACGACGGAGTTGTAGCCCTCAAAGAACCCATGTTTGGCAATTTCCTCTCCATCCTTCATGATGACCCCGAAGAAGAGAGCAGGAAAGAGGCTGTAGAACGACAGCTGAATGTTTCGCGTCCATACAGAAACGGGCGAGTTCGACTCCTTGAGCACCTTTTCGAAATATACCCCCGTGAGGCCAGACAGGACGGCTGCAACGAGGACGGCGCTCACACCGAGAGAATAGTTCATCTTCGGCCCCACGTCGAGATCTTCTTCTATGCCCTCGTACGTGGCTGATCGCTTGTGTAGACTCGTTACGCCCTCGGTGAGCCCATCCACGGCTCTCTTCGTAAGGTGGCGCGCCACATCGACCGCTCCGCCTGCAGCTTGTCCGAGTTCGTGCATCGATCGCGGGAAGAAGTGGTCACTGTAGTCGTGGATGGATATCGAAGGTTCTTTCGGATCGGTGGGCAAGGACACAACAGCGACGCCGATTGTGAGGAGTACCACAGCTGTCCAGCGCTTGGCACTAAGAGGTCGGCCGAGGAGGAGAACGGTGAAGACGGCCGTCGTGAGAATCTAGGTTTTGTCAGCTCTTTGCGCTTGCGCAGCCATGTCTAGGCTTGCGACGCACCTTCAGCTGATACAGGACCTGGAAGTGCACTGGGTCCAGGTTCCCCAGAGCCACGTACTGCAGCGTGTTCTCGAAGGTGTACAATGTCGCGGGTATTGCCAGTTTCCACCCATCCCCGCTGAACACTGAGTGGTATATCTGCTCAAACAGTACGGTGGCAGGCGTCTGGGGCGCAAGGCTCCTTGAGACATCATAGAGGGCAAATGTGGCAGAAATGGCAAGCTTGATGACCTCGTTCAGGAACACTGCCGTGCTCGTGAAGTATCTGTGGTCTCCAGACGGTTGCATTATCCGACTGTAATGCATGATCTGTAGGAAGGCAACTAGTTAGCCAAAAGACCATGCGTACAGCCTCGTCGCTGGTTGCTGTCTGGCTCGGGAGACTATGGGGCGCGACGCACGAGGATAAGAGCTGAGTTTTGGAACGTCAACTGTGGAAAAGGACATCAGCATTTGTCTCAATGCATCCAAAGGAGCTTGCAGAAGTGCCGGCTCACGGTAATGAGTGATGCCTGCTTCATGGGCACTCCAAAGAGAGTTGGACCCCCCTTCATGGCGCCTTTGGCCTGGGGGGCATCGAGTAGAGCCATGATGGATCCAGGCAATGGTGGTCCCTCGATGGGTTTAGCAATGGTGGTGCTTCGAGTCCTGGTATGGTCACGCGAAACAATTTTCCTACGTCTTGTAACGAGAAGGCGTCTATGTTGCGAGGAAGGAAAGTGGTGGAGAGAAAGCTCAGTCCAAGAGATGTGCCCTGGTCTTGTGGGCCAGCAGGTGGGCAGGTCGACGTCAAGATCCGCGTGTGAAGGTGGGCAGCGCAGCGCAGCTCAAAGCGGCAAAAAAAAGAAGAGGGTCCCGTTGTTTGGCCCGACCCTTCGACCCCAGGTCCAGATTCCAGATTTGGAGCTGGCAACCGCAGGGTGAGCAGGGTAGAGAGGCCAGGCAGGGGCCAATGCGCCCTTACCCCTGATCCTACCCAAGGATTTTCGACCTCGGGATATTCACCCTTGGCTAGCGATCAGATGTGACTGCAAGCGAATATGACTTGTGATGGTGGATGGATCCTGAGGCCCAACTGAGAGTGTCTGCTCAACCTGAAACTTTCTTGGGAGACTGGATGATATTATCAAGGCGCTGATATTATGTACACGGTGAGTGAACCCAGGGGCAGACTGGTACAATTGAAGAGCCCAGATGAGGTCAGGAATGGAAGACTCCCAGAGGCGCTAAGAAGAAACACGTAGCACAGCTCAATGGGCTGGACCTTGACAAGCAAGCATCAATCAATAGGCCACCTGGACAGCCTGGGCTCACTAGCAGTGGGACTAGAACTGATCTGTCAAACATCACGTCAACGGGAGCAGCACCTGGGGAGCTGTCAGTGCTGATCGATGATGGTGTTGTGGGACAGAGAGGCTGGTGGTTCAGTCAATGAGCTGTCAGGGCTGTGCTGCCGGAGCTACCCAGCTATGGACCAAAAATCGTCCGACAGCCCGTCAGCCCAGCTTCCAAGTAAAATCGGGCAAGGTGTGCTGTATGGCAAGGTCAGGTGGCCAGGCAAGAACTGGTATGTCCCAATCAATCCAATTCTTCTGGGCTTCATTTCAATTCAGCTGGTGGATGTTTGCTTTTGGTGACTGCATGACGAAAGAGGCTGCAGGCCCCCAGGGGCACACTGCATTTGGGTGGGCTTTTCTGCACCCATGATCTCTGGTGGGGAGTTACTTCCTGTCCGGGGGCAGTATCTGACTGTAGTTGGAGATGAGGCAAAACTTGTTAGTACTGTACGCTAGTTCTATCGTGCATCCAGGATCGCTGGACCCCTCTACCCACCAGTTCAGCCCCAGCCGGGAGACCACTGCTAGACCACCAGGATCAGAGAGGATTCCCTATTTTTACATGGGCCGCTGCTTTCCACCACAACAGTCTTGGATGAGGTGAAGTGCTGACGCATGACTTCGATTGGTCTCTTTACACGTGTAGACGGTTCTTCTACCCATGGATTCTAACTCCACCAACGTGTAACCAACCCTGGGACAGCCCTGCCTGGCTCACCGCAACGTCTTCGATTTTTGCGGGCGGTTGTCGAACAGCGGGTAGTCTGGTAGTCCACCATGTAACCACCCTTTTCCCACCCCTCGGGTCCGCCTTAGCCTTGATCGGCATTTAGAGCACACCCTACGGAAGGTCATGCGAGCCTCATCATTGCCAGCATGCACGCCATTCGAAAGACTAGCATTCGCAGCGCGGTACACTACCGAGTAGTGGCCTTCAACCCCAGAGACAAAGGGGTCTAATAGACGCTGTGTCACGGCGCACCCCGTCACCCCTCCCACAACCATGAAGCCTGGGGGTTCGATCTCTTGCCAGATGGGCAGATTTTGGCTTCAGGCCAGGGACACTGGCCAATGTCACCTCTCTGCATCGGGGGACGGGGCCAGAGCTGGTTGGCCGTCGCTTCCGGCCCTGAAACCTGGCGAGCGCTCCCGTGACCGGGTCCGTCTCACCACTGTCGGGAGATCCACAGCATCCGAGAGGCGGCATCTACTCAACAGCTGGCCCACCAAACTTCTCGGCACGGCAGTTTACGGAGGACGGACTGTCCCGGCGATTGACGATGTCGGCGTCAAGATGCATCGAGCACGGCGCATATGTGATCACGGGAATGGTCTACTGGAAGCTGAACAATTCTATCACCTTTTCGAAGAGATTGATGAAGTGGATCAAGTGATCTTGGTTCGACGCACTCGACCGAAAATGCTCATTAGCTCGCTATAACACTCTGGGCACCCATTGCCCAGTCTCTCTGGCCTATTCGAGTCGACATTGCCAGCTTATGGTATCTCATCCTCTGTCCTTAACAGGTCGTCATTACAGCCCCGGGCTATCATCAAAACACTGTCCAACAGAAGGCCTGAATCGCAGATTCGGCAGTCTGTCCCCGTCATTCTCTGGTCCTCTCTTTAGGCTACCTTTAGTTGCCGGCCGAGATGGCGCCGTCGAACTGAACGTTGGTCGATGCGTTGCCGGCCTCGGCCACATCCTGCTTGATGTTGTTCGCGAGCTTGGTCTGCTCCTCGGCCAGCTTGTCGGCGACGTCCTCTCCCTGAGCCTGCTGTGCTTGCAGCTTCATCACAGTCGCGGTCAACTTGAGGACCTTGTTCTTGATCTTGCCGATCTGTTGCAACCAGTGATGATTAGTATCATTACACTTATTTGAGTGTGCATTTGTCACAAATAAGAACCGCAATATTGACTCACCTGAAGGGAATCGGCTTCGGTTCCGGTTGCCGCATCAATGGCAGTGTTGAAAGCCTCCTTCTCAGCATCATTGGCAACCTGGTTGACGGAGTTCAGGAAGTCCAGGTCCGCCTTCTCGACCTGGGTCAGGTCCGTAGGGAGGCCAGCCAGGGCCTGCTGGGCCTCGGCCTCTGCGTTACCGGCAGTGCCTCCCGAAATGGAGATATCGTTGAAGGTGGTGTCCGCAAAGACGGCACGCTTGCCGATAGGGCTGGCTGAGGCCACGGCGGCCAGGACAGCTGCGAGGAGGGTGAAAGACTTCATTTTGAATGAGAGGATTAGACTTTGGTTGTCTTGAAAAGATTGGATCGATGGAACAGTGAATGGAATACTAAATGTCACAGCGCAGCTGGAAGAGAATGGGATGAACGACGGTCTTGGTGTGGTGGTTGATAATGGTTAAGATAAGACATAATGATCGTTCAAGCGAGCGATCGCGAAGATCTTATAGAAGCTTCGCAGTCTTGTCGGTCCTGCCATGATTTCGGGCGGCTTGAATGGGAGGCTTGGAATTCATGGTGTGAACTGCAGTCGTCGCATATGGAAACAGCTTGGGGGCTGATAGATCTTGGCTGCGAATCCGAGACGAAGTTGAGGCGAACTCATGACATGGGTAGGGGGTAAGGGCAACTCCTTCGTCCTACTGAAATCCATTTGCTCGCTTCCACGGCTCGGCTGGTCCCGTACAATTGTCGGCTCCGATTTCCACAAGGCTTGCTCGATATGCTTGACTGCATCTAGGTTTGCGCTCGGATGCATGCCGAGATTTGTAGAATCGCGGTCCTGTTAGCAAGAATTTACAGCATTTTCATCATTCGGGCAGCTTTGGCTAGTCTCTATTTTGTCGTTGTTCTGTTCTGTTCCGTTCTGTGATCTCCATTAATGTTTTGGTACAGCAACTTAGGAAATGCCCCAGATTTTCCCTTACCGCGGTGATCAGTTCGTTGAAACCACGATTTTCAAGGAGACTTCGGAGGCGCGGTACCAGATTACTCGAAGGTGTGGCGTTCAAGCGAGAAGATCCACTTGAGATATCGTTGCTTGACGAGACCGTCCTGTTACAATATGGGGCGCTTGGCTTTGCTTGGCTGATAAAAGCTCCTAGCCTCTTGAGCCGCAAGCGCCCACCATAAAGGGATGACATCTGCTTGGCGTCTGAACCACTTTTCCCCAGAACCGCAATTCTGGGCCTCTACCGTCAAAATCAGGGTGATTGGAGGAAATTCTTATGCCCATCAGCCTGCCATGCCGCTCTTTCGGGAAGCTTGGCTGCTGTTCGCGGAGGTGTCATTCAGCCCCTGGTTCCAGGCACCGCTCGGAATATCTCCGCTCAGTTTAAAGCTCTCCTGACATCAGGGCCATGAGACTTGCAGTGACTGACTTGGCCACACCAGATTGCACACGGAAACTTGGTCCTGCGCCGGAAACCGCAAATATCATTAAGGAGCCCCTCTCCATTGCGGCCGACGACCCGCTTTCCCGAACGAAGGCCACGTCTCTCGGCCTCCTGATTCGATCAATGTCCATGTCATCTATCATGCATTGGCTGCGGAATGAAGGGCACGTCTGTTAGTGCATTCGATCGATTCTAAGGCGCCAGCAGAGGAAAGGCGCGTGGATTCGAGAGTTACTGCTCTTATGTAGCTTCCACTTTATCTAGGCATGGGCTAAACTCCCGTGTATTAGCAGCCTCATAAGAGGGGACATGGTCGCTATCTCTTAGATTGTTTCTGAGCAGTAGGTAGTAGTAAGTGAGCAAGTTTCGCCAGTGAAAACTATTATTAGGCTAAGGTAGTTGTATACTATTAATAGGGTGTAATTAGTTTGAAACGGCGACGCTTTATTCAAAAGTTGATTATTTTGCTATAGTCAGACTATAGCGCCCAAGTTTTTAATGTGCAGTACTCCCCCAAACTTCGCGCCTTTGCCCTACTTGGATGTAATCTCCAGAATACCAACACCAGAGATGGTGTTTTCGTCCGCGACTTTAACCTTGGTGCCATCAGCAGTGCTAAGCACCACATAGACCTGACCAGTTGGAGGCAGCAGTCCCGCGGTGGCATTTCCGCCTGGAATAGCACTAATTGTATACTGTAAAGTCATCGAGTCAGTACACTCTTCGAGATTCTAGCCCAACAACCCTCAGAGTCGGATTTTTATCAACTTACGTCTTTGCCATTCTGAGCAATCACCGCAGGCGTGTAATAAGTGTCCAGGCCTGAGTAGAACACAGCATACACTGGTGTCGTTCCCTGCACCAAGCCAGCCTGACACGCCGACGCATATGCGCCAGTGAAAGTCACGGACGACTTGCCCGCAACGTACCCCTTCTTGCTCGCCTGGACAGTCAAAGATGGGAAGGCCTTGAATGGTAGCGCGGGAGTTCCAGGTGCAAAACCGGTGATAAAGCCAGCAGCCAAGCTGTAGACAGCGTTGAAGTCGAGCGGGGTGTCGAACGGCTTGGGGAAGGGTGATTCGTCCAGAGCAGCACGGACGTAGGACGAGTGGCGCGACTCGACTGTAAGAATTGAGCCGGCTGCTGTGAGGTACGCCTTGTTGGCAATGGCCGCTGCTGCACCCAAGTACGCAGAGACGCCGACGCCTTCGAGGACCGAGGCAAGCTGCACGAAGGACTTGGCATCCTTGCTAGGGAAAGCAAAGGAAGGCTCCTTGATGGAGGCATTACCGAGCGCACCTGCGAGGAACGTGACGTGTGTCTATGGTTGGTTAGTCATAACCCCGTTCAGCACGAATTTGGCGACAAAGGGCGTCAGTGGCTCACCTGCTCATCAAAGTATATCTCCTTAAGGTTCTTGTAGAAATCCTTGGAAAACCCAGCCTTCTTGAAGTCGGTTTCGGTGTAGTTTGCCAGACCCTGCTGATAAAACTTTCGCTCGAGATACTCAAGTGTCAGAGCATAGTTGAGGATAGTGACGTCGCCTCCTGCAGGCGCATCAAAGTTCGCCCGCGGCTCAACAGGAACTGAGACTGAAGGCGATGACAAGGTCGCAAGGACCATAAGGGCTGTGGAGAACTGCATTATGAATTACTGGTTTGATCTCGACCGCGCTGTTTCGGTGAAGACAGTTATTGTCAAGAGAATGATGAAGCTTCCTCATTTTCTTTACACGCCGGAGACGACAACGTCTTATAAACACTCACGGTGAGTACGAGCACTGGTATTTGCTGATCTTGGCCGCAAGTGAGCGCGACGATCTTTTGCACGACATTGAGCTTGTCGGGCTCGGATACAGCGCTATCCAGCTCGTGTCTTCTCTGCCGTGAGCATCACGCCGTCATGGAAGCTCTGATGCCATTCTAGGTTATGAGGAGCAATGGGAAATCGAACCACTCAGTAGTATTGGTTCAGCAACTACTAACAGCGCTTTATCCCAGGCTCAGGCGGCCCAGGCGGCCCACAAGGCACACACACGTGCACTTTGCACGGCAAAGGTGCAAGCTTACAGGTGCAATGGTCTTAGGCATCACCGCGAAGGTCTGATGATCTGTGGGTGGAAATTGACGGCCGTCATATCCTGCTCGTGGTGTGGGGCCAATACCGGAAGCAGCCTCATCCATCAATAGTCAAAAACTATACAATCCACAGCCGATCGCTCCTTTTCTGACCGGTGGTGAGCGGCAGTTGCGTGAAGCTTTTCGTATAGATGTTCGGGCGGAGCTGTCAGCGGTGGTTTAGTTGCAAATGTGGACGGGATCGGCACAGTGCCAATGTTTTTCTAGTTCCTCTTTGACGGAAGCAAAGCTTTAGTTGGGGCTAAATACGGGGTGCGCAGCGGCCTGGTTCTCATCCGCCGGATCTGTCACTAGCCGAGCGACTTAGCCCTACGCAGCGAGTTCGCGTCGGCAAACAACAACACACGTGCCGGCAGTACGGGCAATTACAGCTGCATGATGAGAGGAGGAGCTACGCCACAGCACGTATGAGAGGAACCTGCGCTGCTGAGCGTGTCGGGGTAAAGGAATATCTTGGGAGCTCTCACAAGTGCATCTCCGCCTTTTTGCGGTGCAAGATTTTACGTGTTTTGAGCCGGGGAACAGGTGAGTGACCTTAGATCAAGAAACTGTTTCTTTGTCATCGGTATTTAGTGCGGATTTCAAATAGTTTCGCTTTCGGACACAACAGTGCTCACTCAGGGACGACATTTCTGCTCTCTTGAATAGCCGAACACATGCCGTAGAGCCTACAACCCTCCGCATATCGCTTCCTTCTCAGTCAGTAGCTAATACGTCAATTGGCCTATGACAAACAGTATTGTACCTCACCAATGTGGTAACGATTTCAATTACGTGATGAAATCTGGACATGAGAAATCATCAGATTATTTGAACAGAACTCAGGATTTGGTCAATAAATTTGAGAACATCTTGATACGAGCGAATGAAAGACCGTGACAACCTGATTGGGAATATGCATTGTGGTCAACTTTAAAAAGAAAATCATAAATTTGTTTACCTTTCGTGTTTTTCTATAGGTCGATCCGCTACAGAGGCACCGTGCCTTTTTTGAGCGGATGGATCAGCTTCGACTAGGACAACAAGGCACACACAACCAGTGGGAAAAGCAAACAATCAACAGCACTTGGAAAATATTGATGGATTTTGAATTAACAGATCGCCCAAGTTCGTCTAATTACCACTCAACAATGTTTGGGGACTAATGTAGAGCATACTCTACGACGAGCTAGCATGTTGAGAGGTCCATATCTTGTCGAAGGCGGTCCAGCGATTTCATATCACTAGCGGAAAATGACAACTGCAGTTGTAATCACGTCTCTTCTTTTTAGTTTCCTTGATAGCAGTGCCTGGAGGCACTTCCCCGTTGCAAGATTTCTTGCGACAATCGCGTTTCTTACATGTTGTTGTTTCGAGAGTCACGCCGCAGTCGTCGCAGACGTAATAAATAATGTAGTAAAAGCACATGGTGAAATAATCAAGCCCTTATCAGGATTGAGGTCTGAGTTGTACCAGTGAAATTGAGGAATGGCTCTGTTCTCATGGGCTCTCCCGCAAGGTGATTTTATATCGTTCTGCTGCCATTATCGTCACTTCAATCTGTGATTCATTAATAATTGGTAGCGACAGTGTTCGAAACTCACCTAGTCACCCATCACAATGATTCACAAGCATAAGAGAGTCCGCCAGGAAGGAATGATTTTCTACGAGTGAAATTGGAAAACTTGTTTGTCACGGAGGAAAAGGTAGAATGTCCATGTGTATATTAACATAATTATGGTTACAATTTTATCCAGCTAAACTACCAGAAGTTGTCACTAAAAGTTTCACCTCCGGAGAGGGACGGCTTGGTTACTGTTGGTAGGTGTCTCGATCGTACGAGAGATAAACATTGGGTAAAGCAATTGTATTGATTTGTCTGTTGTGTGTGTTGTCTTCTTGTTCCAAGCTGGTTGATCTGTCAACCAGAAAAAGCTAAGTTAAGGTGGTGCTCGGTTGCACCTGCCGACAGTTACAAAGTACCGAGCTGCGAGTCCAAGCAATCGAGCAACATATTGCTCAATCTCCCCCAATGCTATTGTTTCTGAGCTATTTGCTTTCTTTTAGGCAATGCGTTCCAGCAGCCATGCACAGAAGGCTATGGCCTGTGACACGAGGCCAGCAACCTTTCTTGACTCTCCTCGCACATAATACTAGCTGGAAGAGGCAGATATCATGTGTGTTCCACGTCATCTGCCTCAATGGAAGCTATTTCACGTTCAGGGCGATATGATCTCCAAGAAGACTCCACACGGCACACGGGGGCTGGCCTTTGTTTCCAGGACGGATCCGGCTCACGTCGCATCTTGACAGATAATCCAAATCGAGACTTAATATAGTTTTGAACTCTGGGCCCTTTAAGATAGCATCGGAAGTTGAAATCCGTTGCGATCATTTCCATCATTATTCTTTACCTTGTAGATGCGCAAAGATGCCCCCGACGACGCGCCACAGAGCATCAAAGCGAGCCACTGATGCTACGGCATCGTCAGGGACCACGCACTCAAAGGGAGACGAAGCCAAACGAGTCACCGATCTGACCAAGGAACAGCCGAAAGCAGAAGACATACCGGCCAAGGGACCTCAGAATGGGACAAGGAAGACCAAAGCAGCAAAACATAAAGACTCTCAGCGCGCGATGAGAACGATGCGATCAAAGCTCGTGAAGAGGTTAGATGCATTCGATCAAGATGAGATAGCCGATCACCAAGCACGACTCCTCCGTCGGGCCTCCATTGCCCTGGCCGGTGAGGGGTTAGGTCTCCCTGTTGTCCTCGACGCTGCGACGAGTGCAGATATGCTGGTCCCAACCAAGGTGATGGCACCACACAGATGCAGACCGGCGCGAAGGGGTCGGGCGGGGAAGGGTTATGTCGACGCAGGGGAAATCCTCGGCCTCGACGAAAATGACGAGCTGGGACTGTCTGCTCGGCACATCCCCCAGATTGGCCTGCGACGTCGAGTTGGCAGGAAGCCAGCGAAAGTTCCCTTCAGTCTCTGGATGGCTTACCACCAAATGGATGACTTCATTTACCGGAATTCGCTGTCCAAGGAGGAAGTCGTCGCTCTTCCCACCGACGACGACGTGTTTGATTTCCACATTGGTGGGGACGCCCCGAGTCTCCCACCGGACTTTGCTTGGGATGATAAGAAGAGGCTGGTGGACCGACGACCTCTGGAGCAGCATGATGAGTGAAAACAATCGGAGCAGTATCAATTCTGGGTGTGGATAGAGTTGGCCATTTAGAGAAAGCACTACGTATAGGAGACTTAGTACTACTTGCCAGAAGGTGGAAAACAAGAACGAGCTATAATGGAAAGACTGCGTCGGTGTCCAATGTCTTGATGCGGACGAAGCCATCTAGTGATTTCACAGACCGGACAACGATCTACGGCTAAGAGTAAGAAGTTGCGCGAGAGGCATTTCATTAACGGAGATTCGCCTTTCTCATTCGCAACCGTCGCACAAGTCCCGTGACCGCTGCCTTAGATGAAACTCAGCGTCTCTGTTGTCTTGGACAATTTCATGACGGCATGGCAAAGTACAACAAGCCGATTTCCTATGACATGCCAACCGGCTTTGGAGAGAGAATGGAATGATTTTGTCTTGTATGTGTTACGGGTGGCGCAAAGTTAGGTTCTGCAGTTGGGAGAAAGATGTACATATTCACGCGTTCGAAGTAAGCTGCGCGCAGGAAGGCTCCATTGGCGAGATTTACTAGTCGGACGTTTGGATCAGCTGGACCAAAGGTGCAATGACCAAAATATGATTGTGTTCTGCGAACAGTTTCATTGAAGCATAGCTACAAGAGAGACAAGTATAGTTACAAGAGAAACGAAGTGCTTTTGAGAGCTGTAGCTATCCCGCTCAGTGCATGTGCTTATGGGTGGCCCTTCCAAACCTCATAGGACGGCTACGGGGTTGTCTCCTGGCGGGGGAAGCCGCTGAAGCAGCGGTAGAGTTGGAGGTAGGGCACGAGCTGTACATGACACCACGGCCGTTGGTACCAACATACACAACGTTGGCCTCGTTGGCGGAACCAACAAGAGCAGCACCATCAATAGCACCGAAGCTGTAGGAGCCCTGGATGTCGACCCAGGTAGCACCGCCATCGGCGCTGCTGTACAGCTTCTTGCCCTCGGAGCCGTTGCCGAAGACGTACAGGTTCCAGCCAGTGCCCTCACCCTTGCCGACGGAGACAGCATGAGTGTTGGAGGGGCTGGAAGACAGAGGGGAGAAGGTCTGTCCGAAGTTGGTGCTGTGGAAGACACCAGCATCGGTTGAGACCCAGATCTCACCGGCCTGGGTAGGGTGAGCAGCGATATGGCGGATCTCGGTGACGTTGGCGAGAGGGGACTTGGTGAAAGTCGCGGCGCCGTCGGTGGAGATGTAGAAGGTAGCCTCGGAGCCGGCGTAGAAGACGGTGTTGTTCTTCTTGTCACTAGCGATGACGCTACTGGCAGGCAGAGTGACGTTCTCGAGCTTGCCCTGGTTGCGAGAGGCGAGAACACCCTCGTTGAGGGTAGACCAGAGGATTACATCGCCATCGGCGGAGTAGGCAACGGTACCATCAGCGGCAGTGGTACCAGTGGCGTTGACGACAGCCCAAGTAGCACCGCCATCGCTGCTGAGAGCCAGCTGGGGAGAGCCGGTGACCTTGCCTATGCGAGCGACCTTGGTGACATCGTTGCCAGCGAAGTCGACAGAGACACTGCTTGCCCACCAAGGGTCGGTCCAGGCGGTCTGGGGCGCCGTGCCGAGGTCAGCGACAGAGTTGTAGGTGAAGCCGTTGTTATCGAGGGTAGCCATGAGCAGCTCGGAACCGCCGGGGGCAGAGGCCAGACTGGAAATGCCATCTCCTCAATACCGGAAGCAAGACTCTCGATGGTGACTGTCTTGTTGTTATCCCAGTTAGTCAAGTCGTGACCGCCGTAGATGGTGACACCAGTGCCGTAGAGCCATCTGTCGCTGTCGTGGGGGTCGATCTCGAGAGACTCGATCATCCAGCCAAGCTTCTTAGTATCGACGTCGAGGAAATTGGTCTCGATCCAGGGAGCCTATCCGTGGTGAGCTACAATCTTTCACTGTTCAGTGTTAAAACTTACGTTCTTGGCGCCAATGGTGTACTGAGGCGCAACATTGCCATCGGCTCCCCAGTTCCAGATCTTCTTCCAGGTAGCGCCGGAATCTGTAGAGCGGAAGAGCTGAGCATCGGGGTACCAGCTGTTCAGAGTAGCGACCACGATGGTGCCGGGCTTCTGCGCATCGACGGCAAGACCACCTGTTTGCATCGGTCAGTCCAAGTCGCCCCATAACGCATCCCGAGCCAAACTTACCGAAACCATAGAAGAGATCGCTGCCAGAGGTGGGGGTAATGTCAGTCCAGTTGCCGGAAGTCAGATCGTATCTGTAGACGGCACCCTGAGTACCATCGTACGGACCAGAACCATCGGAGTAGGTGAAGTAAATGACCTAGGCAAGCTCTTATTAGCAACACAGCGGATGCAATCCAGGCGCATATCCTCACCTTCTCAGCAACCGATAGTCTGGCCTTGTGGGGGAAGAACTTGGCAGGCTGGTCGGCAACAGGGCTCCAGGTAGCACCAGCGTCGGTGCTGACGTAGACGGAAGCGGTGGTGTTGTCGGCGGTACCAACGAAGATGCGGGAAGTGGCACCGTCGACGGCCTCGGAAGTCTCATCGAAGGTAATGAAGGTCAGACCCTGAAGGTCGCCGTTATAGGCATCAGTCTCGGCGCCGGCGCGGTAGGTACCGACGGCCTCGAAGGAAGAGACCTTAGAGAAAGTCGCGCCGCCGTCGGTGGACTTCCACAGGCCGTTGCCGCTCCGGGCACCGAAAAAGAGAATTTCGGAGTTCTTTGGGTCGACGGCAAGACGCTCACCCATGCCTCGCCCAGGCATGTTACCGCCAACTTTGAAGGGAAGCGTGGTGATCTCCCAGGTCTCGCCTTTGTCGGAGCTGCGGGCGATGCTTCCATTGTTGGGGTCCCTGTGACAATCAGTAAATTTGCCATACGCAAAATGCACCGGGGAAAATACCAGTCGTTGGTGTACATGCCCGCCGCGATGTACACCTTGTTCGCATCGGCGGGATCAAGGGCCAACGCGTCGATGCCCCATCTGTTCCAGTTGCCATCATGGGCGAAGCCGTTCGCATCGGTAACAGGTGTCCAGGAATCGTCGTCATTGAGGCGGTAGAGACCACCAATGTCAGTGCGGGCGAAAGCGACGCCCTTCTCGGTCGGATGGAATTGGATAGACGCTACGAAACCACCGCCGCCTCCGGTGTGAACGTTTTTCCAATCGCAGGCGGCGCGGACGGATGCCGCCGCCGTCAGGATAAGTCCGGCGCCTCTCATCTCGAGGTTTTATGTAATTTGGTCTGGTCACTCGAGTCTCTAAAGAATGGATGAAATCTTGAATGGACCAGCCAGGTTGAAGCGAATGTCGTCGATCGAAAAGGAGCGTCGATGAAAGTGAATGTCGAAGAAAGCAAAGGACTGGACGGTACAGGTGATGCAAGAGTAAACTGTTTCAATTGGGGGACCTGTCTATTATTTACATGCGGACTCTTCTCCCCTCGCTTTCGGACGGCATTTTCTCCTGACTAGTGATCTCTCCGATAGAATTGAGTCTTCAGGGGAAGAAGTAGTTTAGAAAGACTGAAAAGGTGCCCAGGAAACTTTAATATCGCGAAGGAACCTTCTCAGAAACATTCCGAGAGCCGAGGTGGAATACGGGCCGCCCGCTGCACTCCGTCAATCAGATTAGGCGTAAGCAGGGCATTCGAACTCCATCAGCCTAGAAAAAGTCCACCAGTACGAGGGGAACTTGGCCAGAAAGTGATGTGGTGCGGCAATTAGCCTATGTCGAATGAAGTCATGCCAACTCGTAGAGCCGCTGGGATTAGAAGTGTTAGCCAATTACTCAGGTGTTTGTGTTGACCATTGTGTCAAATAAGTTGAGGCCCCCAGAAATTGTGATTAAGGGGGCGATGGGACAGAGTTAGCGACTGCAAATCCCTGCTTCGTTGGGGGGTGGAGCGGCTCTGACTACTGTGTAAGCGGTATAGATGTTTCTCCAGGCCGAAAACAGAGTCATTCAGGCTTGGCAGCTAAAACAGGCAAGCAACCTATTTGAGCTTCAGGCCTTTAAGGACGAGATTTTATATGAAAGAGTTTCAAGGCACAGCGGCTGAAGTTCATATTTGATCAGACTATGGGTCAACACCGAAGCAAAACAGAGACCGAAAAATGCGATGACCAAACCCATTAAGCCGCCTGCTTCGAGTCGCGTAGCCCAGCTGTCTTAGGACTGAGGTGGATGTAGCGATTAGTTTTGCCCACCACTGGTATTTATATGAACAGTTCTCGTGGTCCCGTCCATTCCACCTCGAAAATTTCCATGGCCTCGCCAACTTGTTCTCTGACGAAGATTCCAACTTCTTTACTGTATTGTGATTTTTGTAACAAAGTGTGGCCTGAATGGACGCCGAGAACTTGACTATCTGAATCATCATCAATTGATGGATGTCAAGCTTCACATCCCGCCTTGCATTAGCCAACCCACTCACCCACTTCATCCACCGCCTCTCGAAAAGCCTCTATGAATGCAGATCGAGAGTCCCGTAGTCGCTATACAGAAATTGCATCCCTCCAATTCTTGGCACTGGTATTCCCACAGCCAATCGGCCATGAGATTGCAAAGCTTGTATTCCAGGTACTTTATAGGCGAGATGTTCATCCCCAGATTTCTAATGATGTGGTTACAAGGAATGAATACTTGGGCTAGGCAACGAATGTAATACCTTACAAAAGTAAATGCGTACCGAACTAGTTGCACTAGCATCGCGCTGCTCATGGTCCCTCTTTTTTGTCACTCCTTAGCCGCTGATCATTTTTCAGAAATACCGACTACTATGGCATCACCATCGACCATCTTGTCCTCGCGGGCGACTCCAATCTAGATATATTACAGGTCAATATCGTGGAAAATCATGTTGATAGTGGACCGTCCACCCACAGTGTAGTGTATGTTAATGAGCATCTGTGATGTGCGGTAGACCCAGCTGATTGTACCGGGAACAAAGTACTCGCTGTACCGTGACGCTTCACAAGAGGAAAACCTTCTAAGGTCGGGTGAGGGTGAATAGTGCAGTGGTCGAGAGAGTTGCGATGACGAAGGAGGCGATGTCTGGCAAGGAATATTCGGCCGGCCCAAGGTCCAAAGGGGGAATACATTTAGACTCTGCAGCAAAGTACTCGCCATTCGTGTAAATTGAGCCATCGCTAGTCTCGGGGCGCCCATTTGCGAGTGCCGACTCGCGACAGCTATTTTTTAAAGTCTTTGTATTGATATATGCTTGAAGTGCTTAGAATTAGATTAGTATTCTTATCAAACTACTGTAAATGAGTAGTTATATTGGTATGTGCCCTCCGAGGTGCCATGTATGATTACCCAAGCTGGCTCATTGTAAAGCATGAAGCTCTCACTAGTCAAATTACATCAAAGTACTGGCTAATCACAACTGAGTTAGTTACTGGTGTAAGGTGTTTCTCGAACTCAACTTGCATTTTTGTCCGACATCGGCTGAAGTGAAGGCAAAGAGAGAGGAGAGTTTAGTCCAGCCAGAATGGCTTTTGTTGCATATCATCAAATCCCGCCCTGCCATGGACAGCCCTCAATCTTGATTTTTCTTTGATTTACAAGTACACGCAGCCAAGTAGGTCAGTTGGTGTGCACAGCTCAAAGAAGCCATTATAAGTGACGTAGGATTCAAGAGACAGGCTAAGTATAACTACGTTGTACAATTATGAACAACCTTGGAACTAGACGTTGTGCTGCAGCACACGCGGTATGTTATGATTAGAAGGGGGCTTTAGATTCAATGACTCGCACTATTGGCGATTCATTTCACAGGGGCGAATAGACGGGCGTGCTCAAAGGCTCAGTGTCCAGAAATGGCAGTTAATCTCCCGCCGAGTCGTACTGAACCGACCGATTTGGCAATGCGGAGTAGTCCACGATACCCAGGTAGCTTTGGCCTCAAGATAGCACATCCACATCAGCACGCCACATGAGGTTCCTTCCCCCCCTTCAAGTAGAGATCGACGCCCTTCACTTGGGAATATTGTTGTTATGCCTCTTGCCGAATGACATCGGGTCCCATTCAGACGTTGTTCTGATCGCTCGAGATGCGTAGTTCTTCGGCTTTGGCGGTCGGCCTGCTGGCGCCTCTCGGCGTCGCCTGGCCCCTGTCCTTCAACGGTATTCTCAAAAAACGCGCCGCGAGTTTCACACCTCTGCGGTTTACCAGCGATGGGACTTTCCAGATATCGGTCTTTAATGACCTGCATTATGGCGAGGGTGAGAGAGGCCGACACACGCGTCTCGGGATGGTTGCTAACACACTCGCACAGGGCAAGGCACATTCTCCGGGTGGTGGCAGGACTTCCTGTCCGACACGGTGATGAACCTCGTCTTCTTCTACGAGGACCCACAATTGGTTGTTTTGAACGGCGATCTTCTCACGGGCGAGAATGCCGAGTCCGTCAATACTGCGACCGACAAGTTTGAGCAGATCGCGGGCCGTGTCGAGGCCGCCAACTTACCCTGGGCAAGCACATACGGCAACCACGACTCAGATTACTATCTTAGTAGAGATAATCTGTTTGCAAAGGAGAAGACTTACTCGAACAGTCTGACGCAGAACATGTTGGCGGCCTCGGCATCGACTACGGATGTTGGTGTGACGAATTATTACCTGGAAGTGTTCGGCAGTGATGCAAGTGACACGACACCGAAGTTGATACTTTGGTTCTTCGACAGTCGAGGAGGGTGAGTGACTTTGTTTGGTGACTGGTTCGGACATCTCGGACGGTGTACCTTTACCTTGACAAAACATGAAGGCTGACGGCAACAGGAACTACTTTCAGCAGGAAGACTCGAGCGGCTTGCCTGTCGGGCAACCCAACTGGGTCGATCCAGCAGTTGCAGAGTGGCTCAGTACTAGTGCCGCTAACATCACGAGCACCTACGGGGTCACAATTCCCTCTCTCGCCTTTGTGCACATCCCAGTGCAGGCGTTCCTCAAGTTTCAAAGCGCTGGCGTCGACGCAAACAAAGAACCAGGCATCAACGACGACAACCCGTTGAGTCCACAGGTGGGTTGGAATCCCGAAGGTACGAGGGCGGGTAACGATCGGATCTTGCTAACCATGACACCTTGCAGGGCGTTGCATCCGGCCAAGGAGGGACGAAGACCGTGTACACCTACTCCAACCAGGACGTAGAATTCATGCAGGCCCTACTCCAGCTCGAAGGTCTGCAAGCAGTGTTCAGTGGCCACGACCACGGCGACGACTGGTGCTTCAAGTGGGACTCCCAACTCTCAGGGATGACCCTGAATGGCAACGGCCTCAACCTCTGCTTCGGGCGCAAGAGTGGCCATGGTGGATATGGCAGCTGGACTCCTGGGTCGCGGCAAGTAAAAGTCAGTCTGGGCGATGATGGGGCTATCGAGCCGGTAGAGACTTGGATGCGGCAGGAGGGCAGCACGGTTAGTGGCAGGGTGACTTTGAACTCGACGTTTGGGACAGACAGCTATTCAGCGGTTGCAGACACGGACTCGTGGGTCAGATAATAGGTCCGCATAGCTCCGCGGTGCCGGAGTCGGTGCCGATAGAAATGATGAATATGATTTTAAAGCTGCTAATCCAATGGGAGTGTTCTGCGATCTGTATTGCATCAATGGGATCGAGAAGGTGTAACGCAAGATCACACGGCGGAACCAACTGTTTGACTGCCTGCAGACTGCCTAGTCTGGCTGGTAAGATGAGAAGGTGGCCGGCCGCCTAGGCTGGCACGCTGGCTGGCCAGACCTATCTCCGAAAGACGCGATGCGTGATCTGGTTTAGATCCCGAGAATGGTCGGGCGAGGAATCGAGCAGCCACACGCTTCATCTTGAGATCTGGCTTGAATTCTTGATTTTCCCAAACTTAAGCGACCTTCCTGGTGACCTTGGGAGACCAAGACCAGCCCACATGCTGATATGTCGTTGTCGAAATCCCTGCACCGCCACATCATAGCAGTGTCAGCGTGTGACGATCTGGGAAGCGATCTGCAAAGACGTCAACATGTGAAGTCATTAGCCACACCCACCTCCTCACCTAGGCCAAGGCTCCTCTAGCAAGGCAGGGGGGTTTGGGGTCCGCATTACATCACTTCCTTCTTGCTGGACCCTGAATGTATATATCTTGAGGTTTGGGAACACTTCTTCGACGTTTTAATTTTGTTCACTCGATCCTCAATCAATCACGCTTGACTCAGAGAAGCCAAACCAGTCTACAATTTACATAATCCTTGATACAACTTTCCACAAATCACAACTTTATTCAACATGTCTGGCCTTCTCGGAAATGACAAGAAGCAGCAGGAGGGTGGTGTTGCTGACGGCGCGACCGGTGTTGCAAAGACGGGCACAGGCAGTGAGTTTTCCCCAAATCCGCTTCAACAAGTTGCCTCATCCGACAAGTCACTGACTCCCGCCCTTCGCAGTCTTGGGCAACACCTTGTCCGGAGTCACCAACACCGTCGGCGGTGTTGTCGGAGGTGCAAGCCGAGGTCTAGGTGAGACTGTCAACGCAGTCACTGGTGACGTTGGCAAGCCTCTTGGCGACGGAGTCTCCAACGTCGGTACGAGTGTCGAGGGTACAGGTCAGGATGTGGCCAAGACGGCGCGAGATGCTGGCCAGTGGAAGACCAACTAAGGCATACAACCAAATTGCTTTTGCAAATTCACGAATGATGGATCCTCAATTGTCAGGGGACAGGAAGACTTCCCACTTATCAAAGTGCATCGAACGAGATACCCTTAATACAAATTGATTGCACCACCACGAGGAATTTCCCCCAGTAACTCAAATGACAATCGAACTATTGACATATGCCCATGCGCCACCCTGAAATTTGCTATCGTATCACATCACCCTCTCTGCTCTCTTTGGGTGATCTGCCAAAGAAGCTGCCGTTCTTTTTGGATTTCGGCTTTGTAGTCTCCTTGAGGCCCGGGACTTCCATTTTCACTTTCTGGACACCTCGGGCCATCCACAATAGCCCAATCAAGCTCGTCACAGCGGCATTCTCCAGGTCTGAACTCATGTTCTTGTTTGCCGGCAAGAGCAGCACACCCTCGCTGAACGGCTGTACTAGTGACGTGCCTACACCGACGTTGTGATAGATGCCCTTGATCCGATGCTGGTTCTCTGTTTCAAGGGCCGATGCGTCTTGAGATGATGGTAACTCGATGAGAGTATACCGTAACGGCCCGTGCTCGACAGGGTGGATCTGCCACTGATAGGATGTGGGCATTTCAGTCGAAGTGATTTTGAACCATGGAGCTTGGTAGGCTTCGGCGACTGCACCATTTGCAATTGGCGGAATCTGATGTGAGGTTGTTACAGTGTATGCAGCTGATGGTGGAGTCGTGAATGTGAAGGGTTCATCGGAGTCCTTGATCGGTAATGACCTGATTCCAAAGCAGACAGTCAGTTCCTGGGTGGAATGGTCAATCTAAAACGTGCGGCAAGGACAGACTTACAGTGCTGTATTCCCTTCATTTGTTTTCAGGGTCCTCTTCCTCACATTGATCACCTGCTTCTCGGCTGTGTCATTGGCTTCTTCCACATCTACCAAATATGCGACTTGCGCGCCATCTTTTCCATCTCCCTGCGGCTTCCTCATCATGCTCAGCGTGTACTTCCACTTGTCACTTCCAATATTCTCTTCCCGCAGCTTGTCTCGGTAGTCCTCAGTAAAGTCGTAGACCGGCAACACGCCCTTGGTGCTGCCATTGTGCTTAGGGATGTACAGAGCGCGACATACATTCGCACGCAACTGGTCAGGGGCCGGGATGCCTGCGCAGTTCTTGATCTTGGCGCCGCCTGTGACGCCGAACAAATTGGGGGTAAACCCGGCTACCTCGTTGTGTGTATCACTACCACTCATAATTACCAGGCCGATGGCTGAAACACTGACGCTGCCTACTTTGGAAAGAAAGGACTTCTTTTTCTTTGTCTTTTCGACCTCGTCTGCCATTTTGGTCTGAATTTGTGAGATGCCGCGAGCGTCAATCTGTGTAGCCGCTGGTATTTAGGTGAGAACCCGAGCCTGCGATGAATGAAGCAAGCCGGACTTGCAGTCTCAAGTACCGCCGGGCTTCTCGTGAGCTCATATTGTGTTGGTAGATCTGATCATTTTGCGGGAGGTTCTGCCTGATTTACAGCGCATGCGTACATGCAGATTGCCCAAGACAACAATTGCGCAGTGGCGGAGGCGGAGCACTGTAGCCCCATTGGCCCGGAAGCACATCGTCAACGACGCGATATCACCGGGTCAGTTTTTCGCGCCACACCTTACCGGGAACGGAAGTCGGATTGAAGAAAAACCCCGGATTTGTGGCAGTGTGGTCACGATTCGTCTTCCTTCGTCTTACTTGATGCTTGCTGCGTTGCAACCAAGCCGGAAAACAAGAAAAGTATCGAAATTTATGTCCTATTTGAACAATAGCGGATTGCTTTTGCAGGCGTACTACCGCGGTAACTACATTGAGCGGTAATGTGCCACAAGTTAGACCACTTTATAGTTTCTCAACTCATTTCACTGGTAGTGTAATGCTGCACTTGTGTCCATTCGAGGTTTAATATTCCAAGGGTCGGAAGTCAGCCAAGCCACTTCTGAGCTACAAAAGATTATGCACCCTGCCCGGCCAGTGAAGAAAGCTCTGTACAATGCCGTGATGTCTTGAAAAACGCAACTATTTTAGGGCTTTGAAACTCCGTTCGTAAGCTTCAGCTGCCAATCACGTCTTCATGGTCCCTCGAAGTGCGTGGTTTCAAGCTCGAGCTCTCACAAAAAGTTGACGTAAGACCAATTGATCTGTACCATAGTATTTGGCAGAAGATTGTGCCGGATGAAGCTGACAACACTCCTAAGGCAGTACCTGGATCATCAAAAATACCATGATTATCTGCCAGAAAAGACTGATCTGGAAGACGGGTTTCTCCTACCCGCTGACAACTGTGACTGGTCTACTTCGGCACAAACATGCTCTAGAACTCAAACGACCCAATTTCTTATCTTTCTTCCAGTTGTCATTTCACTACTGTGCCAGCAAAATACAGATGATACCTAGTCGTATCTGCTAAAGGGTTGACGCTGTATTTTTCATGGGCTGTCCTCCAGCATGCCATGCGCATGCTCACAGGCTGGTTATGAGCGAGTGTATCCCCCCCTAGTAGCCGCTACGGACTGATCATTCCCCACTTGATGGCAATTTTCGCTCTCATGCCCTTGCAAACTACCAAATACCAATATTTCCGTATCACAGCAGTACTGATGCCAAATAAGAGCGAGTTCTGGCTCCATCTTTCCCAAATCTCGTGGTGTTTCTTTCAGCCCTGCAAGGACGTGGAGTCCTTGTGATCACCAGTCACCATCATAATCTTACTCCATATCGTCGTCGACCATGGCATCACCATCCTGTTCGTCATCACCATCGCTCTCATCGGCGCACTTGCAATTCATGTCCTCATCAAATATACCGCCGCATTTATAACAAAAGGCTGTTCCACACTCGCAGGTCATGAGCGGGCAGCCTTTAGAGCGGGCAATCACCTTGCGGCACTTCTTGTTGGGACACTGCTTCCATCCCTTTTTCTTCACTAGCTCCTTGTCCTCCTTCGAAATCAGGTCCGGGCACTCATCGGGCTTGACATGCTGGTCCTTTGGTCCCTTGCATTTGACGCAGGTGAGCTCGTGGCATTGTTGGCAGTGGATGAATTGGCCATGATCGTTGTCGGCGTCTACAGGGATGAAAGCACTGCATTTAGGGACATGACAGAAAGTAGGGTCTTCCGACTGGAGCTCCTCCATGACCTCATTCATGCGAAGGACCACATCATCAGCGAGATGCTGTTTGACAGCTGTCAGATCGATAGCTGTGTCGTGGCAGCAGACTGGGGGCCAGGTGAATCGATTCTTGAGGCTGTAGCGGGCATATTCGTTCAGACATTCCCGACACCAGACATGACCACATGTGAGATGCACTGCGTCTTGTGGTTCGGTCATGCGCTGGCATGCATAGCACTGCATTATTTGTGGTCAGCTATCCTGGATAGTTCTAAGAGTCTTGATGTAACAAGGGTGTGTTAGAAGAATTATCATTCTTTGGCCCAGCCTGATCAGGAGCTGGGAAGACTTGATAGGCAACAGGGATTCTGCCACTTGCTTCAAAATGTGTCGAAGCCCTGCTTACAGTGGTGAACTTATCAGCCATCTCCTCATGATGTTATGAAGGAGAAGTAGGATAGGTTTCGTTGTGGTCCAGTAGATGTGTAGTAGTCTTGGATTTGTCAGATGTCAAATTGCCGATGCGGCTCCGATGTTTGTTTTTCGAAATTATGGCTGTAGGCATAAACTGATTGAAGAATTAAGGGGCAAGGTCTCTGAAAGGAGACAAAATTGACGGTGAGCATAGAAAGCGTCCTTGTTGAGCTGCGAGCCTGAAAACTGTAAACAAAGGATCAAATTTGATGAGCCCTACAGTTCTATCATATTATCATTGGGTTGCGCACTGACTGATGTGAATGTGTTTACATCACACCAGATGAAAGAGGTTGACATCTGGAAGGACCGAGAGACATCAGACGATGACGTAGCGATAAGCTAGAATCTTGGGGTGGAATATCAGGAAGCTCAAGAGCACTCATTATATCTGGGAGTGCATAATTCTCTAATTCAAAGGCGCTTGAAGAATGTGGATTTTTCTGCTATCTGCAAATTTGGCATTGCAAGATCCAGGATCGCTGAGAAAAGAAGAATACTATCCTCACACTGTGGTAGTCGGTTGCCCATCTTGGTCGCTTACAACCAGACTCTCAACATGTCTTTCAAAGCTATGTTGTCACCTCATTTGAACTCCTGTATTGTTCAAGCTGTAAGTCGAGTACAGAAAGCCCATGAGCTATGTGTTCTTCCCATCTAACAATCTGGGACGAAAAGGTTTCTCGCTTACAGTTTTTCCATTTGATAAACAAACTCATCTCGGAGTCATATACTCGATCTTGAAATACCATGCAATCACGATGTCCAGGAATCTCTGGTCTCTACTTTTCCTTTCTATGCAGACAATCTGAGAAGGTGAGGAAGAGTAGAAGGTAATACACAGCATTACGAGCGAGGTATAGCCAGTCATGGACACAGCGGTTGTTCACGAGATTGAATCCACTGGCAAGTACGAGTGGATCAAGCGTTCCTGTCCGGTATATTGGCAATGATAACTGTTTATTCAATCAATTAATTAAATTTAGTCGCTATGTAGGGAGGAAAGTTGAAATGCTAGTGGTAACGAGAGACCAGTGTCCGGACTGTCCCTATTTCCTTGCGCGGTAGTACCAAGTGCCGAAACCAACAATAGGGATCAAGACTGTTGTGATCACAATTGCCGCCGCCTTCTTGAAAGAAGGACCCAGTATCTTCATTGTGAGGGCTTTGAATTCCTTGGGAGCGTTGCCGCGAGGATAGCGCTGCTCTGGAATAGGCTTCCCAAGACGAGGGCAGATTTGTTCCCATCCAAACCCGTCTTCCAATGAGAAGCAAGCCAAATTTTCTTTTGGGGCAAGCATCTTCACTTGCTCGGTGCTATATGTTCTTGTTAGACACCGGCCGGAAAAAAGTGTTCACGGAAAAGCCGAAGACTCACAGTGCCAAGTAATCATCCTTCATCATTTTTTTAGCGACCGGGTCGCTGGTCTTCCGTTCATGGCAAAGGACACGCAGTAACATGATGTGCAAGGTGATGTACCTTCGAATGAACAAATCGTAAGTAGCCATGAGGTTCATCGCGGTTGAGTCAAGAAGTGGCTCCACCGTTCCCAGTACGTTCGTCACTGAAGTCGCCCACTTTTCGACATCACGATCTACGTGAATGAAGGTCGCGTTGGGGTAGGCAGCTATGATGTCGTCGACGAAGAAAGCGGGAATCTCCACCAGCGTCTGTGCACAGTTGTCGGTCAATTTGTCCTGTTGCTCGTCATATTGAATGGGAGAGCCTCACGTCGTAGTCGGCAAACCACTTGTCGAACTCGGCCTTGCCGTAAGGTTTACCCACACCAAAGTACTTCGCATTAAGTGCCTCCTCGAATATCCCCATGTGTGTGGTTGTTTGCACGACTTCATACATGTGATACGGTCGATAACCTAGCATTTTGAGTGCCTGATACAAGGAAAAGGTCCCGGATCTGTGTGTATATGTTAAAAATACCCAGTAAAAGAGCCTGGGACTCAGAATAACCACTGACCGACTCCTGCTCGTTACGATCACTTTCTTCTCCCTGACATAGGCCGGTGCCGGCAGCTGGTCGATGAGACGAGACATTGCTCCAGAATTAAGACTGTGGTCTTGATTTGCTATTATCCCTTTCGAAGTCGGGTCGGAAGAGAAAAGCAGGCTTGATTATAGCAGTTTCCTATCGCAAGTTGGTGGGGTATAGTAGTGGCAGAACAATGAATAGACAATGAGTATGCGTCCGTGTCTGTGAACTCGAGCTTTATGTACTACTTGGGTATGAAGTATTTGAATGCGGCACGTTCTCGAGGCCCAGCTGGCGCCTCGACATACCGGAATCTCCCATTTGAGTAAGCCCACCGAGAGCCGCTAGAGCTCAGCTAATCCTCCCAGAGGCTTGGGTCAGCTTACATGGTGGTAGGCTGGTTCGTACTACTGAGCTAACAGGAAGACTCCTTTATTTTTAGGGGCTCCAGCTTCGTAGGGGTAATCCTTGATGCTGACCTCGATGTCAGCCTATTTCCTTTCGTTCCATTTAGTACGATTGGCCCACACGCAGGTCCCTACACAGGGGCCTCTGCGACGGACAAGATTGATGATGATGGAATCCCACGTGGAGGCGGGAAAATCACACATCACTAGATTTCGATATTCACGCTCTTCTATAGCCCTGCGAGCACAAACCTCCACCGTTTCAAAGACCTCGCCTTAGCTCCGCGCCACTGCAGTCCTAGTCGCGGTGCAGTTAGCTCTTGCATTAGATCTCTCGGAGATACTGATTACCGGACACTCTTGGGGAGACATACCTATAGCATCGGTATTGCTTCGCTAACTGATTGGACCGGCGCCTGACATTTCGCGCCGTCTTTGGCTCTGATAACACCAAGATTGAACTCGCTCATGTGTTAAAGGATCTTCGTATCTGGAAGGCAAGGAGAAATTCAAAATTTGTATAGCGGTGTTCTATTGATCCTGAAGATTTTTTGTCAATGAAGGAGATCCAAGAGATGTAATTCTTTGATCTTTAATAGTTCCTGCTATAATACATGAACGTCTGAGTGCCTTTCAAACATCGCTTAATAGAGACATTGCCCCTCCGACGCCGACAAAATGTTAGCCCTCGCAGCCTGTTGGCCCAGCTCCAAGATCCAGGCAGAGAATGCGCTGTCATCGGCCAGATATTCTGCCTCAAGAATACTGCTGGTCGCTCTCAGCCAACCAACGAATTCCGACAGCAAGCACGTACACAGAACGAAAGCACGCTGTGTACGTGCTAACTGAGGCAGGCCTGACATCAATAGACCGTTATGCCAAGACTAGGTTAGTCTCTCATAGTGAGGATTTGGTGCCATCATCGGCCCAATCCATCAACAACACGTTGGAGATCCTAGTGCCAATTTCGGGTATCGGTTCCTTTCATCGGGTTCAGCCTCGAATCCCACCGGGCGGATATCGGCTGACTAGTTGCCCGGATGGTGGATCCTTGAACAGCAGCTGAGAGACTATTATCCACCAGAGGGCGACATTCCTTCCAGCCCAACGTCAGCCAGTTGCTGACAGTATTGCTTAATCCAATTTGGCGGCTATCGGCGCAATGGACAAAAGCAGTTAGCAGAGAGCTCTCTATTTAGAGAACCAGCAATATCTTGGGGGATTAGAATTGAGCTAAGAGCGACTTCCGAGTGAAAGAAGTCAAGAGTAATTTCATTCTGCGCCTGATGTCTGCAACCTTGAAATCCGCCTCCTCGGCGGAGCACTTGAACTACGCGGCGGAAACGTCCTTCGTATACAAATTCCGTAGGCTAATCAAGCCGAGACTAGTCGTTGATAATTGTTTCGGCTTAGATCATGGTATCTGGTGTTTATCACTAGTGTTTCTAGATGTCTTTGATATTGGAGAAACCCAGTTTGATTTGATCGGAACACTAACATCGCGCTGCCAAGGTATCTGAAGCGATGGCAATTGCTATATAGTGAGTAGAGCAAGGAAACGGTATCAGAAAGCAAACAGCAGGGGTCACTTTGGTCAAATTTTGCCTCAGGAATGACCATGTGCTGGCAATCGACATCTGGAACCCATTCCGATAGTGTGTACGTGTAGTTTTCTCCCCATTGTTCAACGTATCACCATGCTCAATAATAGTCTGGATTTGGTTTCCTTACTTCCTTGTGGTATGAACATGATCCACGAACTCGACAATGTCCTGCCAAAGAGCATCAGGCTTCTCCAGAGCAGCAAAGTGCCCTCCCTAGAAGATGCAATCATCAGCCACTGTCATACCCTACGTCAGGAAGAGACAAAGCAATCGTTTTATGACATTACCTGGTCGTGAGATTTGTAGAAAGACACTTTTCCAGTGGCATCACTCCAGCTTTTTGGCGTGCCGGCCAACTCGTACTGGAACCATGAGTAGCCGAACGGCTTCTTGATCTTGTCCACGGTGCCTCTGGAAGCGCGACTCTTGGCATTTGGGCCCAAGAGCTTCATACCGCGGCGGTCATGGTCAGTCTCATGAATATCTTGGCATTGAACAAAGCGTCACTTACCTCGCGGTATGGCCAGATTGAAGATGGGTAACATCCCGTGAACCAGTACAGGGAGACATTACCGAGGATTGTCTCCACAGATGGTGACTCATCTGACCAGGCAATCATCTTCTCGCCAATCCTGATAGAAAAGTTTGTCAGTGTCTCGGGCGTTTTCAAGCATCCCCCTCAATCCAAGCTGTGTGCGCTTTTTCAGGCCCTCATATTATTTCATTCATAACGTGCGAAATCGGAAAACAAGCCCTGCGTGCCTTGCCTTCGATGGATGGATTTGCATTTCTGAAATGCGGTCCGTTTTCTCTAAGGGCAAGAATTCACTCACCATGCCAGTAAGGCCTGTGGGCTGCTCCCAATAGCTAAGCCAGCTGTGGCTGGTTTGGTCCCGTGCAGCATAGCATAAGCCGCACCTGATTCCCAGAACTTGGCGCTCCTCTCAAGGAGCTGCTGCTCTTTCTCTGTGGGTGGAGCAATGCCCTCGCCCTGAGGTGGATTCAAAGTGAGCATATTGACATGCCCGGCTAGATAGAGATACAGATCAGTGCGTGTGGTTCCGATGAAAATACTTGGGTGTCATAACCAAGGTCCAAAGCGCCAGGAGTTACTAACCGATACACTCATCGTACTCCTCCAAGACAGTCTTCGTGATCATAGAACCGACATCGCCTCCCTGGGCGACGTATTTGTTGAATCCAAGCTTGATCATAAACTTATTCAGAATGCGGGAGACGTCAACCATTGTCATATCTTTGTTGACGGAGATTTTAGTGAATCCGTAGCCCGGCACGGAGGGAACAATAAGGTGGTATGGCAGCGACGCCGGGTCAGCGGCGTATTGTTTCTGGACCTTGCCCAAGATGGGCAGGAACTCAAGAAATGAGCCTGTGAACGTTAGCACGGCAAATACATTCGGCGTTTCGCTTTGGAGGTCAGCCTACCAGGCCATCCGTGACTCAGCATGATAGGCGTTGCGTCCTTTTTCTGCGAGAAAAGCCCCGCAAAATGGACCTCGTACGTCTCACCCTCATCTTCAACTGGGACCTTGAAGTTGGGAACATTGTTGATGCCCTCCTGGTACTTGTGCCTAAATAAAAATACCGGGTTAGTTAACTTCAGAGGCATAGCAGCGGATAGTCCGTGGGCGAGTGAAGTGGGACTTGCCAGTCATATGATTGCCATTGGGAAATGGCTTTCGTGAACCAGTCGCGACTGACGCCGAAGCGGCCGTCCTCTTGGCTATTCTCCCAGGTGGCTATGGGTAGAGGCCGTTTGAGAAGCGTGTTCAAAGCGTCAATCTCCTCCTTAGGTATGGAGAATGTAAACGGTGCTAGTCCGTCGACCTTCTGAGGGGGTTGGGAGAAATTGCTCATATTGTCAGAGTAAATGGATGATCAAATTAACAAGCAATTGGAAATGTAGACGTAGTAAATGATGTTAGGGCCAAAATTGTTGCTGGAGTGTACTGCAGCATGATGAAACTTATATTCATTCACGAGCGGGGACGGACGTACGGTTTCACTTGGGTTCCGAGCGGTCCGTCACGGTAGAGCCGCAAGTCAACGGTTGGCATATGTGCACGGCGCTAGACGTGGGCCAAGATCAACAGCACATGCCATTCCGCGAACAGCGTCGTAATGCCATCAGTCCTTTGCAACTTGCCCCCCTTTGCTGCGCATCTTGGCGCTGCTACGGACGACCGATCACCCATCGTGTTGAGTACCAATCAAAGCGGCACAAACTTACAGTATGCACTGCTGAACAAATCACGGATGTCCCTCCGTGTAACACGCAATGCTCGTTGATGCAAGTAAGCGGCCATTTATATTTCTGGAGGCATTTACCAATCTTGGGACAACCTACTTAGTAATGCAAAAGTGGGGTTTCCACGTATTGCGATGTCTCGGGCTGGAAGGCCGCCGAGCACACAAGGCTTGGCTCGGATCGGTGATTTGGGGAAGCGCCGATGTTAACAATGCCACTTTCACAAATACTTCATCAAGGCGTAGTATATCGACAGCTGCTTCTTTCTTGATATCCGAATTGTTGAAGCAACTCTACCTGTTTCTCGAGGTCTCTCAGACTAGCCCAGTACAGCTGGCTGTATGAGGCACGAGGATAAGCTCAAATGGTCTTGGATCAACTATTTCGTTGCTCAAGACTTGCGTATTACTGGTTTCTCAATTGTAATATTATGTGTTTCAATTTCTCTTTCTCGACGTTATTGGCGCATTTTCCCAAGAGCTGCTTGCATCTGAGAAACCCTCTTGTAATCCATATGCACTTCTCTAGGCTCCGACGTGACATCACAACTCATAACTGTTAGGGGCACGAGTCAATTCACTTCTATCTTGTCCACAGTATCGAATTTTGGTGACCGAGTATATTTTCTTTTCGCCCCCACTAAGGCTTTTACAGTGTGTCTTTGCTAGCGGACTTAAATGTGTTTTGCCCCATGTACCTTCACCCTCATGAGGTGCCTCAACGCTACGCTTGATTTAGTTTTCGAAGGTAAATTATGATCAGTTTTCCAATCTTGGAGAGAAAAAAACTACTTTGTGAATCTTTCCCAGGTGCGAGCTTTGTAAGTTAATACAAGAGCAATGGCCGGATCAATTCAGCACCGGGCTTATACGAACACGATAAACGGCTTCCCTATTGAAGCTGCTTTGTAACATTTCCAAATAGTAAACAGCTCAGTTCTGGGAGCAATTTAACCCCATAAAACCGAGCACGCACAGTTCATTTCAAGAAACAGTTTATTTAGGAAAGGTGTAGAGTGTATAAAGGGTGCAGGGTATTGGAAGGCTGTATAGAGGGTGCAGAGTATAGTGGGTACTCACTTATTTGCTTAACATTTTCCTCTAAAAGAGAGGAAGGCACGCTAGCTTCAGTTAAAAAGAAAGGAAACAAGAGTGAAGAAGGGCATAAAGAAGAAGATAATAATGAGAACGGCTATTTTAATTGAAAGTAAGCTAGAATATTAGAAGGCTTTACATATGAAAAAGAACGGGGAAGTAATTCTAAGCGGGCTATTTTAAATGCTATAACCTTTTTTATACTTTGCACCTTTCTACGTTCTTACACTGTTCCCAAGCTCCTACACCCTTTCCTCGCCCTGCACCCTTAATGCGCGGTTCCCATTTTGAGCTGCTTCCAGAAATGAGATGTGTACAACTTGGAACTGTTACAAAGCAGCTTCAACAGGGGGAACCGTTTTTAACGACAGCGGTGCTGGCACGGTGCTGGTACGGCTCAATTACAGTTCAAATACACCATAGACGGACGGGATCGTTCGGGGCCCATGTTGACATACTAGGTCTTTACCTCCCTGGCTTTTGAGCTTCTACCAGACTATATCCGAAGACATGGTGATTCACCAGAGCAACTTAACCGAAGAACTTAGCACTCATGGACCTGCATGCTGTATAAAAGAAACTCGGCTGTCTTCTAGCGGTGGCAGGGACAACTGGGTCTGGCAAATATGCGATTGTTTGTATTCAAAGTGGGCATGTTGGTAGGTTCTGAGGGCAGAAGGGCCCCAGGGCACCCTATTTAAAGACGTATGACTTCCTATTCACTGACCGCAGTCCCTCAGTAACTAACACACTAGCCTTCTGCCAGGGATCGTCTCAATAGAGAAGTTGAGGAAGAGCCATAAAGACATCGCTAAAGAGACATGAGAGGAAAACTGTGAGAGTGCAATAAAACTTTTCTCAGTATAATCTCAAATCTTAGATGACTTGAATCACACGTGGCTTGGTAATACATAGTCATACCACTGACTAGTCTTGAAGGCATACTTCATCATAATTGCGATTGAACAAAAGCTTGATCCGTTTGGAAGTGGACAAAGAGCTTGAAGTCTTTGGTCAATAGGTGCAACAGAAATCACGAATGTTTTCATAGCATGATCACGGATTATATGAGTCGACACCAACCCATTCCAATGATGAGGCCACAAAGACTCAAGTAACTTTAGATTCTATGCTCTTCTAGAGTTCCAACGAAGAGAAAAGTATCCTGAAATGGTTCAAATCCATATTCAATATTACGGTATCCCGTCCTAATAGACTTGGCGACGCAATTTTGGTCCCCGTGGCCTTCTAAGTTAGCGTTGGGATGTCAAGCTTGAGACTCCAGGTATGACTAGTACAACGCGCGGCTGGCAATGCTACCATGTGTTGGTTGCTTCGTGTTCCTGTGTTGCCTGTATCTCAATAAATCTTTAGGGCTGACCCAGCCTAGAAGATCTCGAAGTGTTTACACCTATACCCATAAGTCCGAGGACTTGGGTGGCATATATATACGCTGACGATGAGATATTACCTAATCCGTTGGATGGAAGACTTCATTCCGCGGCAGAGGCTTGGCTGATCTCGCCGGCTCACCTTTCCGGCGCGGGAATCGGGACTTGGCTGATGATCCTGTCACACATAGAAGAAGACAGACTGCAGGCCAAGTCTAGTTACCGGCTTGGAAACCTTGGCGTTTCTTGGTCCACCACTCCGTATGCTGCTTCAGACAATCACGTGGTATCAAATAGGGACTGGACAATTTTGACTTATAACTTACAACCTACTAAATCTACACCTGAGCTGGCTTCAATGTGCTCGAGGAATCGAATTTTTGGAATGTTCACACACTTCGTTTGACTAATTGAGTTACAGCAGCATAAACGCTACGTAGCAAATGACTTTCTTAGCCGGACAATGTTTCCAATACCGACATTCTGTTCAGGCAAGAGAACACAGTTCAGAGTCCAGTGTCCAGCAGAAATATATGCAGTCAATTATGGTAAATGGTGACGGGCAAGTGCCCTCAACTTCTGCACTAAAGATAACAGGTGACCCAGCATTAGGAAAAGTGTTGAGGGTGATGAATGTTCGTTCGAGGTCAGCGAGCCGCTGGACTCGATCGAGTCAAAACCAAGCTGCCAAATCATCGACGCTTTCTCGTGTAGAAGAAGCGCTGGTTCCATTATTGACTGGACACCGTTCACTCCGGGTGGCTCATTGGAGCTTGTTGGATCTCGACGTATTGATTCTCTGTAATCTGTCGAATGACATTCTTCAATCTAAGAACCAAGTAACAGACAGTCTTCCTGCTTGGCTTGTTCACAAATACGGACATTGCAGTTGAAGGTATCGGGCGTTGAACGTCACCTCCGTCCTGTAGAGACCAACCTGGATGTTCGAGAGGCGCCACTTTCCTGCCCAAAGGACTCGCCAACGATCCTAGCTGATCACCATAGCACGCCACCCGGGTTTTCCCTAGATTGTCTCACGTACTCTTCCACCTCTCTAAGACCGTGCTAGTGCCTTCCTGACCCATCACTTAGATAACCTAAGAGCACCAATAATCGTGATTAGCTGCTTCTAAGTCATTCCCGATTGGTCCAAGGACGTGTTGGGACTCCTTGCTCCTGGAAATGTCTTCTTCCCGACGTCCTAGATCCACTAATTTCAACTCACTCGAAACCTTGAGATGGCTCAACACAAGACGAGATGCACCGGGACCGCAGCCTCCAACCGTTGCTACAAAGGAAAGGCTAGCTATTCAAGGTTACATTCAGAAAAATAAGGTTAATTCTAGTTTACGGAGTAGAATTCTTCTCGGATGGAGTTTACAGTCAGATATGGGGTAAAAGTCTGGGGATTCAGACCCGGTTTCCTCCGAACCCGACATTCTCCATACTATGAACCTTAACGAACCCCTGCTAGATACTATAGAATTCGGGCCGTAAAGAAAGATAACAGCTCTAAAATCCAGGAATGACGCACTAGTTATGGTATTTCAGAAACAGTATTTCAGAAACACGTCAGACGAACGCGATGCCCGAGTCTGATCTGCGGGTTCCTTATGCTGTTGAACCGTCGGCCATGGACACACACAGGGCAGGGATCTTGCCTGACGTACGGGCCTTCAGAGACCACTATATAGCATGGCACATGAGGGTATGTTGCATGCATCTTTGCAGCAAGCCTACCTCCCTGGTGTAAGCACTGCCGTTGATGCTCAAGTGACCGTTGGCGATCATGCTTAATGCGGGATGGGCCAGGGGTTGGTCATAACGAGCGCAGCAACTTACCAGCTTTGTTGCGGATTTTGCGGGTTATCCCGGCATTGTGGTTGCGTCTAGTCTTTCCGACCACACTGACCATGTAACATAGACGCAGCCGAGCCGTCGTATCGATCGCTGATGGCCGCTGCACCGCGTGGCTGACCACTGCTACTGCATGACACTACTGTTCGGACAAAACACGTTACATGAAACGAAATTATGGCTCATGTTTTCTTGTGATGCACTGAGCCCAACGGCCGTGAATCTGAACCGTCATCCCGCCACGTAAATATTAATTAATGTTTACGCCCTTATCACAACTGGGGACATCTGTCGAGGATGGGCAATTTCTCGGTGTCATCAGCCCCGGAATTGTCGGTCATCTGCTGGCGGGTATCGACCGCCACAGTAACGACATCAGAGGGGGGCCCAAAAACGCGCATCAATCCAGAGTCGGGATGTGGCAGACTGCCGATCACCGTTGCTCACTGGGCTACTGCGGCGCTATGACGGCCGGACCTGTTCTACTGGTTGGGAGGGGAACAAGCTCTGCGGCTCTCTCGTCTGGCGCCGGCATTTCTGACCTGCTCGGAAGCTGACGTGGCCAATAGAAGAGTCACCGGTAGGCCATGGGTGTCGAGCAGCAGACCACCCGGACACACCGCTGCATGCAGCATCCGTAAACGGGATATAAATCATGAGAGTTGCATCGTGCCCAGCCCACGACTCCGCGACAACATGGCCCAAAGAGGAGTGACATCGGTCTCATCAGCTGTGTGCCACCGATGTCCGCAGCCAACAAGTCTTGGAAACCAGGGCTCGCGAGACGCGCCCAGGTGTTGTAGCCGACACCGCCCACAAGTTGCTCGGCTCGTCTGTCCCAACTTCTGCGTCACTGGGCGCGGTCGGCGGCCAAGGCGAGAGAGTCTGATGTCAAAAGCTGGGCGTTACGAGAAGCGAATTGCCAACAAGTGGGCAGCAGGGCTGGCCGCGTACTGACCATCACTTGGCCGTGGCGGTCGACGACGCCTGGAGATCCTGAGAGCGAGCAAGCGAACAGGGCAGGCGTTCTCGACTTAGAAAATGTGCCGACGGAACGCCTGAGCCCCACACCACGGCCAACATTTGCCCTCGGAATTTGGCCGACACCAGCATTTCGCCTCCCAGGATATTCCTGCTCAAGTGGGTTCGAATTTTCTCATTTCTCCCCACAGAATCTAGATGGGAGTCTGGAGTCCTCCACTTTGGCGTAACGTGCCCCGGCATCAGCGCAAAAGGCTGGCCAACCAAGGATGAGGCGTAATTGCAAGAATGGAGCCCGTCCCGGCTGGATGGTGTGGGGAGACAAGCAATGCTTGGCCGACTTTGGCTGCTTGGCCCCCTCGTGGTAAGGTCACAGACAGCCTTGAGCCCTTGACAGGCATCCCTATTGTGGGGAGACGAGACCTGGGGAATTTTTAGGTCTAGCTCGAGCGTCTCGTCGGCTGGACCTGACTGTCCTGCCCAGCCCCCGGTGGATTCCGCTGACATATAGGTTGCCTGACCCTGGCTGGCCCGAATTGTTGGAAAAATGACGCGGGCCTTAGAACCGAGCTCGGCGGTATTCCTATCCTACTCCTGGATACGACCAGGCATGTACTATGTATCTATGTACAGTATGTACCCATGTATATTCCCACGATCCACGCCTGGCACGGCACTGTCCAACAAACAGATCCGATCTCGTGTCGTTTGTATTATAAAGAGTGACTCCTGCTGCTCCTTCCCCTTGAAAAGAGCCTCCTCCGCTTCGGTCATGCCTGGTCTCGCTTCTCGACGCCTTTCCAGCCATCGCCCTCGAAATAAACAAAAAGGTTGCTCTTTCCCTTGACTGTCGCAAGGAGCACCACACATCACCCCATTACAAACAGACCGGAAGCGCCTACACTCTGCTTCCTCTGGTGGTCTTTCCCGACCTTCCAATCCAAGTCTCCAGCTCTCAGAAACCACAAGGAAACAAGAAGCATACTCGCCAGTAGAACGACAAAAACTATACAAGAAACATCACAAGGCAATATGGTTCTCGAAAACGAGAAAGACGTAGAACAGGCCACAGGCCCCGGGCCTGCCTCGCCCGGTGCCGATGTCGACAGCTCGGACAGCAGCGCCAGCACCGGCGCGCCCGTCAAGTTCATGGGCTCCATGGGCCACAAGCTCACCATGATGCAGACCATCTTCATCGTCGCGCCCTCCTTCATCTGCTTCGGGTACAACCAGGCTGGCCTGGGCGGCTTGATCACACTGGAGGACTGGGCCAAGACCTTCCCCGAGATCGACACGGTCAACACCAAGGGCACCGAGAAGAGCGCCCACTCCACCCTGCAAGGCTTCGTCGTCGCTACCTTCGTTATCGGCGCCTTGATCGGCGCCCTGTCCTGCTCGTGGTCTGGTGATAAGTTCGGCCGCCGCAATGTCATCTTCGTCGCCGGTATCGCCTCCCTCATTGGTATCATCCTCGAGGCCTCCTCCTTCAGCCTCGCCCAGCTCATCGTCGGCCGCATCCTGGTGGGCTTCGGTGTCGGCCAATTGAGCTCCATCGTCCCGGTCTGGCAGAGTGAGACGGCTGGCGCCAAGAACCGTGGGCGACATGTTGTTATTGACGGACTGTTCATCTGCGTGGGATACACGCTCGAGTCGTGGATCAACCTCGGCTTCTTCGAGTTCAAGACCGGCCCTGTCACTTGGCGTCCACCAATTGCCATCGCTGTCGTCTTCTCGACCGTGATTGCTTCAGCTGTCTACTTCCTCCCCGAGTCGCCCCGATGGCTCGTGATGAAGAACAGGACAGAGGAGGCCCGCCGTGTCATCGCGGCCTTCAGGGCCAAGCCCGTGGATGCCATCGAGGTTCAGGCCGAGCTTCAGGGCATTGAGTACTCGCTCGAGGAGAAGACCGGCCACAAGGTCAAGTTGACCGACATTCTCTCTATGGGAGAGGACAAGCTTCTCTACCGGTTCGGCCTCTGCATGTTGCTGCAATTCTATCAGCAGATGTCGTAAGTACTCATCCTCCCCACTGCTCAATATCCTCTTCGGGCAATGTGACATTTGGCTGACTGCTATGCTTCTAGGGGTACCAACCTCATCTCTGTGTACGCAACCATCATCTTCCAGTCCAACCTGGGCATGTCCTCGGAGAACGCCCGCGCCCTTACTGGCGGCGCGCTGACTTGGAAGTTCTTGTCTTCCTTCATCGCTTTCTTCACCATTGACCGCCTTGGGCGCCGTGCCGTCTTCATGATCTCTGGAGCGGGTATGTGCTGTTGCATGATAGCATTGGCGGTCACCACGTCCTTCGGCTCCGAGAACCAGCCTGCCCAAATCGCCGCCGGCGTGTTCATCTACCTCTTCAACATGTTCGTGCCTATTGGCTTCCTCGGCGCCAACTTCCTGTACTGTACTGAGGTCGCACCAATCCGTCTCCGGATGGCCATGTCTTCGATCTCTACGGCCAACCATTGGCTCTGGTAAGTTCCTCACTCCTGTCATTGTTTATATTTCGAGGGCGTATGCTAACGGCTGAATCAGGAACTTCGTCATCGTCATGATAACCCCAGTCGCGATCGACACCATCGGATGGAAGTACTACATCGTCTTCGCCGTGATCTGCTTCTGCGTCCCCATCAGCGTCTATCTCTTCTACCCCGAGACGATGGGCCGCAACCTCGAGGAGATCGATATGATGTTCAAGGACTCGCCCTCCATCTGGGCCACGGTCAAGTTCGCCCAGAGCAGGCCGATCGGCATGCCGACAGAGTTCGTCCAGGACAAGTCGAAGCATGCCACGGACCATGTCGAATAAGGACCTCATCTTGTTATAATTCCGGCGTTTTCTTTTTCTGGGTCGGTAAAATAAAACCACCCACACACATGAGTAAATATGAAAAATGCATGGTCAGGATAGATCATTGGGCTTTCTACCACTTGAGATACCTGGCAGCAGTAGTATGATACACACGATCGGCATGAGCACGGGGGCAGTCGATGTTCTATAGACAAAAAGAGAATATTTAGAACAGTGCACCAGAGAAAAGCTAGCTAGCTTGCCAGATGGTGGAATACAAACGCTTACTCATTCACAAGAAACCCCTCCCCCACACTCCCTTCTCTCCTCTCAGCGTGACCCTCGGTAGCCGGCTTCCCACCCCAGACCTGAGATGCCCGACACCCGAGGGTAAGGCATCCCGCTCCCCGTGGAGCTCAACGGGCTTACTTCCTCATTCACGCTTAGCCCACGGCTCACCCTTGCCGACGCACGCCGCGGCGCCAGCTGTTCCTGCGTTTGCGCCGGTTCCCGCTGCGGCCCGTAGACCTGGACCGCGGGGACCAGGTACGTGTGCCCGCGGTCCTCGTACGGGCTGCCGAGGTCCTCATACGGGCTTCCGAGGTCCTCGTACCCCTGCACCGGCGACGGGCCCGGACCGGGCTCCGGCACCTCGCGGCCGTCCTCGTACCCGTGGTACCCGCGCGAGCGGTCGACGGAGCCCACCTGGTTGTCGTCGTAGGACCTGCCGCTCCTCCCCGTCATGGCGCCCGCGCCCCACTCTGACCACACGCTGTCCCTGGGTGGTCCGTAGCGGTACGCCTGCTGCTGTGTACCTTTCTGTGTATGATGGCCTCCATGAAAAGCGGAGGGGAAGTCGGCTGCGCTGACGGGCGCTACCTCCGGGGCGTTGAAGTCGAAGGGGGGCGCCTGTGAGTAGTGGAGGCGCCTCTGGCGGCGGTAGATGCACGCTGTGAGTAGTGCTACGGCGAGGACGATGAGTGGGATGCCTAGGCCTAGGCCAAGCTTGGTGGGTAGGGAGGATGTTGAGGTTCGGGAGGTGTCTGATGTTGCCCCTTCGGGCAATATCGGAGTGACTGTAGGTACTGTGGGTGTAATTCTAGCCAAAGACGAGAAGGAAGAGCGAGTTAGGGATGATGCTATGATTGATATGGTTGTTGTTCTTGGTACATCTGTTGATGGTATGTTTGAACTGGTAATGGTCCCGGACTGAGAGTTTGTGGCTGACTCCGTCGGATCTTCTATGTTGCTAGTAGTCGCACCTGACCAAGTTTTGATCCATGTCGATGGTGTCACCGGGATGATTACCGGCGTCGACACTGCGGGTGAACTGGTTCTGACCTTCGTACTGTAGACCGGAAACATCTCAGAAGAACTTGCTTCGGGCGATGCTGGCTTGGGATGATTGAGTCTCGCTTCTTCACCTCTGGCGGAATATGAATGTCTTCTCGAGAAAGACGCTGCCTTCCTGCCCACAATTGTCTGAGCATCTGATGCTCCCACACTCATCTTGGCAGCGTTACTAGAGCAGATGCAGCTTCCCGAGGCGTTACCGCCTGCGCAACAAGACTGCCCTCCTTGGCTGTCATCGACTGGATCACAACCTGCTGCCCCTGTCGCATCTCCCGAGTCTAGTGACACTGAACGTTAGACGCGGGCTCCCTCGACCGATAGACCGAGCACGGTGAAGCGGAATCAAGACTGGAAGGGAATACAGCAAGGGGAGCCTCACCCAAGCATTTCCCACCGCAGAAATTACTGTTCCACCGTGGATCAGTACAGGCGCTCCGTGGGACTGTTCCTGGAGCAAGATCTGGCCCTTCGAGGGACGATATTGACAGGGAGCACGACGAAGTGCTCGAACATGTGTACCCAGCGGGACAGCATGATGATACGGGCGACTTCACGTCGCATGTGTGATAGCCCTCAGCCAGGTCGCCATTGGCGAAGTAGCAAGGCGCACCCGCATCGCTGACGGCAACAGCGACGGTTGAGGTGGCCAGGAGGAGTTGAGAAGAAAACTTCATGCCAGAAAATGAGAATGACCGACCATTTCAGGTCGATTCGAACACAGATAGGTGGAGGCCAGACGCTTGTCCAAAAAAGAGTCGAAGTCCGCTGGTTCCATGTCCGCGACCACGGCGACTCCGATGACTTCCTGTGAGAGTGGCAAATGCATTTCATATAAATCAGAATTGATATTAGCCCAAATGCGAACAGGAATCAATTTTTCAACGTTGTCTACGGCCAAGAGTGCGAACAAGGTCACGGATCATGTTCGCGACAGGCTGCAGACCAGTCACATCGGCCACATCCGGCCTCTTCTCGACCGCGTGCATGGGCTCCCGCTTTCCCTCTTCTCCGCGTGTGCGACAATTGAACCCGGCCGTGACGGCCGGGACCACGGCCGTTGTGGGGGATTTTTGGGCATTGATGCCTTGGGAGAGAACATTCCGTGCCTACGTATGTTACAGCGCACGTTACACTACACTTTGGGCGTCGTGCGGAGGGGGGCCTTCTCTCTGGCCCGGCCGTGGCGCACTGTGAAAGTTTCCGAGAGGCAGCCGTTGAATCGAATCCGATTATGTATGTATAGATTTGGTGCTAAGGTCTAGCCTTGTGTGCAATGGCTTGAGCACTTTACTTCTTAAACTGATGCAACACAATGCCAAGTCCCAAGTCTCGCAGGTGAATCCGGTCACATGTGTGCCTAGGCACCCAAGCCCCTGTCTGTGGCAAGCGAAATGCCGCCCCCCCCCTATTAGTTAAGTTAGTCCTGTGCTAATTACTAAAATTTATAAATGGGCTTAGGTACTTACTAATACCCTTTTTATAAGGTTACTGTTATTATTAATAGCTGTAAATTATTACTAATTTCTAATTAAGTATATTTTTTTTATAACTTAAAGTAATAAAATTAAATTTTGCTTATTATATAAAGGTATATAGCCTTTACTTACTTTAATAAGGAATAATATTTATTTATTTAAATTTATTATTAATATATTTTAATTAACTTTTAAAGTAGTAATTAAATACTTATTATTATAAAAGACTTATTTATAGTACTATACTATATAATTTATTAATAATTATATAATAATACTTAAGTAAATATATATATATAAGCTAATAATAAAAATAACTGCTAGTAAGTTATATACTACTATTATAGTTAAATAAACTATATAGTAAAAAAAGTATAATAAAAGGGCTATATTAAAGGCTATTTTAAAAACTACTAAAAATAAATTAACTACTATTAAATATATAGCTTAATGTATAATAGAAAATGCTAAAAAGGTTACTAATAGGCTAAATAAAAGTATAATTATTTTTAAAAAAAGTATAAATAGTTTAAAAATAGTTAATAGTAGTAATACTACTTTTAAAATAGCTTTATTATTAAAAAACGTTAAAAGTAATATTAAGGTTTTAAAAAGCTATTTTATTAACTTATTATAGCTAAAACTTTTAAATAAAATACTAATAATATTAATTATAAAGATTACTAATATTAAGTTTTTTTAAGTGCTATTAATAAAGTACTATATTATTAAATTTAGTATTAATTAGTTAGCTTTTAATATTTTTAACTTATAAAAGAATTTATTAACTAATATAAAAAAAAAGTTAAAGTAAAATTTAAAAATAGTAAAAGTATTATTATTAAGTTATACTAATTATATATTAAAGCTAATTATTAGTAAATATTATAAAATACTCTTTATTAATTAGAGTTAGTAAAAAAATATATAAATTACTTTAAAAAAATATTTAATTACTATAATTTAGTAAAAATGCTTTTTATAAGTAAAAAGCTTTTCTTTTTAACCTTTATATATACTTATAAGGTTACTCTTTAAGGGTTATAAGTAATATTAATACTATAGGTTAATTTATTATTTAAGTAATTAATAATTAAAGTTTTTAATAAGCTATTAAAGGTATAGCTTATTACTAGCTTTATAAATAGTTTACTTATAGTTAAATATTTAAAAAGTATTAAATTACTTAATAAAAGTTTATTACCTTTAAAAGTTTATAGTAAATTAATTATTACTTATATATTTATAATAATATATAATAATTAAAAACCTTTATAAAAAGCTTATAAATAGCTAATAGTATAATAAAAGTATAATTTAAATATATATTATAAAGCTAATTATTATTATTATAATAAAGGCAACTCTTTATATTAATAGTACTATATAAAGTAAAATAATATATATATTAACTTAATTAATAATAATTTATTAAAGTAAGTAAAAATAATAATTGTTAGTAAAGCTACTTTTTATAAGCTATTAGTAAAGCTTTTTTTTTAGTAATAATAATAAGCTAAAAATAATTAAAGTAATAAAGAACTTAATAATAGTAATATTAACTTTTTATAGCTATAAAAAAAATAAAAAAAGGAGGCTAAATAAAAAAAAGGGATTTATATAATAATTAATTTATTAATTAACTTTTATATTTTTAGCTTTAGCTATAATTAATTATAATAGTTATTATTAGTATTACTATTATTATTTAAGCTATTATTATTACTACTATTATTATATATATTATAAGGCTTTAAGGAACTATTAATACTACTATTACTAATAAAGCTCTCTTTTATAAGTTACTTAAGTAATTTATAAAAGAAATATAAGCTTATTATAATATTTTTATTACTATCTTAAGTTATTAGTAATTAAAAGGTTTTATATAAGGAATTTATATTAAAAATACTATAAAAGTACTTTTATATACCTATAAAAAGAATATAATTAAAAAAGTTACTAAAAGCAATAAAGTATAAGGGTTTAAATTTATAAAAGCTTTATATTAAAAACAATACTTGATTTAATAAAAAGGGTTTGTATATAATTATATTAATTAGAAAGCTTATAAAGCTGTATTTAAAAGAAAAAAAAAACTTTTTTAGCTTTTTTAAAAGTGGTAAAAGTAATAAAGCAAAAAAGGATTTATTATAGCTATAAAGGCTATAAATATTACTAAACTTATTAATAGCTATAAAAGAATATTTAAATAAGTTTTTTAATAGTTTTTAAAAAAAGGAAAGTAATAATAATAATTAAAAAGTATTATAAGTAATAAAAAGAGTAGTTTAGTATAATAAAAAAGAGTTTTTTAGTAAGTAAAGTAAATATAAGTAGTTAAAAGTAAGTATATATAGTAAAGGGGAAGGAATTTAAATATATTTATTATAGTATAGTTTTTTATTTACTATAATACTAAACCTATACTTATAATTTTAATATTAGTTTTTTTGTTTTTTAATTAACTTTTATTATACTATTACTATTTTAAATTCTTTATATTTTTAATTATTATTAAATTAATTATTAACTTAAAACTTTTTTATTAATACTTTTATATAATAAAAATAACTTTATATAGCTTTAGTATAATATTTAACTTTTTATATATAAAAGTATAAAAAATTAGTAAATTTTTAATTTAAGTTAAAATTATTTACTTTAAATTAATATTAGCATTTAATATATTTCTTTAAATTATTAAAATAAGCTTTAATTAAATTAAAATTAAAAAAATATAATAAAAAATATATTAATTAAATACCTTTTACCTTAATAATAATATAAATCTGCTTATTATAATACTATAAAGTATTATTTATTATTAAAATTAATTATAAGCTTAAGTATAAGTTTATTTAAGGCAGAATTTTTTTAATTAGCCACTATAAAAAAAACTCCTTTATAATATAGCCCTTATATATTATAATATTAAATAAGCTGTTAATTATAATTACTAGTAATATATAGTAATAAGCCTTTTATTTAAAAAAACTTTTTATTAATAGTATATACTTAACTAATTCTTAGCTAATTCTTTATATACTATTCCTTTTATTAATAGCTAATTTATTATAAAAAATAAATATATTAATTATATATAAAGTTTTTAAAATTTTATATAAATAATACTTATAAAGGTTTTTATTATATTAGCGGGTTAATATATATACTTATTTATTAAATTAATTATACTTTTTTAGTATTTTAATAATAATATTAATTAAATAATTAATTTAGTAATAATTAAAAAGGAAATACTATATTTTATTAAGATATATATTAAGTTTTTTAAAAAAAAGATTTTTAAATACCTAAACTATATAGATTAAGTATTAATTAGGTTAAACAGCCTTATTATAAGGAAAAAAGATTATTAACCTTAAAAGCTTACTATTTAAAAATAATACTATTTAACAGTAAAAGCAATAGCACATTTAAGGTTATAATACTTATAAGTATAACTTATTTATAATACTACTAAATTATAGTGCAATTATACTAGAATTTAGCTTTAAGCTATTTATTAGATAGTAAAAGGTTAAGCTAAAAGTAATACTATAATATTTATAGTTTAATGTTTAATAAGTAATAACCAACTATTATAATAGCTTTTTTTTAACCTATTTAAATAGTTTAAGTATATAAGCAATAATAATAAAGGTATTAAGAAGGGTATTTATGAGTGCTTAAGCCTGTTTGCAAATTTTAGTAGTTAGTATAAGACTGACTTAACTAACAGGGGGGGGGCGGCATTTCGCTTGCTACAGACAGCCCATGCCCTATATGTTCAATACCACCACGACCTTTCCCATGTTGCCCCATATGATGAATACCCTTCCCGCCCTCTCCAGAGATGCAAGACAAACGCCACGCAATGCACTCAAACCGCTAGCTAGTATTAAAGCCGCCCTCCCAATTACCTGACACTCACACAATGATGGCAAATGTCGTCCTCTACCCTGGTATGAGTCCCCACCAAACCGAGCGAGCATCACCACAGACCATGGGGCCATATTCACCCCCCGGAACCCCTCTTCCTGGCAGCATCCCTGACAGCCCTCAACTCCCCCGCCAACTTCTGCTCCAGCTTCTCCAGGATCCACTCTGCCTCCTCCTGGCTCCCCATAAGTGGACTCCGGCTGCCGACCCAGCTCCACTGCAACTTGTCGGGTTCTTCTCGCATGCCGCCCTCGGCTCCCTGGTCCTGGTCCTGCCCCTTGCCCTTCTTCCTGCTCTTCGGAACTGCCTTCTTGTGGGTGTCCGCGCTGGATTCGTCCTCGCCGATCAGCTTCAGGTACCAGGCCCACTCGTGGAAGTCGTATTTACGCGGGGGTCGGGACTTGAGGTGCTGCGTCACTCGACCGATTTCGTCAATCAGCAGCAAGTGGTAGTCGTAGGGGTCCGTAGGCACGTCGCGGGGAATCTCGGCTGATGTCCGAGGCATGGAGACTGCGCGGCTCATCTTAAGGGTTTGTGACTTGATGTCTTTCTGATCCTTCTTGGCGCCACGGCCGTTGCTGTTCAGCGTAAAGGAACGCTCTATGCCGGAGCTGCCATTTTTGGACGACGACGGACGGCCTGGAGGCTCTTTGAAGCTTAGGTGGCCCTTAGTCGTTGAAGCTTGGACTGGTGTCGTAGACGATCGGCGGATGGCGTTCGCGGATCGATCCGTGTCACTGGTTGGAGAGTCGGCCTGGGTCGGCGCACTCAGTGTATCACGCTTATTTCTACCATCTTTGCTGACTGGTACGTTGCCGGCGCCCGTGCCAGTCCCGTTATCCACTTCCCGGTCTAGCGATCCTGTAGACTTGTCGCTGGACTCCTCGTCCTCTTCGGTATCGTTGTCGTGCTCTTCTGCGAAACCCAGGCCTCCCGGCGGGCTTTCCTCGACATCGCTATCGTCACCAAACACTTGGCCCAAGGACAGTGGCTTTATCATCTCCTTCAAGGCCTTTTTGAATCCCTTCTCGTCTGGTAGAATCGTAACAGTTCCTAGCTTGTCCGTCGCCTCCCGGACGAATTTGACAACAGTGTCGCCCGCATTGGAAATCAATACCGTCATAGTGGGAAGTGCTAATAGTGACCAGAAGACGAAGAAGGACTTCCCGGCGGGCGAGATAGGTGTGACATCACCATAGCCGATGGTGGTCAAACTGACAAATGCGAAGTAAAAGCCGTCAAAGTAGGTCCAGCCTTGGTATGTAACCTCACACTGCTGGAAAATGGCAGCACCGACTAGCCAGAGCATGAGCCACACTGTTGTCGAGATCCCCATAGCCATCCACCGCCTCCGATGTTCGGCACGTATTTGAATCTTCCTCATCAGTTCGAATTCTCTCTTGCGGCGCTGATACTCGGTAAGACTGGAGGTGCTCCTTTCAAGGTAGTTGTCATCGGCGTCTTCGTCTGTGACTGGAATGAGTATATCGTCTTTCCCACGGCGCACCATTCGCCTCAGTGTTCTCTTGCGCTTCTTTTCCATTAACCGGGCGCTCAGTTGGCGCTGGCCCCGCTCTAGGACAAGGCTTCGGATGGAGCCAACGACCAAACCGAGACTGATGACGCCAACCAGGGCATATGGGAATAGAAGTGCGCGACCCAGTGGGGTTGCTGCCGAAAAGTCGCCAAAGCCGACAGTGAAGAGTGTTACGTCGGCCCAGTACACAGCATCTAGGTATGGCCAGCCCTCTATTGTGGAGAAAACTAGGGCGCCGACAAGCAGGTACATGAGGAACATGATGGTCTGAAGCATAAGGGTGCGTTGACTATTAGTCAACTGGAAGTCCTTGGAGTAGTGGCCCTTCATTGCTCCCCAAAAGGTCACGACCATGAGGGATGAGCAGACGAAATAGAGACAGGCTGCGTAGATGCCGTAGTAAAATGCCTGTGACCATATGAAGACGTTCTCGGGCTGTTCCACAAGTGGTCCTGCGGCTGTGGCGTTGAGTGCGATGAGGCATATAGAGGATATATACCTGAATTGCGAAGAAAAGTCCGGTGAGTCTCAGAAGCCAAACCATGATTGAGTGATGGAAGCTCTTACCAGGTCACTATAGTAATTGGCTGCGCTACTGAGAACCTTATCTTCCTGGCCATGTTGAGCAGGAGCACAAGGTTCGCGATGACAGCCATGGCCACTTGGATGGCATTTATGACGGTCAGCCTGGGGAACAATCAGTATCTGCGAGCCCATAGGCGACGTAATGATTAGGGGAACGAACCAAATAGGGTCTGTGACGAAAACAGCCTTGTCGATGTCGGATCCGGGAGGAAATCTCTGCCTCCAGGGTCGAACCAGCGCGCATATACTGAAGGCATTGGCGACAGGTCCGAGTGTTCCCGCGATGAGCGGAAATGCCGAGCTGGCGAACCACCAGCGGCTGGGATCCAGATGAGCCTCATCGTTGTGGATTGGGTTGCCTCCTGATGACTGTGATGGTCCATTCTGCTGCTTGGACTCTTGTGAATCCTGGCTGTCGAAGGCCTCGACGTGTTCCTCGACACGGTCACCACTGTCGGCCATCATCTTGGCTGGAGGTTTGGCTGTGCGAGCCAGACGCGTTTTCGTACCGTCAGGAGGTGGATGCCCTGGTCCGGATCGAAGCCTTTGTCTCGGAGGTGACAGGCGACAGCATCACCGTTCAGTGCACCACGCGTGAAGTCGATTCCAAAGGAGAGACGAGATGATAGACAAAGGGGCAGCAGTGTTGGAGAGCCTTAGTCAGTTCCTCTTGGCAGGATACTTATTTCCAACCTTATAACGATGGGATCCCTGGTAACATTTTGACGAAGCTGTGCGTGTTATCCGACGTTGAACAGAGGAACAGATAGGACGAGAGAGAGGGCGGAACAAGTTATGTCGACGCCACATCGGGAGCTCAAGAGAATGGCGTTTCCAGGAAATTGGCTCTGGCTGCAAAAAACGCACCTTATCTTTCTAGTGCACGCAATGACGTCGGTAGTCGGTTCATGCGGGATGGGGAGACGCAACCACCGTGAATTTAGTTACGTCTTGTTTGTTGGAGTAGACTGGGCATTTTGGCGCGAGGGCGGCGGTAGCAGTCGAGATGGCCAAGCACAAGCACAGGGGCCCCTTGCCAATGCTGTCAGATGCATGTCAAGCCCCCCGTGAGCCCCAATGCCAACCACCTGCATGCTAACCCTGTCTGGGCCATTTTTGCAGGCGCCTCTCATTCGGTCCCAGCATTCAGCCTGCAGCGGGACCACCCTACCCAGATCGTCACCCCCACAAAGCTTGTCTTGTGTCTTAGTCGCACCTCTCGTACTCCAGAGACACGTCTAGAAGCCCACGCTTGACTGCATTGCCTCTTTCGGACCTGTTGTGCAGGTTGTTGTGCAGGACAAGGGCTTGCAAGCCTTTTGGGAGTGCCAAGTTCTGAGAATACTCTGCCACGCTCTCAAGACTCGAGTCAAAAAGACTCGACTCAGCTCGATATCGAAGAGGCCTCTGACTGAGGACCATGCCAATATGGCCCTCGTCGCCCACATGTCTCGCCAGACCCCGCCTCAACGCTGCACTGCTGTCTTGGTCAAGATGCCTCAGTAGCACAGCTAGGCTCAGGACACCTCACACCGACCACTTCCAAGTCCCTTGTGCTTCAGCTGGCCATGTCATCGTCAGCCTCCACGATGTCATGAAACATCCAGTCTCATCCCCTCTCATCATCAACTTGCCGCCTTTCCCGGTCCAAGACATCGACCATGTAGACAGCTATCTGCCGGCCTTCCTGCACCGCTTCCCATGCGCTACCATCCACTACCGCTGGACCAACTCGCTGGAGAACCACACATCTCAGCTGGAGGACATCGAGACTGCTACCGAGGCTGAGTCTGCTGAGCCCCTGCCCCCGTCAACACCCCTCCACTGGCCAACTCCCATCCATGACACCCTCTTTGCCTATGAGTTCCTCATCGAACACCTCTCCCCGCCTCCCAACGACACCACCGGAAGCAGGTTCCAGCGCCGACCTGTCTTCGTCTATGGCTCGTACTTGGGTGCTAGTCTGGCTTCCTCACTGGCCCTGACTGAGTCTCATACACACCAGCCCATGGCCATACGAGGCCTGCTGGCGTTCAATGGAATCTTTAACTGGACCACCATGCTCCCGGATCACCCCAACAACAAGCTCATGCTGGACGACCTGCTCGAAATAGACAGCTTGGACGAGGTTGACAAAGATGTGGCCTTCATGAAAGCACTCATGCCGTCGCACTTCCACCAACCAGCCAATCTCTTCGACCCCTTCGCCAGCCCCGTGCTCTTCTTCCACACGGCAGGAATGCTAGTGCCCCAGACCTTCACAGAGCGATCAACACCAAACTTGTCCCAAGGATTCGTGGACGCCGTGAACAAGCTCTCATCCCCAAGTAGCACCGCCGGCGCCGAGGACCCATACGACCGGGCCTACGTCTACTCCGACCCGGAGGACCCGCCGCCCCCAACGCCCTACGAGGACGTAGAGGCAGACACAGAGACCGAGGACACAAACACAGACACCAGCTCCTCGGCCGACAGCGGCATATCACTCAGCCCCAAGCCCCCGCGGAAGGGTTATGTGACCTTCCCTCCGCGCGCCTCCTCCCTCAAGATCCCGGACACCCTGCTCCTGCACACAACCTCGCCGCCGACCCCGTCGGTGCCGGGCTCGGTCCAGGGCCAGCGACGGCGCCTGGCGCTGTGGAAGAAACTCAAGAACGCCGAGAACAGCTTCGGCACCCAGGCGCTGGGCCTGGCCGGCCTGATGCGCCGCAGCGTGAACCTGTACGAGCTTCGCGAGCGCGTCAAGTGGGACTTGGAGTTCAACGGCTGGGACACTGAGGCGCTCAGAAGGATCCAGGTCCAGGACGTTGGGGAGGCTGATCGGGCTGCGGGCGGGTTCGCCTTGGGCAGGCAGGGCGAGGAGGTCGCTTCGCGGTGGTTGGATAGCAGGTTAGGGTAGTTCGAGGTGCACATAAACTCAAATTTAGCGAGTAAGAGATAACTTGTCAGAAGAATCGTTCCGATGACACAATTGTTCAAGGCAATGGCCAAGTTGAGTTCTTGGAACAGACTTGACAATGGAATGAGTAGCAACAATCCATCAATTCGATGTCGTCGGCTACATTGGACGTCGATTGCAAATATCAGGCAAAGTGCTTTTCATTGGGTATCAAAGTTATATCAGTGAACCGTCCCTGGTCTGCTTTCCTCCACATTGCACCGCAGCAACCAACACGTTGGCATATTTACTCGATCAGAGATCCATCTTCATCCATATACAGCTCTTCCGTGATATCGCTGGGGGCATCGTCTAGATCAGTATCCTCCGCATCTAATTGATGGCGGCCTTCCGCGACATTGCGTTCTTCAGCCAAGCCATCAAGCTGTTGAGCTGGAGTCATCTCGTCGGCAACATTGTCAACGAGAGCAGCCTGGTCCACGTTGGCCTCGGAGCTTAGCGGCCCGTCGTTTTGAACAGCGTTGACCACAACGTTGATAGCAGGTGCATCCACGACCTGCTCCGTCAACGGAGGAGGGTCCTGTCCAGCCGGCTCGACCTCGAAGCCGCCAGGCTCCGCCGTCGGAATGTCTGGCTGTATCTCTTCCGTCACGCTCATGGTTTTCGGCTCGTCCTCCTCATCTTCGTCATCGCTTTCCAACACGCGCCTTCGTGCACGTTGCCGCCGATGGGGGCCCAGGCTGTCTTCAGGCGTCTGCGCTAAGTGGTGATCATAATCAACATCTACGGCCTTGCCCTTGCCCTTGACGTCGATGGTAACGCCAGCAGGCTCGAACCCTCCAGGCTCAGTAGCGTCAGGCTCAAATCCGCCCGGTTCAAATCCACGGGGTTCAAATCCGCCTGGCTCAAACCCTCCTGGCTCAAACCCTCCTGGCTCGAAGCCACCTGCCTGGTTGTGATCAGGTTCAAACCCTCCAGCAAATTGGTCCGACCCTTCATCGTCCATATCCTCATCTTCATCCACAGAAAAATCTTCCAAAGGAACGGACTCATCAAACATATCCTCGTCGCCGAAGACGCTCTTCCGGATCCGCAGACCCCTCAACAGCCTCTTCCAGGTCGCCAGAGCCCGTCGACTCCTCTTCTCCTCCTCGAGCATTGCCTCGAGGTCCTCAAAGCCGTCAATGACAGATCTCACACCCTCCTCCGCCTCAGCCGGGACAACGACACCGTTGTACACAGCCGTGCCCTTGCGGCCTCGCCAGTCAAACCCAGTCAGGGCAGGCGCGTAGTCCACGCCCAAGATGTGTGCGGCGTGTCCTGCACGAGGATGGGAGATGTGCGCGCCGTGGGCGGGCACCATGCTAGGCACATAGAGGTCGATGTTGCCGAACTTGTTCTTGGGCACGCGGCCAGCGACCACAGGCGGCGGGACATAGAGCGAGGTCTGATCGAACGTGAACATCGGTATGCCCTTGGAGGGGCTTGGTCCGAGTACAGGGTCATCGCTGCTGCTGCTGTCGTCCTCGTCATCAGCTGCCCTCCTGCCCTTCCTCTGCGGTCTTTTCCGTCTCGGCAGGACCTTCACTGGTTCCTCTCCAGGATTAATCTCCCTGCCTAGGCGGTACCACTTGTCCACGCTCCTTGCAGCAAGCACGTTACGCCGCCGATATATCTTCTCCAGCGGGCCTTTGCTCCCTGCCCCGACCGTGCCCACGACCGATGCATCCGGAGCGAGGACCTCATGCCGCCGCATGTGCCTCTCGAGCGCATACACAGGATGGTTCTTGAAGTCTGCAACATTCCGTGGCATTGGCTCCCTCGCCTCCAGGCCGCTCAATTCATTGTTCTCGATCTGGTCCAAGTTGCTCTTAACGCCGGGCTGTTTGTAGCGGCGCATAACTCTGCGCCACCACTTCTTCCCTTCGTCCTCGGGAATCAACGGCCCGTCAACCCGTAATCGTCTTGTTTTGGCATTGTATGCCTTTGCGTACCTTCGTGTAACATCTTTTCCGCACCCATCTTCTTCGAAGGCAATCACGTAGCTCAAACAGTTTTCACGGTCCGCGGCTGGCGGTTCGAGTTTGTTGGCACGAAACAAGGTATAAGTAACGAGGACGTCAACAGGCTGCCATTTCTGATGAGCTGCGTCGAGAACCTCGACCCAGTAGACGGGGAAATTGGACTCGCGCAGGTGAACGGCTTGCCTCGGTGGAGTTCGAGGTGTGACTGTTGGAGGTGCGGAGACCTCCGGAACAATGTAGGCAGCGGCGTTTGGATGGCCAAGACGGGCACGAGGGGATGACATTGCGACAGATGAGGTGGGATCTGCTCGTGCAGCCTCAACCCTTGCCGGGGCCGGCCTGGACGGCGTCTTTGCCTGGCGAGGCTTTGGCATTGTAGGACCGCTTGTGACAAAGGACAGAGGCTGCAATGAGCAGACAAGGCGGGTCTCCACGCCAGCAGCTCTTAGCAGCGCGCAGAACAGTTGAGCACCAACATCTCTAGAGCCATTCAGGCGTTTAGCAGCTTTTCGAAAGTCGGCCTTTTCTAGACAAGAGTCAATCTCATCTGGGAGTCCGTACTATCGCATTCGTTAGCATGGGGTTGGAACCAAGTGGAGTCAACATGCCCCAAGGGGGCAGAAAGCACACACATTCTCCAGTTGCTTCTCGTCCTCAGCCCACAGTGCCCTTCGCAGGCCTAGTTCTGTGATAGAAAATCTTTGCTGGAACTTCTCCATGATCATCTGCAAGCCTTTTTTGAGGGACTCAGTCTGGCCGAATTGTGTTAGATGGGGCTCTGGATTCAGCCATTGCACGATCTTGGCTGTAAGCAGGGGCCGCAGGTTTTCCTGGACCACTCGGTCGTTGCACCAGTGATTTCTTTTCTCGACATGTGCCAGCAAACAGAGTATGTGCGCCTTGTGTATCTCAACACGACGTTCCTTCTCTTCCTTGCTGACGGGCTTCCTGCGGTCTGCGTTGCGCCTAGACGGTGTCAGAGCCTCCCTGGCTGCAGTGAGGTTGAGCTCGAGTGTCTCTTGTTGTTCAGGGGGCTGCTCGGTGTTTGCGAAGACCGCGCCGAAGTCCACATCCTCGAATTGGGCGTCATCTTCGGACTCTTCGTCACTCGACTCGCGGTAGGTGGTCTGTATAGTCGGCTTGGGTATATCAACATCCTCGAACTCGATGTCTTCGTCGTCATCATCTTCGTCCCCGTGCTCATTAGCGATCAACGTATTTCCTTCTCGCGCCTTCGGAGACACGACGGCCACGTTTCGATCAGTCTCCTGCGCCCGAGATGTGGGGATTCCTTGGGCAGCTTGTCGTCCGGTGCGACGCTTCTTCAGAGGTCGCTCGGAATCCTCTGACGTCATGCGGTCCGGCAAGGCACCGGAGTCGCGCAGCATCTGCCTGTAGACACCCGGGACGAGGGCATCGGCGTCGACTTGGTTCGCTGATGACCGAGTGTTCCGGGTGGTTCGAGGCGATGCGCGGGCTCCTCTCTGTGCAGCTTCGGCTCTGCGGGCGACGCCTGAGGCGGCTGCCCCTCTTCGTCTTGCCATCGCGTCGGCCGGGGCTGTTTCGCAGGCCAAAGCAACAATTATTTAGTAGTCATTGGCTTGGGAGGCCAGCCTGAGGAGAATGGCTGTTAGGGCGCTCCCTCATCGCGCCAGACACCGCAGCGAAGTACCAATAGGGCGTGCCGAGTTGAAGGAGCGAACATACATCATCAGCGCGCCTCGCGTCGGCACGTGGGCGATGCGATGCGATGACTAAGCAGGCGGGTACATTGATACTCCGAATACATCGCCATCTGCTCTCGAGTCTTAGCATCGAGTCCGGGGAGGGGTATCTATTTCTCCATGGCTTGGAATGAGACCGTATATCTAGATACAGTCTAGCATAGTCAAGAGGTGAGAACATAGCGGTCCTTACTGTAAGACATCGGCTTCACATTGTCGGGTCCCAGTCCCCCCCACACCTCCCCACTCCGACCACACGATACTTACTTGGTTAAAGCATCAGCAGAGAAGAAAGCGACGTTCAGTCTTACCACCGAGGCATCCGTATTATATTCGTGTTTCAGGCAGCAGAATTTCAGGCATAAATATCTGCGGACGATCGCAAGTTTCCAAGCCAGCTACACTCGGTTCTATTCATCCGATCTTACTTGGTCGCAACAACTCCGTTCTAGCAAACCAACTTCACATTCTCACTTCAACATGGCCATAACAGAAGCAGGATGCAGTATCGTCAAACCAGGCATCGATGTCATGGATGAGAGCACACCCGAGGGCCAGATTTTGCTTAAGATCTGGAAGGGCGTCACAAGCCACCCAACGGGTCCTTTCAGGGTGTTCTGGGGTACTGAAGTCGAAAATCCCGCCAACCTGTGGGGTTTCTTTGACTTTGTCTCCGTAGAAGAGCACCAGAAGTTTGCTGATGAGTAAGTGCCATCTCGTGAGGACGCACATTTAAGTAGCCATCGCTGACTACATGACCCCAGAATTGCCAAAGACATTGTCACGGACTTCCCTAAGATCCTCGGCGGTCACCATTTCACAAAGCACTTCAACCTGACCCCCTACCCACACACCGCCCTGAGGGCCCCCGTGACCGAGATCCTGCTGATCTGGTTTCCTTCGGACGCCTCGCAGGAGGTCAGGGACGCGGCCACGACGCGGTTGCAGAAGTTCGCCGACGCCATCGGCGGGTATGCGGATATCAAAGCCATCAACTTTGGTTGGGGCGTCGAGAACGACTTTCCAGTCCGTGACGGGGAGGAAGGGCAGAAGGGAAGCGTCCTGACTGCCCAGGTTGGCTGGTCGAGCATTGAAGCTCACATTCAATTCCGTGAGACTGACACATTCAAGGACAACATACACTTGCTCAGGGAAATTGGGGGCAAGATCAAGATGACCATGTTCCACGTCAAGGCCCGTGTTCTGGAAAATGAGACCAGGAAGGAGTAGGTCAGCGGAAGCATTGTAACGCGAAATTCCATGAACTTCACTCATCTATCCTCACTTCGTGATCTCTGTTTATTTCGTTCTTTCGAACCAAATGGCCCCCAAATGAATGAGAATCGTCGCAGGATGCCTGAAAGCAGCTCCGTGTTGTTTCTGTCACTGTATCCTTCATTCATCAAGAAGAATTGGGCTCCTTTGTAAGCAATTTGAGAAATATGTTACTATGCCTGACGATCAACAGTGGAAAGTGTGTTAATTGGCTTTTGGTATTCCGACCACCGAAGTTGCTTACTTGCCACACGAGGCAACGGAGTGAAATAAATCTACTCGCACAAGAGCGAGACCAAAAATTCTATCAATCGCAAAAATAAGGTGTATCAATTGCGACTATAAGGAACCACGACCTGTAAAGGTGCTAACGTCCTCACGTGTGGTATCATCATCTATCAACCTCGCGTATTGTGTCTCTTCACTAGTCCTGGCACCCGAAGACAGTATTCGTCTAACCTTGCTATGGAGAACTTGCCGTTCTCAGTCAGATTTCGTATATGATAGACGTACTTGAAACTGGCATTAGAAAAGCCGTTGCCATTACATATTAGGTGTCTTTGATCTGTCTGTATTGACCCAATTCCCTCATATTCATCAATGCGTTGCCAAAGAGAATCTAAGACCAAAAGCACCATCAGACTTGAATTGAGATATATTTGCATTTCACTCACTTCATCCCTCAGCTCATCCGTGTTTGATGAATCCTTTCAGTAGGGAAGAGATGCGGTATGAATTAAGCGGGACCAAATAGTCCGCCTGAGGGAGGATTAAGATTGGTGGCATCCTGGCAAGTTCGCGGGTGTAAAAAGAGCTAGTAAAGCTTTTTCACAAGAAATGGTACATGACTTTAAGATGGATACTGACTTCGAAAGGGAAACAGCGGTCAGCATAATAATCTGGGCTATACGGGTTTCGAGAACATACAGCATTTGCAAGAACACAAGATGAGTTCCCACACTTCACTGCCATCTCCTGATTTCCCTTGCCAGACCTGACCGGAAAACTCGGCTACCAGGGTCAGGTAGTATTGATGATGTTGCTACAAAGGCCGCTTTCTGAAGGAACCCAGCAACGCAGCGACTGGCGACCTTCCTTTCTCGGTGCGCTGTCTCTTTGCCCTCTGTTTTTCTTCTTGGTCTAGTATGCCCGAACTACTAAGTCCTTCGTACAGAGCCCAGGCACCCAGCGTCTTCGCGTCCCTTGCTCCTACTTTCCAAAGATCGGTATACTTCTCTAACCGAAGCGTAATGGCTTCACCCGCAGTTCGCAAGCCGGTAATTTTGCCTTTCAAAGCCTCTATATGAACTCGGTCCATCTCCTTTTCCCAGAGGAAGAGCGAGATATGCTCGTCGCATCCGCCAGGACTAGGATACATTGCCTTGGCCAGGGTTTCTGTGTCCCCGTCTGATTCCTGAAGCGCGAGTTCAGTCATGTTGATGAGCTCCGACATGGGAATCTTGAGGCCTGTCTCCTCCTCGATCTCTCTCGCCGCGACACCAGCAAAGTTGTCGCTAGCATCCATCATACCGGCCGGGATCTCGATAAAGCGCAATGAGCAGGCTGGGGCACGGGCCTGCTCGGTGAGAATGACCCAGCGCTCATCCCGCTTGTCAGAAGGGCGCAGAATCATGAGCATGGCAACACTCCCGCCACGGAGGAAGACAGTCTCGTAGAGCGTGTTACTGTAGTCGACCGGAAACGCCTTGGGATCTGTAGTTTGATTTGCCTGTTCTGCAGTCGGATCCCGCTGAATCCAAGCCTCCATCTTGACAAAGCCCACTTTGCCATTGGGAAACCGTGTGATGGCTTTGACATGGATACTTTTCAAAGAGTAGGGACGCTTGTGGTGTGGATGTGTCTCGTCTCTTTCTTGTCGTGCAAGATTCTCCTGCATCGTCTTCTTCCATTCTTGGAAAGCTTTGAAGTTCTCGAATTCTGCCTTATCGATACCGCCTCTCCGTCTCCAGTCGCCTAGACCATATTCGTCGAGGTCGTCAGTTTGTGGGCACCAAAGACTGACTGTGGAATTGCCAAACTCGAGATCGTACTTCTTCCACGTGAAGTTGGGCGGGCAATCAATGATTTCCGACATATCTGTTAGGATTTATCTTGTCGATCTGCGACTCAGCAGAGTTTGAAGCGACATGTGTCGAAGGAACCAGATGTGTTCAGCCGACAGCAGTGCGCGGTGATGATAAGCGAGAACCCCTCAAGAGTCCTCAGGCGCTGTCCTGCGCTTCATGTAGCGCCAAAATCAGGCAGTGCAGACTCATCCAGTGTAAAAACCCCCTGTCTGGCAGAACCAAGATGATTGGATGGGGCGGCAGGCTGCTGCTCATGTCTCACAGCTACCTCGCAGGCTAGCGCTAATCGGCGATGGGCCCTCATCCGTCGCCCGAGTACACAGCCACCTCTTCGTTGAACCTCTCAAGGTGAGGAGCGTCTTATAAGCATATGCAGTACACCAATATTCTGACACAGCAGTGCATAACACCAAGGGGACATGGGAATTGATCCAACAGAATGATCCACTAAACTCTACAGCCTGATAAGCCCTCCCACATTACTTCCCAGCTGAGCATGAGATTTACCTGCATCCCGTTCCACTTATAGGCATCGGCATATCTGAAGCCAGGCGCGACAGCAGTACCAGGGTTATTGGTTGGTCAAAATTCTTCAAGTGGCCTCTTCTTCCGCAGAGATACAAACGTGTTTAGCTGGTACAGAAGCCCTAATGGATTAATATTCTGGGCGCATGGGGCTGAATATGGCGTTCTAAAGTGGGTGGAGTGGAGGTTTGAAGAGGTGGGGCGAGATGTGCTAGGCGGGCCGAGGGAATGGCCTATGGGTAAGTGGAGGCAGCCCTTGGAAAATATCGCTATTTCTTTGATTCTGATTGACTTGTCTATTAAAAGAAGAAGGGGAAAAGGGCCCTGGGTGCTTCGGATGGATTGTGATTTGATGATCACTTTGATTTTTATGTACGATGGTCAGTTGTTCGGGAGATTGTATATAGAGATGCCAGTGTGCCTTATGCATTGCATCGTACCGGCCCACTCGACTACTGTCGCGCCCAGTCAGATATGCACACATGCAGCGCGAATCAATGTAACCTTCCCTTGGTCGGAGCGGGCGCTACGCTATTCGGAAACAATCGAAGACTGCCAAAGTACAGCAGGCCGGCAGAGTGGTCCACCTCCACACCGAATTATGTTGGTTTTCTCGCCGCCCTTCCAGCTCAACCATGTCTCCCATTTAGTCCTGACGTTCCCGGGTTATATCGCCTAAAGACTGCTCAAGCTTCTCCATTTACAGATTGAAAATCGACATCATTCAGTCCCTCATTTGTTCATTTGCTCATTTTTCCACTTGACAATATGCTTTGCGAAATCTGCGTATGGATGTTGCGAGGGCGTCGTGGGCAGATTTTTGGGGGCACACTAGGCCTTCATTTCGTCCATCATGATTCGGCAGAGTCTTTCTGGACATCTGTCTCTAGAGACTGCTCAATCTGTCGCGTTCTGGGAGACGAACTCGGGGCCAGCTTCTTCCCAGCACTGCAGGGGACATACTTGACCCGCGACCGGGCCTTTCTGGATCTACGCAGTCAAGCACATTTGTCTGTGGTGAATCCAGCATCTGACGACTCTGACCCTGTCTTCGTGTACCGCCTCGACTTCACGGTGGAATGGGCCGGAATCAAGTTCAGCCGGACTTTTGTACTCAGGCCAACGGGTATGCCTTATTGTTTGCAGGAAGACCCTCTTTAATTGTAACTCTGCCTGACCCATGATGTGCCAGACTTTAAGGAATTGCAACCGAGGACGCCGATTTCCGACCACATGTACCATGCTGAAGTATTAGGACTTGCCAAGACATGGATTCAAAAGTGCAAATGCGTTAAACAACAGGGCTTGAGACAAGATCAGTATCCGACTCGTCTGATCAACTTAGCCGAGTTGAAGAAGATGGGCACAATTGACTTAGAGGAGTGGAAATACCACGGGGCCCCGGGACTGACCGAGCTGCAAAACACGACTGTCAACCTGGTCGAAACAAAAGATCTGGACGAATTGAAACTGGAAGGCAAGACCTACGTGACACTCAGTCACAAATGGGGTGCCACAGATAAGCCGGCCACACTGACGAAGGAGTCATATGAGACATACCGACAAGGTGTGAAATTTGGAAGCCTGCCTAAAACTTTTCAAGACGCCAGTAAGCAGCTTCTGGTCACTCCTTTCACGTACCTGAGGATTTCTATCTGCCATACTTGTAGGCTGTCTTGTTGCTTGTCTTCAATTGCCTCATCTGACTGCAAGAATGATAGACAGACTATAAGATGACAGTGTTCTGCTCCAGCCCATTTCGTATCAGTCTTACTAACTTAAATTTCACACACTAACTCTGGAAACTACAGTCCGCTTCGCCCTTCGGGTGGATGATAGCGTTCATTACATCTGGATCGACTCATTGTGCATAATTCAGGGCGACCCTGGTGATTGGCTCAAAGAATCAGCCCTCATGCAGAAAGTCTACCGCAATTCATTCCTGAATATCTCAGCGACAGCCGCGGAAAACAGTGGTGATGGTCTGTACTCAGAAAGGTACCCACAGCACTTGTGGGAAGATGTGGTAAGCCTGGATGTTGATGGCCTTCATAAAGGCACGCACCTTCCACTCCGGACTCAGTCAGGCTTCTCACCCAACCCTGCCGTCACAAGGAGCGCGCCATTGGATATGGAGTTCACTCATTTGGCCAAAGTAAGAAGCTGTCTGCTGTTGGACGTTTCGAACTGGGAAAAATTGGTGAACCAGGCCCCGGTTAACAAGCGAGGCTGGGTTGTCCAGGAACGACTATTGGCACCTAGAGTGTTGCACTTCTGTCGGGGCCGCATTGCCTGGGAATGCGCCGAGTTTGATGAAATTGAGGGACACTATCCAAACATACCGAACTACCAACTCGTTGGTGACGAGATCTACGAAGGCATCCCCATCAAGGGATTGGAGCCACAAAAACATGGCCAAAAGCTCAGAAGAAATAGGCTTCGCGGAGAAGACGATCCTCTCTTGGATAACACGGACAAGGTCTCTCCAATAGTTCACTCACTTGAGTTGTGGGCTCGCATCGTCGAGATGTATTCCAGGACTGACTTGACCCAAAAGAAGGACAAACTCATTGCTCTGTCGGGAATAGCTCATAGGATGGCCACCATCATCGAGACATCGCGGAAAGTCAAGTATGTAGCGGGACTGTGGGACGCGGACGAGCACCTTGTCAGTCAGCTCTTGTGGCATGTCGAACCAGTTTGTCGTGGTGATACCGAGTCTGGAGGCAGCACACTTGAGTATCCGTCGAGGCGTCCAAAAGAATACAGGGCGCCAAGCTTTTCTTGGGCATCAATAGACGCCCAGTATGGGAACGGAATTACTTGTGGCGATGTTCTCAATCCTGAAGGAATTCTCGTCAAAGTCCCGCAGGACGACGCCATTACCGATTCCGAGATGGACACAAATGTCTGGAGAAAGAGCGTGTTTGTGCGGTGCAAGACGGAGAACGAGTTCGGTCTTGTCACAGGAGGGCACATCCGGCTGGAGGCCTACTTGTACCCGGTGAAGCTAGAACGGGAGGGAACGCACTATTACTGGTCCCTGGGTGTCGGCAATAGCGCGAGCGACGAGGTCAGAAAAGAAAGGCACTACAATGTTTGCCTTGACTGCCCAGGCGATGACGACCAACACAGCCGACTCACCAAGTCCGAGGAGATCCACTGCATGCCGGTGGCGGTGAGGTTGTCGAGGAAGTCCACTGATCTCGTATGCCTCCTCTTGGAGTGTGTCCCTGAAAACCCTCGGATAAAGACGTGGCCAGAGGAATGCCGGAAACTCACCTTCAGACGCATCGGCTTTTCAAAGCTGTCACTTACATTTGATTATTTGACGTTGAGGCATTTTGCGAAGGACATTGAACAACCAAGTGGAAGTGGTAACGAAAAACACGGGAGAAAAATTGTGTACATAATTTGATGAGACTCATTCGGAAGAGTCTGGTTTAGGTGTCTGGATTCACATCACCCAGCCTCCAACATTGAAACCTCGGACCAAACAGGAGCATCAGCGGCCATTGGCTCAGCTTCGAGAGCTCGTCTGAAGCAGCAAAATCATGAAATATTCGAGAGGCTGCACAAGAACCATTGCTTGCCTCATTGACAGGTTTTATCCATCATAGCCGATACCAAGAGTAGATATTGGTTATATGACTGGAACACCGCAGAAACAATTTTCAATAACCCGCGCAGGACCATGGATGTGGGGAGTAGTACCAAATACTCTAAGTAAGTAGTAGTTTAAGTCCCTTCCTTAGTTTACATGCATGAAGCAAAAGCACGAATAAACGAAGTAAATCGGTCGACTATCTAATACCTGCAATCTGTCAAATCTCAACGGCGGGAACGCTTCCGACGTGGATAAGCTTTTTCTCATCAGGCATTGACTTCATTGCTAACAGAGAGCGCGAGAAAGAAAATCCATGGCATTACTCCCATCGAATTGTTGGGCGCGAATCACGACCCTGGCGAGCTTTGTCACGCGAACAGGGCGTTCTGACCGGGAGTGGTTCAAGTAAGCCATCTACCCAACTTGCGCTTGTGCTGGAAGCAACACCTTCACAGAAGTGACTGACTGATGGCTGCACCTGAGCTGACCGGAGTTAGCCGAGCATAGACTAAGGAGGGCGGTGAATCAGACGTACACTTTATCTGATCAACGCGAGTAGCGCTGAAGCTTCTGTTGGCTACCAACTACCAAAGGAGTCAGGAAGCTGCAAGGCTGCAAAAGGAAATGTGATTTGGCCAACAACTTTTCAGTTAGTTGTTCACAAACCGTTTGCTCACGTCGTAACCAGGTCTATATAAAGGACCGCAATAAGCAGGCCGATTTCTTGATTCGTCCCGAAAGACAAATTACATGCACAGCGTTGAAATCACCAGACTTTCCCAAGATTAATCAAAAGCATCAATAAGGACACCATGTCAGAGCAAGGACCCGACGATATCACCGAGGTAATGGAAACGTAAGTCTGCCAGTTTCTTCCAAGGGAAATGATACGAGGCTAACATTGTATACACAGCACGAACATCAAAGATGTTCCCAAGATAACTGTCACCGACACTGGTGGGAATACGACCGATCGCAAGTGATGGTTGACTGGCATTAGCAACGGTACCGTATGGGTTCGCTGTGATGGCACACCCTTTAGTGGTTGAGGGGGTCAACCGAGACAGCAAAGTTGAACTGAGGGCTCCTTCCAATTACGATCTCCCTACCGTCTTGTTACAGGAGAATGAGTAGTCTCGTCTTCTACACAGCCTAACATTGGATCAAGCTGGAAGGGCGCCTATCAACATAAAGATATCACTTGAAGACCGATTTGCAAATTGTGTGTGGAGTTCTCTGATTTACAAAGTCCTGAAAGACTTCATGCAGCAAGTACAGTGCCAAAATGCCTATGTACGCATGCAATATGCAGTATGAGGACCCGCTGCGTCCTTCCGGTGTCTCTAGCGGACACACCAGCTCATCAAGTATGCCCGCTCTCTAGCTCTATCTGAGCAATGCTGTACCATGCCGTGATCATGCAATGCGATCGATGCTCGCTACCATGATGCTGTGTCGTAAAACCGACCGCAATGTGCCTAGTCCCCCCTGTCCCTATTTGTACACCGTAATCCTAATTGTACAATTAAATTCGCTTTGATGATTCCGAATAGGCTGTCGTGTAGCCCGAATGCTTTCAGTGGGTGCCTCTTCACCAAGCTGACTTGCCCCTGCGTCGTCGATGTTACGCAGTCAGATCGTATGGTTCCTTCATCAACGCGAAAATCGTCTTTCCTTGCGGAATGCAGGCACTAGAGGCACTTCGCAGTCCCCAAGTCCTCTCAAAAGCCGTAATCACCAATATCGGGCCAAGGACAGCGTTTTCCATGCCCATACACCAGATTGACCTGTCCACTCAGGGCCTTCGGGCAAGTCGTGCTTTTCCCCACGCCAGAGCCGTCTGCGTCTAGTCATAGTCACTGCCACCGAGTCGCAGCAGAAACCAAACTCAGTACGTGGCCCCAACCCAGTCAAGAAGGGCCACTAGAGCCCTCAAAGTCCACGCCCCGAAGCCGTACATCCCCACGACCACCGTGACCATCCACAGGGCCACCTTGGCCACCACGACGCTGAACATACAGAACACAGCGACCGTCGCCCGCAGCGCAAAGCCGCAGCTCACGCCGAGGGCGCCGCCGAACCGCAGGTCGTCGAACCCAACGGCGCGGGACGCAGCGAGCCCGACCCTCGCGATGCCGCGCTGCAACAGCTCGCGCCTCCGCAGGCGCGTCGCCTTGCTACCGGCGGTGACAGCAGAGGTGGTAGGGGTCGCAGCCGACTGGGTGGTGGCGCAGGTCGCGGGGCCGCCAAGGAGTCAATGGCCACCGCCGGCGCCGGAGCTCGACAGGGAGAGCAGCTTGCGGTTCTTCTTAATCACCTGGTTCAGGCTCTTCTCCATCTTCTCGGCCTCCTTCTTGGCGAGCGCAAACGCCTGCTCCATGTCCTCGACGCTCATCATCGGGAAGTTGGCCAGCGCGCTCGACGACGCGCCCACGTTCCCGCTCTTGCCTGCCACGGACGACGCGAGCGACGGCATCGTTGGTGTTGCCGTCATGGTGTTCGCCATGCCAGAGAACTCATCTGCCGGGTCCAGCTTCGCCAGGCTTGAGCCTGCCGACTGGCCTGTGAGCTCGGCGGCCAGCGCGGCGGTGGACGACGGCGAACCGGAGGACGCAAAGTTGAGAATCAGTGGAGCGAGCGAGTTCAGTGCATTCGTGGCGTTGGCGAGATCCTGCTTGGACAGCGGAGGGATTTGAGGAGTGTTGTTATTCTGGCCCGGGCCTGGTGAAGTGTTGATGGGGTGCTTCGGGTCAGTGACGGCCGCGAGGGTGTTCAGATTCGCCGTACCGAGGTTCAGGCGTGGCAGGATCGATTGGTTGATGTTGGCGAGCGCTTCCTCGCGGGTCATCTTCTGAATTGGATCCGAGACCGCGGGTAGATGCGGACCGTCAGCAGTGGCTGGTGCTGACCCTTGAGGGAAGTAGCTCGGTGTGCCGTTGGCAACTGCGCGCCCCTTGATCACGCTGAAGCCGTTGCCAGCCTCGTGTCGTGAGTGCACGTATGTTGCAGGATCTCCAACCTTTGTGGCGAGTTCCGCTAGTAATTCAAGGTAGCGCTGCTCCTCGGCGGCAGTCAGGTTGCGCACGCAATTGCCATTTGGTGTAAGCAAGACGCGCGAGCCATCGATGATCTTGTGCACGGGCTTGCCAGATAGGAGAGCCTGCTGGTCCTCCTCACTGAGCATGGACTTGATCTCGGTCAAGCCATCCTTGGGCACGACCGGCGTGTACTGCTCAGAGCGGTGAGAAGTGCTCGTGATGCCCCTCAACAGGCTCAATGCGTCAACATCCGTGATCAAACCGGCCGACGCGAGCTCTTGGAGTACAGCGGCGGGTGGAGGGACTGGCCTATCGGTCGCTGGTTTTGAGCCCTCGCTATTAGAGGAGGCGTTACCTTCCTTCCTCCTCGTTCGAGGAATCAGCGGCTCTTCCAGACTCATGGACTCATTGACGGCCTGGCGGTAAGTCGAAACCTTCTCTTCGGCTGCAAGCTTGCCTTCCTTTTCGACAGTCTTCTCTGCTGGTCCAGGTGATTGAGAGCGACTCTCGGTTGATGGGGTTGCCTCCTTGGACACCGCCTGCTTCGGCTCCTTCTTCTGCTTCTTCTTGCGTCCCACAATTGGGGCGATCACGACCTCGGGTTCCGGCTTCGTCTGGACTGCGATCGCAGCCGCCTCCTTCTTCGTGGCGTCTTTTCTGGCTTTACGCTGTTGACTCTTGGTTGTATTGCGAACAGCAGCCGAGCCAACTCGCGAAGGTCCAGGAGGGGGAGAGTTCGTCCGAGAGGCAGATGCTGACGCCGATAGAATCGACGCAGTATCGGAGACATCCGCGCTACCTGGAGTCTCTGGCCGCTGCAGAGTAGAGAACGCATGGCGGAGCGATCCAGGTGCCGTAGCTCCGGCGGACATGGATGGGGGCGTCTCTGCCTTTGGCGTGGACACAACACGCAAAGTCTTGGGCACTCTGGCGGCAGGCGAGGACACAGAAACCGAAGTTGGCGTTGGCAAAGCTGGGAACGCTGCCTCATCCGCCTTCTCCACCGCCGATGTGACAGTGGATGGAGGATTGGACTTTGCCACAGCTGCAGCAGCTTTGGTCGCGGCCGCGATATTCAAAACGCCAGGCACAACCTTCTTCTCGGTCTTCCTCTCAACTTTTGGTGCAGATGCAAGCTGGGCCGGGGGCTCGCTTGCAGCAGGCGTTGTGGCAGCTTTAGGAGTCTCAGCTTGAACCTTCTTCGCAACCATTGGAGTCTTGATAGAGGGCGCTTTCACTGGTGCAGGTGTCGAAGCCCGAGACGCGGGCTTAGCAGATTCCAAAGCTGGGAAATCCTCATCCTGGAGCACTGGTTTCTTGCCCTTGGCAGAAGTGTTGGCCTGGGAAGCAATCTCCATAGACAGGCCGCTGTCGAGAGCCAGCGCCTTGATGTTCTTCTTGGCCTGAGCCCCAGTGGTCGGCTCAGCTCCTTTCTTGCTCGTATTTGCTGAATCCGTGGTCGAGGCAGGAGACGCAGATACCGGTTTCAGCGGAACGACAGGGCTAGGCGCGGTATTAAAGAGCAGCCCACCAGGTGGCGGAATGGCAGGGCCAGCGATTCCCGGAGGCGCCTGCAAAGGCGTCGCGGTCCTTTGAGGATGACTATGTGCTGTGAAACCCAACCCAGGAGGCGGAACGGTTGGGGTGGTCGGCGCGATGAACTTTTGGAACGCATCCGTTGAAACTGAGGTGTCCTCGTCAAGGGGATCATCGGACACGAGGGCATCGACGATATTTGTGGCGTCGCTCAGGAACGGATCTTCCTCATCTATAAGAGAAGGGTAGTCAGCACAACTTCCCCTTCTTCTCTATCTCGAATCATTTGGCAAGGTGAGGCAGCGAAAGGAACGCCACAAGGCAGCACGACGACACCCCCAAGAGTGATTATATACAAGAAGGCTCAAGGTTGGTCACGGCTTCCATCTAGGCGACCCCGGCGGGTTCTTGAGAAGCAAGTGAGGCACGTTATTGTTGGCAAAGAAGATGTTCTCTATTATCCCCAGGAATTCATGCCGCATCAGCCCCGGAGTTGTGGACCGGAAACTGGGCACGTGATGTTAACGTACATAGATGACCTTGAGGAGGACGAGATGGCTTGCCTGACGTAACCCTGAGCCCGAAATATGTGGAAGTTGTGTGTAGGGTGCCAATCCTGTGAGATAACGCCTTCCGAGGATACGTCTCCTTGGAGACTCTCCTTTTCTCCAAATGCAACGTGACGCCTTTGCAAATCCCGCCGGCCTGCTACCCGTGAGAGGCCGGCGTTTCGCGATGCTCGCTCAAAACTCAGAAAGCAGTCAAAACCGCACAGTCCATGGTCCGTCGTGCTGCCCCGTGCCCGTTCCCTTGCAAGCCGAAAACGCCTGCATTATAAAGCGTACAGAATATCGTTCCAGACATTGAAAGTGAAAAAGGAAAAGGATTTCCACATGACCGACAATCGGGGAAGAAAAGGAGGAAGGCATGCAGGCATGCCTGCCACCTACCAACCCCGATATTGCGGCTGAGAGTTGTACAACATGTTGGGGTTGTACCCACCTTGGGCCTGGCCTCCAAACAGCCCCGATCCGACCCCGGCATTGCTCTGTTGATGATGCTGGATTCTCGCCTGCAGGATGCTTGGGTCCGCAAGATCTACTAAGCCACTCCCCCCAGAGGAGGAAGTGTTAGCGTGCCTGTGCTTCTTCCCCTTCTTCTTCTGCTTGGCACCGAGATCTTGGTATGCTCCGTTATAGAGCGCTCCCATGAAGCCGGCGGTAGCAGGAGCTGGGGTGGAGGAGGAGGAAGGTGGGTACTGGTTGGGAAAAGAAGGAAATATGTACTCACGCTTGTTAGCATCATGGCCCTGACCGACCCCACCAGCTCGACTCCTGATCAGGCTGTGAAGAACCTCGTTGGAGTCCTTCGCGCCGAATCCAGAGCTGCCAAATGCGTTGTTGCCCTGACCAAACATGCTCGGGGGCGTGCCCGTAGACTTGAGCCCTGGTGGAGGACCAGGCATCGAGGACGAGGAGTAGTACTGGCCGCTCGGCTGAGAGTGGAAAGTCGAGGGCAACATGGAAGCTTGCTGCTGCGCCATGAGGCGAGGATTCGTAGCAAGCTTCACGGTATTGGCCGACTGCTGGTTCTCGTTTGCAAAGCTATAACGGGATGTCTGCCGGCTGTGACCCTGGCCTTGGCCCTGGAACAGCGCTGACTGAGAGGCGCTGATACCAGGTGGCATGCTCTCCGCGAAGCTGGCCTGTGGTCGCATGTAGGCCTGTTGCTGTGGAGTCATGGTGCGGTTGCCGATCGAGGCAACATTTGCTGCGCCCTGAGCAAAGCTTGAGCCAACATTGGGACCGAACAAGCCCTCGGTGTTGGTACGCTGAATGGGTACCTGGGCGATCGATCTGCGTTGCTCAAAAGCATGCGTTTCGCGACTCTGTTCACGCTCTTCTGGTTCGCCCCCCAGTGCCAAGCTACCGCTCTCAGGCTCTCCCTCGGGCTCGAGTGGCTCCACTGGCTCGGCCTGCTGCTGCTCATGCTCCCCATTGAGTTGGCGCTCCTCCTCGTCCCGCATCGCCCGGCGTCGTTCGCCTCCTCGAGGATCAAATAGAGGGGGGATGGAGTTGTCAGGTGTGACAGGTCGAAGCTTGAGCTCTGCGCCGCCCATTGACTTCAGAAGTCCAAACAGCGCGGTGTCCCAAGGGTTCTTAGGCTCCGGTGGTTCGGCGACCAGAGAATCGGTTGATGTTTCTGCTGGAGTGGGTTCGGGCTGCTGCGCGGCCGGTTGTTCCTGGGGCGGTTCTTGAGGTGCAGTTTCGACGGCCTCCTCGGTCGCTTCGGTTGTTGCGGGCAAAGACATGGATACGGCGGGGCTCGAGGCTGCACCACTAGTTGCATGACTGCCACGACGGCTACGCTGTTGCTGACTACGGGCCCAGTTTGCTGATGCTGGCAAGGCTGGAGCATCCCCGCTCTCCGATCCGTCTTTGCTAGAGGTGCGAACCATAGGCTGAGGTGCATGATACGATTGCGGAGGAGGGCCCTGTTGTCGCGACGCGGACCGCGAAGAATTGCCGCCGCCATATGGTCGCTGTGTCTGCATGCTATTGAGTGATGAAAGATCCTGTCTGGTGTAGCTGTCTTCCTCATCGCCAAGTTCATGCAAAAACATGCACTGGCGGTTGTTGCACTGCTCGTATCGTAGCCAGGCAGAACAGTACTTGGTCGTGCCGAGCTGCGCCTTGAGGATTCGTTCGCCATTTTGGGAGCCGTTGACAGCCTGGATACAGCGCTGGGCGTCTTCCTTCTTCTCGAAAGTGACATAAATTCCAAGGGATTGGTTATGGCCGTCTTGAGTCTTCCGATTGCTAATCGAAATTTTCTGAATGTTGCCATACTGGCCAAAGAATTGAGGTTGTCGTAGGGTCTTGAGCAACTCGTCCTCTCGTACGGTAGGGGTCAGTCCGGTGACGTAGACGAGGTTTTTCTGCACGACGCGTATGCCGACGAGGTTCTTGCGCGCGTCCTTCTCCGTGTCGCGCCTCTGTATCTCTTTTTGACCTTGCAACTCGGCACGTTTCTTTTTGCTAGTCTGCTGCCTCGCGCGAAACTCGGCTTGCCTGCATGTTGTCAGCGGGGGGCCATGGTGGGGGAGGTGTGGGAATTGACCAACTCTTCAGCTGTCACGGCTTTGTATTGTATTGTTTTCTCGTCGTAAGGTCGTCGACAGGCGGGGCAAAGACCGTTTATGTTATTTTTGATGTTGTGGAAGCAGAACTGGCAGACCTGGATGGCGGGGGAAGAGTTAGCGAAAAGTGCACAAGGCTGGGAGGGCCCGACTGCTGAAGCTCACCTGGTATCCACAGGGACACGGTCGAAAGTTCTTGTCGGAGAGGTCAAACTCCTCGATGCAGAGGGGACTGGAGCGTGTTAGTGATCGCGAGAAGATGGGTCAAGCTCGTTCACCGCTGTGATGTGCTGGCAGGGGAGTGGAGCGGACGTCAGTATGGTAGGTCGAACGGGGTGGTGCTCACCATGTCTCCTCCTCATCATCGAGGTACTGATCTTGAGGTGCCATGGTTTTGAAGTAGAGTCGCAGCAAGCGTTGACTGTGTCGTTTGTTGCCGGGCTTTCAGGATGGCGTTGCGCGGCGAAGGGTTGATTTTGTACAGAAATTGACGTTGTTCAGGGTGAACAGGGTGACGAGAGAAGACGCAATGCACTTCAGGTAGAGAGGTTGACAGGGGTAGCCTAAACCAGGTCCAAGAAGGCAGTCCCAATCAAATGATTAATGCAGTGATTAAAATAGGGCACGGTGGATGTTGTGCATAGGAGTGTAGCAGCTGCAACGACGCGCCCGTGGTGAAAAGAGAGAGGGTGGCGGGTTGATGCAGATGAGGATGGCTGATGGAAAGGAAAAGCAGCAGCAGGAGGTTTGGTCGTGGTTGGCATCAAAAGCCTTTCCACGCCACGGGCCAAGGTGGAAGGAGCACAGGCCCACAGGCAGTCGGAACAGCGCTATACCCAGCCAGGCATAACCTCACCCCGGCCACCAGCATCCAATCAGCAAGACACAACGGAGACCAGAGCCCAGCGAACAGAGAACAGTGTTGTGGTACAGTACAGTAAGTGCTGGGAACGGTACAGCAGTACAGTCAGCGAACACCTCCCCCCCTCCAGGATCCAAGACTGTTGGCCTGCTGCTGGCTGCTGCAGGGGGGATGGGGCGACTCGCGCCTACCTGGGTACCTGACTCCCCAAACTGGCTGACTGGACAGCAGACCTCCTGTCTGTCATTCGGATGAAGAGAGTCCCTACTCTCTAGGCCTTTGCAGCAACTTTCATTTGTTCCCATAGCTTCTGCATTTGATTTTTTGGAAGGTTCAATTATCTGCATTACTTTGATCAACCTCAAAGGCGCAGCAAACGAGGTATTCAGTGTATGTAGGCGATCGAGACTCTGCAATTGCTGCACGTGAGAGATCACCTGACCTCGCTGGAGCTCCCGGCCTGCGGCAGCGAATTGGCGGCTTTGCTTTAATCATCCCTCCATTCTCTCGGCCGGTGAACGACATCACCACTCCCCCAAGCTCCAGCCAGCCCCAGCCAGCCGCTCGACATCCAAAGGCGCACTCCACCACGCCGGGAAGGTCCTCCAGCCGTCAATTGACCTTCCAAAAAGCCCCGAAAGCATTCAGAATGGCCAGCAAGCTCTGCAGGAGTCGGGCGTTGGCTCAGGCTCTGCGGCCGGCAAGGCCATCCATCCAGCAGAACGAAGCTGCTGCTGCGCGGTGCTTCTCCGCCACCGCACGCGCCGCTGTCAACTCCTACGGCGTCAAGCTTCCCAAAGACGCCAAGAACACCCGGCTAGCCGAGCGAGAGAAGATCGGATCCCTCGAGGCCCCCATCGTCAACCCTGCCGATAAATACCAGTCCAAGGCCGACAACCTGCACAGATACGGCGCATGGCTGATGGGCACCTTGCCCAAGTTCATCCAGCAATTCTCGGTCTGGAAGGACGAGTTGACAATCTACATCACACCGTCTGGCGTGATACCCGTCTTCTCTTTCCTCAAGTGTATGTTGGCACCCTTAAACATTTGCTACGGTTCTATCAGCGCCGTCGCAGTGAACCTCTGCTGATATGTTTCCTTATCCTCCTCCTGCAGACAACACCGCTGCCGAGTTCACGCAAGTCAGCGATATCACTGCCGTCGATTTTCCCACGCGAGACCAGCGCTTCGAGGTCGTCTACAATCTGCTCTCGGTCCGCCACAACAGCCGCATCCGCGTCAAGACCTACGCCGACGAGGCCTCCCCTGTGCCGTCCATAACGAGCCTGTATGAGGGCGCCAACTGGTACGAGCGCGAGACGTACGATCTGATGGGGGTCTTCTTTGTCGGCCACCCTGACCTGCGCCGCATCATGACCGACTATGGATTCGAGGGCCACCCGCTGAGGAAGGACTTCCCGCTGACGGGTTACACGGAGATCCGATATGACGAGGAGAAGAAGAGAATCGTGACGGAGCCACTGGAGCTGACGCAGGCGTTCCGAGACTTCGAAGGCGGCTCGAGCGCGTGGGAGCCGGTGGGGACGGGTCTTGACAGGAAGCCTGAGAGCTTCAAGCTGCCGACGCCCAAGCCGGAGGAAAAGAAGGAGGAGCCCAAGAAGTAGAGGATGCACGAGAGGCGAGTGTACATACCATGTGTCAATACTATTGCAAGGTTCCTGGTTCACATGGGCGAAAACAACTGCGAAATGCTATTACTATGGAAGAGATTAACTACCAGACTGGCGGAAAGTAAAGTGGTAGGTCAGCCTCCTCAAAATCTGCTCGGGCAATCAATCAGTTCCACTGGCCTTCCTTTCGGTCTGTGGTCGTCGCAGCCTGTCTCGTCATTCGGCACAAGGGGTGTTATACGCTCCCAGCTCCAGCTCTAGAAACAGACGGATGACGAGCAGGTCCTGTCCTGTTCCGTCCAGTCGTGTGTGTATTGGCGACCCCCAGGGTCTGCACGAGGAACAGCCACTCCAGACCCGCGTTTGGAGAACATACTCCAAGATGGAGAGTGCCCACAGCGATATTGTACCTTGCCGCAGCTTCATTCGAATAGAGACAATAGGACTGCAACTCGTTCCATCTTGCGGTGTTCCTGCATTCAGTCTCATGTGCTCTGTAAGGAACAGAGTCGTCTCGTGACGACTGCGACAAGATCCCGAGGCCTGCTCGTCTCACCCGGATGACTGTGACTGACGACTACCACAAGACCTGACTGATGACCCCCAGTTCGTGGGGGCGGGTGTAGACTGCGTACTTTCACCACCTTGAATACCGATGCAGCCAGTCATGAGGACATCGGTGTACCTGCTGCACAATGCATTATTAGGCACATTATTAGTGCAGGTAGCCCCGCGCTCGTGCTGCCCGATCCCATAACCCTCCAGCCATGCCCAGCCTGCCCTCTTCTTCTCGCTCCCTCCCTCGTGCACATTAGCCGCCTAACGCAATCCACACCCGTACTTTTCCTGTTCCTGGTCTCGCCCCAGTCCCTGCTGCTGCTGCTCGCCTGCCTTTCTCCAACTCCCGTTCCCACTCATCAGTTTCCCGCCTCTTGGGGGCAATCTGAGGCAGAGACATTCACTCACTTTAACAACTTCCCATCAACTGCGCTCGCGCATCCCGTCGTTTCATCGCCCATTTGGCTTGTCCCAGCACAGAGACACGCATAGCGGTCACCAGACAGAGCCCTCTTGCGTTGCAGTGCTTGTCGACCCCGACTGCTTCGACTGGCTGTGTGTTCCCGGCCTTGACTGGAGGGCCATCGGCGGCAACACGCTGGATGAGCCTGCCTGGACCTGCCCTCCCCCGCCACCAGCTCACCACTTACGCCTGAGTTGGCTTGACTCCGAGCTCGACAAATCGCTTGACACTGTGCTCGTCTTGTCTTGTCTCGTCCCAACTCACTCACCATCCCCTTCAATCTCACAATCGCTCGCTTCCCGCTTCACTCGCCATCCACCCACTGCAGCAAGTCGCACCGCACATCTTATGAGACATCGGCCTTCCTTGCCCACCATGATGGAGGGTCAGGATTATGCAGAAGAGGACGAGGGTCTGTTCCGCTTTGACAACGAGGAAGATGAGAACGCCTTTCTGAGCGGCCTGAACGAGGAAGACTTCATGGAGCCTCTGACACCGGTCGGATCGGCTGAGCCCACCGCCCCAGCCGCACTCCACGCAGCCGCCGCCGCATCTGGGAGGCCCCACAATAATCACAACTACTCCTCCGTCACCGCCTGGCAGCACCCCGAGCCCGCATCGCCGCCGCCGCCGCCGCTGTCTTATTCGCCGTCTCCAAGCACCACGCCAGCCACTCATTACCGCCCTGCAGATCGTCACCGGTCGTCACGGCGCTCACGCCAGTCCCAGCTGTCTCACCAAGGCTCAGATCAAAGTCTCGGCCAGCGTGCTCACCGCCCACCGCCTATCCCAAATACACACCATGAGGATCTTCAACAACTCGACTCCCAGACACTGCAGCACACGCATCAGGCCCACGAAAAGCCATCTAAGCGCCTGCCTTCTAGCCAGGACCAGGACCAGTATGGTGATGACGACGTTGCCGATGATGATGTCCAAGACCAGGTCCAGACCCAGAGCATGACCTCCAAAGATGAGCTCACCAGAGATGAGCTCAAGGAGAACGGCTTTGTCGAGGTTGATGCCGAAGGCGTCGAGGCCATGTTTAACGGAAATGAGGCAGACCGCGTCACGGCTCAGAAGTTCCAGTCCGAGGTCGTCAAAACCATCAAGCAAAATGGAAAGGTCGTCTACATGGTCGGCCAGGCGACTGCCCAGTGGTGGCTCAGCTCAGAGATGCAGAAACGGAGAAGGGCTGCCGCACGTCGAATGTTGGACATTGGCGGTGCAGTCGTGACTTCTGCCGGCAACGTCATCATGAACAACACTCCCATCGGCGGCGTCGTGACCACGGTGTCAGATAACGTCACTGCATTTAGAGCTGCGCCATTTCGATACACGATGCAAGGGCTCGGGATCATGAAGAAGGACAAGTCTGCTGCTGCAGCCCTCTCGCCTACAACCAGCGATGCTCGCCTCTCAAACGACGACATGTTGGCCACAGATAACGATAGACACTTTGCGCCTTCGCCTACGATAGTCAAGGACGAAGACGAAGACGATATGTTAGGTGTGCTAAATTTCGATGACGATGAGGATGTCATCTAGCAGCAGCACCTTACGAACAACAGCACGACTCGGGAACCGGACCCAATATCGCATCATTCCAACGAATCGAGGAGCACGCTCTGAATCAGCGTGTGAAATGGTTGCAGTGCAATTTGACAGCTTCAGAATGCCTGACATGACGGCCATCCTGCATGGAAGTCGATTCATGACCATCACGAATCTCCAACACATATCCTCACGCTCCACCGATCATATTGCGCCGGCGTCTTGGTAGGATTGCCCAGGTTTTTGGCGTTTTCTCTTTTTTTCTTGCTTCACCGAATCGGCAAGGATACCTGGATAGTGCGATTACTTTTGTATATGGGGGTGCACGCAACAACACTCGATGGAGTCTTTGTTGGGCCATTTTGCTCCGAGGACGCAAACCCGTTGACCCTGCTCTGGCGTTGGGACTAGACCTGCGGACAGGTTTTCTATGGCGCACCGGAAGCATCTACTGTGATATCATCCAAGGCTGGGGATTGGGACGGGCATCCCTGGGCTTCATTATGGGTGGCTATTTGTACGCTGAGTGTCTTTCACCAGCACCCCAAGCAATGCATACAAGTTTCCAAATTAAGACAAATTTTATGCGCACATGGCAGAGTATCCGTCACTGGCTTGAATCATGCTGGCGGTTATCTAGAGGGCTGTGAGCTGCTTTCTCCAAGGGTATACCCGATTTGTTCAAGTTCTCTTCCTAACCCATCTGCGAATGCTTAGCACGGTGACGCCTTCTAGCCGCAGTCAATGCGCGCCCCCACTTAGCAATCCACCTCCAGCTGGAGTCCCCAGCTGAGCAGGCCCACTCGCGGAGATTGCGGGGAGTGGAGAAGGCATCACTTCTCCAGACTGCGTACAGCAAACTGACCAACAAAGGCGTACTCGCTCAAGGGGGAAAACCGGCCACTTACCCACAACGCAACAGCGAATCCTGCCAAACGGATAATCTCCGCGGCACGTTCGGACGCCTGACAGCGGGAAGGGGCTGTCTAGGCACTCTGGTCAGTCGCCAGCAACTGTATGGATCCGCTACCCAGGCATCAGGGCCGGTCTCTCTCTCGAAAACCTAGGGGGGCTGCTTAGCTTCCTGTCAACTCGGGGCGAGCTGCAGCTTCGTGGGCCGACCATCTTGTCACCCTAACCCGTCCAGTCCTCTCCGCCGGTGATCTCACTGCAGGCTCGCGGGCGCAATCATGTCACCGAGCCCTGAGAATGACCTCGGAACACCAGGGTCCACTGGTGGCCCGACGCGCTCGTCCAACAAATCCTCGGCCCGCTCAAGATACGGCTGTCTCACGTGCAAGTAGGCGACTCAACAGCCCGCCGGCGATGGGCCCACAGATATAGATGATCAAATTGCTGACTATTCGGCAGACGACGGAAAGTCAAGTGCGACGAACTAAGGCCTCGCTGCAGCCACTGTGAGCGCCTCAACCTGGAGTGCAAATGGCCGCTCTCGTTCCCTACCAATAGCCATAAACGGCGCCCAAGGCAAAGCGCCGGCAGCATCGCGGCTCCCGCCAATGCTGAGGTATTGCGCACTCCAATGCCGGAGATGGAGCCCGCGCCCAGTGGGCCATTGTTCCAGACTCCGCCCCTCCATGCTGTCAACCAGCTCTTTGACTACGCCTCCTTCCTGTGGGACACTGGCAATGGCACTGGCGATATCTGGCAGCAGATGAGCCCAGGGGTTGCTGGCCAGGGCGTGACCTTCGATGCGCTGGGCCAGAACGGCCATTCAGCTGTTCCCGCAGCGCCGATCAACTCGTCGCCTCAGGCTAGCATCAATGTTCCGATGCAGACCCGATTAATACCCAGCAACAGTTATGACCCCTCAGAGCCGTCGACAGTTCCAGATACGACCTGTACCGGCTATGCCGAGCAGGACGACCTGCTTGTGCCCTCGGAAACGGCAGCGGCCGAGAACCACCGCCTCTTGGACTATTTTGCCCACGCGGTCACGCCGCCCATCTTGGCTGAGGTAGAGACACAGAAGAACTGGTTTGCCATGCGGCAGGTCTTGGTCGGCATGTCAAACGCATCACGCATGATACGATGGGCTATCCTGGCCTTCTCAAACCTGATGCTGTGCCGTCGCGATGGGAACTGGCTAGCGAGTCAACAGAACCACTACGACAATGCCGCCGCCGAGGTAGCAGCGTACGATGACCAGCCGGCTGAATCATTTCTCACGCAGAGCACTGAACGTGCAAATCTTCTGGCGACGTTATTCTTCTTAAGCTACGTTGACATCCTGGAAGCCAGAATAAAGACTGCTCACACTCATCTCAAGAGAGCCTACAACATCTTCCAGCACGGGGACAAGGCATCGTTCACCCCAGTCGAGAAGCAATTTCTCCTCTGGATACGGCTCCTCGACGGGCGAGCCGTGAGCGCCGGTGGCGACGGTCTCTTCCTCGAGAAAGATGAAGAACCCCTCCTCGTCGACGTCCCATCCCCCAATATCATCAAAACCACCACCGGCCCCGAGGCGAGAGAAGACGATCTCGCCGACGACGACATTGAGGACACCCTCTTCCAAGTCCTTTACCAGCCAGGGATCCTATTTTTCCAGAAGGTACAGAGCTTCATGGGCAGGATCTCCAAGATCGATCCCTGGCACAGGCCACGGGGCACGGTCGAGGACGAGACTGAGGTCATGAACACGGGCCAGTCGATAGCCGCAGACCTACGGGCCCTCTACGACCAGCGCCCGCCGCTGATGGACATCGCGGTGGCGGGGAAGCTGACGCCGCCGCACGTGTCGGCGCACCTCGCGGCGGTGGTGACGCGCGCGTTCCGCACGTACCTGTCCAACTACTACGCGAGCAAGATCCACCTGCACCGCGTGGCGTACAAGGCGTTCCCCCTGACGGCGGAGGCGGCGGCGGCGCTGGGCCACATCCGCCGGCTCGCGGGCCTGCTGGCCGAGGGCCTCGACCGCGAGGACGACGCCCTGCCCGTCAACATGCTGTGGCCGCTGCTCATGCTGGGCTCCGAGCAGGACCCCGACCCGGAGGAGCGCGCGTGGGTCATGGCGCAGATCCTGCGCATGGAGAGGGTCGCCGGCAACGCGAAGATCACGGCCCAGGTGCTCGAGGAGGTCCAGGCGCGGCAGGACGCGGCCAAGGCGCGCGTCGACATCCGGTCTGTCATGCACGCTATTTTCAATCGCTGCTTTGCTATCGTCTAGCCTTCTGTCTTCTGTTTGTCCTCGCTGCGCTGGTTCGTTGGGAAGCCGGCCGTGGCCGTCGAGACTTGTTTGTTTAACTGCACGACTTTTTTTAGATACCTTGAATAGACTGCATTGTCGGCGTCCAAGAAGTGGACGCCTTTTATGGAGGCATCAAGCCATTATTGGGCTGTTGTTGTTGCTGTTGTTAACAGCATTTGTGCCATCGAATATTCAGCGCTACTGAAATATGATAGTGTTGGCGATTCTGTGTCCACCAGAGCGCTTTTCGCCCCCGAACTGCACTTCGTGCTTGGGAAAACCTTGGAAGTTCTAGGTTGCAGGGCTCAACGGCATAAAGTTTCAGAAAAAGATGACCGCATCTTTCGGAACGACTGGCCGAGCTGGGACGACTACAAAAAACGTGGTGTGCAGGAAGGTTCGGAAGATCGAAGATGACTGTATGGCCGGCTTATCTCAGACAACACGAGGCAAGTCCTGTGACTGAAACTCAAAGCGCGCTGCGGTTAGCGCTTTTGCGTTGTCTCTCAATGTTTGGCCATTCCCGCGTGATTGTGAACCGGGGAACCGGGGGTCGGCCTTAGTTCTGTCAAGCCAGGTGACGAGGTTTCTTTTTCGGCATGATATGCGTCTGCACAATCGGCACTTTTACGTTGCCTGCCACAGCCTGTGCACATGGAAGGTTCGCCTTGCATTAACTTTCATGTACGAGCTTCTTGGTACAGCTGTTGGCCGCCGCAGCCTCAATTCCAACTTATTGGGCTCTGCTGGCTGGTCGGTAATTGAAAGATTTCCGCCCTCCAGACCAATCCAACAGTAGGACGAGCGGGTGCCGCGGCTCGCGGCTCGCGGAGTAATTACTTGCTCTCAATTTGACAAGTGACGAGAGCATTCGGAAAAATGACGGACGCTCAGTTCGGAGTAAGGGCCGCTGAACCCCCTTCAAGTAGTCTCTCTATAAGACTTAGTCAGAGAATCAATTATAGAAGATGTCACAAAGTACGTGCTTGATAAGAATGAGGCGACACCCCCTTGTAGATTAGGTTATCACATCCCTCGGTCGTCATCAATTTTGGCGCGTTTTACTAGTTGGGTCCTTTACTACTTGCGGTGACAAGAAGCTTTTCCTTCTGATAGAGACAGGGGTACAAAGAGCCCCGGCAAAGTTGGGCGATGGATGGCCGGCCGGCCCCAAATGCTACCTGTCATCCTGGGGAAGCACAAGATGGCTGTTGGGCATACAATAGCCGCCTTTCTTTTTTTATCACAAGCAAAGATTGAAGATATTCCTAATGCTGTGACTCGCAGGAGAGGAGCATGCGTTACGCGAGAAGCAGTCTAGAAGGAAGGGCGATGAGTGATCGGAAGAGATTGCGAACTTGGAACAGCCCCATTTAGTATGGTCAACTGGCCCTGTGGAGCATCTGGGAAACTTGGCACCTGTTGGCGTCAGATTGTGCGGAGTCAGTCTTAAGGCACCGTGGGCACCTAGTCACAACCCGTGGCAGTTGTAAATTGAATCTTTGTCACACATGAGCGAATTTGGAATAAAACGAGGCAAAGAGCCTCTCGACATCCGACTTGCAGCACCCGCCTTTCAGCACTTTAACTCGACACACAAGTACTACAAAAAGCTCAGTAATGACTGCAGATACCCCAGTCCACCCCTTGTCTTCAACTAGAGATAAAGCTGAAGACATTACTTTTGCCGTGGAGATCAAATCCATCATACCACTGAAGCTTAGCAAGACCAACTTTTTGAACAAAGACATAAGACCATTTGTGCCTCATCGACCGAGGAAGAGCCTGGAGTCGATGACCGACGCCGAAAAGCATATCCAGAAGAGCACCTACGAAGCTATAGCCACAGCTCTCCACTGCATCCCTGGAATACATGCCACAACATATCATCAGATACAGCAAGATAGACTAGAGCGCAGTGACTACTGGAGATCCCACTGGATTGTGTACAAAGCCAACTCTGCCGTGCCAACGTTTGTAAGCTATGAAGGAGGAGACGACGAGCGACCCTTGATCGACGTGACATCACCAGACTATAATAAATTGGTGTGGATCCCAGTAGAGGTGAGCTCGCCGAAGCTCTGGTGGATCAAAAAGAACGAGGCAGTAGCCAGTATTGGCTCAGTTTGCCGGACACTGCAGCACAGATTCAGGAGCACCGCCAACCACTCTACAGAAGTCCATATCCACGTCGGGCGGCACGATGGGCGGTTTTATTCCCTCAAGAGCATGAAGAAGCTAGCCACGATCTTGTGGCTCTCAGAACCCATCCTCCGCGGCGTGAAAGATCCAAACTCCCGCAACTTTGACCACACGTATACTTGGAGCTTCCCATGGCGGCAACACAGCCGCATCGCGCTGGCGCTGCAGGGTAACCTGCCCGACGGGCAGACAATGGACGACCTGTTTACAGGGAGATCTGACGAATTTGACGATTTTCTCCTGAAGACGAACAGCGCCCGCCTGACAGGCAACTCGCCAGACGACACGTTCCGATTCGTCGGCGAGCACCGCCAAGCGCTGCGGGCCATCTGGCGGGCTTCGACGCACGAGGAGCTGGGCAGGATGCTCTGCGGGACCGGCAGGAAGTACCGGCGGCTGGGGTTCAACTTCCACGCGCTGGGCGGGGAGGACGCGCGCGCCAGGGAGAGCCCGCGGACGATCGAGTTCCGCTTCCTGGAGGGCCACATCGACGAGGACGTGGTCTCCGGCTGGGTGCACGTCTGCATCGCGCTGGCCGCGCTGGCCGCCGACCAGATCGAGGACTGGGAGTTCTACGACATGGTCGTGCTGCTGCTGGACATGCCCGGCGACTGGTCGCTGGATGCAAAGTTTACTGCGATGATGCATGAGCTTGGGGTGCAGAAGGCTGCATATGAGCCCCTGCGGGCGATTGTGCGGAGGAATTATCCGCCTTCTGGGACTGTAGGTGGTGAACCTTGTGAATTTGATCCCAGTACATATGCATGCTTGTAAGATAGATGATCATCATAATTTTCTAATTCAATATCGACTCCCGCGATGTTAAACAAGGTCGGCACGTGCACCAATCCACCACGTGAAGATTTTCAACTTTTCCATGACACTCGCTGCGTCATGCATGCAGTTCAGTTACGGACGATAGTATTTTATGGTGCAACAATTTTATTTACATTACTAACTATCACTTGCTCTCTTGCTTTTTCCTCTTCTTCATCACGTTCCCATCGTCATCCAACAAGTCACTGTCACCCTCCAGCCCAGACCACTTTGCAATCCCATCCCCTTTGAAGTCCACCACTCTCTGCGGGTAAAACATGTGGCACTTAGACTCAAATGCCTTTCTTGCCTCAGGTGTCTCAATACCTTCGATGAGAGTCGGGTAGAGCAGGATCATGTTCCTTCCCTCGTCCATGATGGGCGTCCGGCAGAAGGCGCACGACACCTTGCAGGGGAGGTGGTGTGTCTGCGACTTCGCGGAAGGGTCGTACCAACCCAGGTCGTGGTGGCCGTGTGTGAAGTTGATATCCTCCTTGTGAAATATGGTGGCCCACTGGAAAGGTGCGCCATGCAGCCGCTGGCACGTCGTGCAGTGGCAGTATTTTGAGATCAAGGGCCGCTCACGGCTGAGTTGATACTTGACGCGCCCACAGTGACATTGTCCTCGCCACTTCACAGGGAAGTTCTCATCTTTCTTGTGGATGTGATACGGTGCGCGATGCTTCCACTCATCGAGGTCACGATGAGTGGTTGAACCAGCCTGGTATTGATGCACTTCCGTGTCTGACTCAGACTCGCTTTTCTTGTCGTGCTTGGCCCCATTTGAAGACATTTTGTGGATTTGATGGTGTTGATACGCTGCGATTCCAGCTTTTGTAAGTGACAGCGTTGGTGATCGTAGATGGGGCGCCAGGGCTGTGATATATCTCATGATGAAAGGTACAAGCTCGCCACGGTGCCTTTCTCGACGTTGTAGGCCCCTCTGAAAGATCGCCGCTGGAGGCTTCCTTTTATCCCTTGCCTAGGCTTAAGTCATTGACGTTGTGACTTTAGATCGCTCAAGGGCCACTTACAAACTGATGTACCCTAGTACCTTTTTTTTTTGTCGCGAAATAGCTCGACTACGTCACCATTCGCACAGAACCACGCTGAACTATCGGATCATCTGTGCCCACATATTATGGGTAGTCTCTGTCGATGAAGCAATCATAGAGAACATCATCTGCAATCCGTCAATTCGCATTATTTGGCGAGCCCAAGCAGCTCGCGATGTGATGTTGGCTCCTTAGGCTGTCGGGGCGTTGTAGGCCCGGAGTTACATGTCGGCGCATAGCGTTGCAGAGATCCAACGCGCCAAGGTTAGTTGCGTATGTCAAATCTCAGCGAATAATGGGTTCTGGATTGTGGCATGAAGGCTGGACACAAGACTGAAGCACGAAGAGGAGGTGGGATTAACAACACAGAGTTCCATACCCAAGTCGACACGCTGGGTCGATGCAGAACCTGACAGTAGACCAAAAACAACGGAGATGGGGTGCAATAAACTGTGCAGCAAGCAAATACTTATACATAAATGCAGAAATTTGTTTGTGAATTGATTGGAACTAAATTGGAGAGCTTATCTTCTCTCTGGCCAGGGATACCATCATCCACATCTATGTGTACCACGTAGGCTCAGGTACTTCATCAAGTAGCTGGTACCGTCCTAGTTCCCTATTCTTGTACGACACCGGGTCGTGAAGAGTGTGAGTCCGGATGTCACGCCAGAATCGGTCCAGACCGACTTTTGTCGCCGTAGACTTCGCTCCAGTCACCTCAAAGACGCCTGATGTGACCTTGAGCCCCGTGTCTGTTGCAACGACCTTGATGCTGGCCACCCACTCGGCGAATTCGCCACGTTCACGAGCAGTTACCTCAGCCTTATTCGAGGGGTATTTGGTGTAAACTGAATCTGCGACTAGTCCTGCCTTATCTGCAAGAGCCTCTGCAGCTCGAAGATGGGCCAGGAAGTTGCCCTAGATAGTATTTGTGTCAGCAGGTTCCTAGTTAGCTTTCCAGTACAGTTATTGTCAAGCGGCGTGGCTCCTCCTCCGATCCTGGGTCGAAAGTTATCCGTGGGTAACCACCTAAACAGTGCCACAGATTCTGTGTTCTGTATTCTCAGGGATTCTCTTCGAAGGGACATGTCTGAAAGGGGAGACGAAAAGCGTGATTCAAGGGTGAGGAAATAACCTACGTATGTGGAAAGAACATAAAACTCATCCGTGGCTTTGTCCTTGTTCTGCTCAAAATTTCAGCTTTGGCCAGATGTCCCAGCAGATACAAAAGTTTTGGGATGAAGGTAACAAAAACTCACGTCTCCACCAAATGGCCAGGCCCTGGTGCTTGAGGCAGTGTACTTGGAGGCATACTGGAGTGCCCCCAGCGCAATGCCTAGGTAGAAGTTGCTGAATACCAGTTGAATTCTGCCATAAGTCAGTGAGTCAGCACATTCTCCGAGCACACCCAGGAACTCTGCTTTACTTACGTGGGGAGCAGCAAACTGGCGAAAGGAATGCCCAAAATTGCCGGGTCGGGACGCTTGGATTTCACGTCCCAGCCGAGCGCGTCCTCCCAGGGAGCAGCCACACCCTCAATCGATACACCGCCGCTCTCAGTCAAGCGGAGACCAACATTGTCCCAGTTGTGAGCGAACTTGATGCCCGGTTGCACAGTAGGTACAAATGCGAATATGTGGTCTTCAGTGCCTTCAAGCACGCCCTCGAGGACCGTCAAGTCTGAAACGACCCCACCAGTATTGAAGAACTTGCGCCCATTGAAGACAATTTTGTCAGCACTGTCTGTGATCTTCAAGTCACTATCTCTTGGGTTCACAGCCCCTCCAATGAAGTAGTTATTGGAGAGAATGAGCTTCTGAAAGCGATCCGCTTGCTCCAGACTCCCGACCACGTTCGCGGTGGTGCTCCAAAGAAGATGATAACCTAGCAGCATCCCGATGGAACTGTGATTTCAATGTTAGTATTACATGTGTATTTGGTGGAATTTGTATCATTTGCAGGGCACACAACTGACCCGTCAGCTTTCGCAACCTCACGGATAGCTCTATATCCGACACTCCACGGCTGCTCGCCTCCGCCATACTTCTTTGGGCCGAGGACCTTCGTCAGGCCCGAATGCTTCAACAGCGCCACCTCCGCTCGTGGGGACTTATTCTCCCGTTCACGAACACTTGCATCTTTCTCCAAGACGGAAGCGACTTCCTGTGCACGCTTGATCCAGCTGTCCGCATCTTGCGGCTGATCGGCCCACTTCCCGGCGTATTCAGCGTATACAGCCGGGTCTGTGGAGGGGTAGGCGCCGTTTTCAGCCATTTCAGACGTGAATCTTGATGAATGACTTCTCGAACTTGCGCTGGACTTCCTGATATATTCAATCAGATCTGTTGGTGCCAAGGCTCATGTAAATCATAGGGGACCGTGGCATGTAACTTGAGAATAATTGAATTGACTTTGTTTTTCGCAGAATTGTAGAAGAATCTCAAGACGAAAACAGGACGATGGACGCTGGCTTTTACTATGTTTGAGGCTGATGATAATGCACGATCGTGGAATCCTATCTCCGCCCTCTCGCCCGGGTGGTGTGATAGATTGCGCAATCGGACCCAGAAACGTCGTTTGTCTCTCCGGGTACATTGGGCCAACACCAGCTGCAGCTTGGTTTACTTTTGATACCGAAGTTCTGGGTCTAATGCTGCGTCCCCCACGTGGTGCAGTCTAAAGTTTACACTAAGATTTGCAAACAACTCTGACCATTGCGTCAGCTTCGCCAAGGGCAATCGTGATAGACAAACAAAAATGGCGCTCAGGTACCGCTATCCGCGTTCGTGTGGAAATGCAGGCGAGAGGGGTGGGTGTGATCGTCTGTAGGCCCATTTATCGAGGAAGTCGATGATGTTACATAGATGAGCGTTGCGTGGGACCGGTAGACTTGCGAGGGGGAGCTTCTGGGCCCGCTTCACCTTCACGCCAGATGTCTGCTCCAAGTTCTCTCCCCTTAGGTCCCCCAACCACGAAACGGACAATAAATTTCCACTTTCATTCATGTTCCAGTGATTTGCACATTCGCCGCATTATTGAAGTTCGTAATTGAAGGCCATTCCCCTGGCTATGTCTTGGACCACATCACTGCGAGAGGACTTTCTTTTATGGCTATGTACAAGTTGTACATATGGACTTTTGCGTGATGTTGATGGAATTTTCATGCACATAAAATTCAATAGTGTGTTAGTAGGGTACAGTGAATCCCATAAGTTGGTACATTGATATCTCATTTATTCAGAAACTATGGGGGAAGAAGCTTGCTCTTAATACACAAGAACCTTGGATATGCGACGGTCGCTCTAAATCTCATGCTGGAATTTGTTCGCATAATGAGGAATTCCAGATAGCTTAGTGAATCGTGATGATCAGACATTTTCTCTAGGCCGACCATTGTGAGCCAAATCACCCTACCCTTCTCCTTGCGAAACGTACGATAGCCGGCCAATTGCTCCTCTGCTCACACTTTTCGTATTCTCAGGAACTGTGACTTCCAATCATTGAGAACAATAATACGCCGGATCACTCATTTTTCTTGCCAAAATATCGGGATGTATCACCGAGTGGAATGTCCAGCAATGACTCCGCCGTCAGGTGATGGAACGTCAAGTACCTGGGTGTTCATCAGCTTCTTCAGCCCAGTCTTCAAAATGGCTTCGTTCAACAAATCAACGGATGCAGACATACCAGCCACCTAGTCCGGCTAAGAAGCAGAATACTCCGCCGGCCTTTTTGAGGTTGACTGAGGCGGCAAGGTGCCCGTCCGCCGCAGCAAAATAGCTGCTCGCCACGAACAGGAAACCAAGTACGAGGAAGATAAAGATTATGATGAATGTTATATTCGTTGGGATTACCGCAATAAGCAGTGCAAAAACAAAGACGGTCCATACTGCGAAGATTTGGTCAGTGAGTTCTCTGCCATAAGGAGTACATCAAGCCATACATATCATAAAGAAGCCAACAGCGTTATTGTATTGCTGGATGTCATCGCCGTACGCGTCAGCAACACCGAAAGACGGAGTGATCATTGCTCCATAACCCGCGTAGAAAAGTCCTAGTACTTGTTAAGACATTTCACCTCAAAGGAGAGCACATCAAGGTGCTTAGGGTCCGCACCGAAAGCACTGTAGATTGAGTATGCGAGTCCATTTCCAATGGCCAACTCCCACTGAGCTGTGACAACTAGGCCAAACGCTGCGATAAAGAAGAAGTTCGCGATGTACACATTAGTGGTTGTGACACCTCGCCATTCCATCAGAGACAGCGACAGAGTCGTCAGGGTCGTAGCGAATGCGCCGATAGGCAAGATCGACTGCAGAAGTCAGCTTGGCTCTCGAAACTCAAGAAAAACATATTGACATACGCCAGCTCCAAGAGATTTCTTCTTTATAATAGGCAAGGGTTCATAAAGAATGAATGGCGCATTGAGTTGGTTCTCCGGATCTGACCTCGTCACCGACGTCTTCAAGGTCTCGTCCTGGGCCAGCTCGGATGCAGAAATGCCAGACATGTTGCCGTTGTCATGGGAATGGAAATTCAGGCTTGTGTAGGACAAAGCTCTGTCAGAGCAGTATTTGCGGCCGTATAACGCGGAAGCGATGCGGGTTGCACTCAATTGCACACGTGGGGTACGTCGTCTACCTTTGAACCGGAACTATGTGGAGATTATGGCCATGCGTTCGTCGTCCCCACACTCTGGAGACGAAAATGTAGACCCATGCTACATTGACGAGCTTAAAATCGCCTCTTCGCCTGTTTGTCTTGCGCAATGCGGACTAATGCGGAGCTGGCCAAGCGGAGACCTGCACATCTTTCCGAGGGACCAAACTTGTTGGAGACATAGATTTCGTAGATGAAGAACGCCCAGTGAGATACCCGGGCTGAAGCAGCGTATCGTCTGTGATGTACTAGCTTGGTTGGAAAGCTTAGCTGCGTTGCATCACCACGCGGATGAATGGCGTAACCACAAGCAAATTGTGAGCTACACTCTGTGCAAGGCCAAACCATGTAATGTCTCTAAAATATGAGAAACGTAAAACGATGTGTATGAAAGGTATTGATTGTATAGTTGTCCTCAGAGATTGATCGTCGAGATTGCAGACGAGGTTACAGTGAGCGTTGCAAAGGCGAACTGTTGTAAATGCCCAACGTCTTCGGTTCGGTGGCTTCATAGAATGTGTAACATACTGGAAGTACAATTCTTCCCTGCGTATATATTTCGGATTCATTCTTTCGGCGTATCATCATATTCCAGCCTTATGCCACTCGAAGACAAAGATATTGTCACGGCTCTGGACGGATGTTGATCTCCGCTAACAAGACTTTCATCAATTGAAAAGGCAGAGCTTGAATATTTTACTGATAGTTCTTATTGATAGAATCAAAGCTTGCGCAGTGCAGCAGATTACCTTGACGGACACAAGGAAATACGCGTTCTCGCTTGTCAGAAGCCCTTCATGTTTTCAACCTCGAACGGTTGCCGATTGAATCCTTAGAATTAGGGCTTGGGAACGAGTGACACCATCGGACCTTCTTGCGGCTCAGGCGTTTCGACAAGGCTCCTGGTCATTTGCGCTCTTGTTATATTTGTATAGACTCACGTTTTAATATGCAAGAACTAAGTCCTAGCATGGTGGCAAAGCCCGATTGAGCACACAATGAGAACAGGCCGAAGTAGGAAGAGCAGGCCTTTCGAAATCTTCAGAGGAAGATTGGACTGAGTGCGAGATACCCGGTGAAGAGTTTCGTGAATGCAAGCCGTTGTTTCGTAAGATTTCACTCGAAGTCTTTTGCAACATTGAGACTCAGAACGCCGAATTTCCCTGCGCTAGAGAAACGCCACGTAATAGAAGATGAAAGGCAATGCTTTTGATCAGAAAACGCTGGAAATTGCCAGAGAATATATATCTAGGTAATCAGCGTTTAAACAACATCATTGTAAGAAATCGGTAGGCCTATATTCTAGTCATTAGCAGGCTACGTATTCAAAGGGTTCTTGTCCATCATATAGACTATCTGCTTTCCGGTGTAATTCCCAAAGAGAATATATATATCCCAAAGAATAATAGAAATCAATTCCGTAACCGACTTGTTACCTGAACAATTCTACAGCCACCTCAACGGCAGTGTTCACAAAACAGCGAATGAGCAGAAGAGTAGGGGAGGGGGGAACGAACAGGATAGTATCTTAGATTGCTACACGCCTAAAGGCATCGAAGAACTTTACTTTCGAGGTACAGGACCAGGCACAGCTCATTTTTACTGATGAAAGACATACAATGTCAGCTCTGGCAGAGCGATTGTATTGATGGTATGGAGCCATGGGCGTACCCCGCTACGCTCAATGGCGCTCTGGGTAACTCCTTGGTTGACTGCTCATTTTGTAGCCACCGATCCACAACTCAAGAAGGGCGTTGACCGCTTGTTCATTACCTGGGTAGGCGGGCACAAGACGTCGCCCGTCGGAGTGAGGGGAGCACCACAAGGGGTAGGCTTACCCCTGGTGGGTTCCGGAGCTCCTACGAATGATGGCCCCAGGAGAAAGCATCCCCCTCAACAAATAAATCGCACGTTCCGTCCACCTGCAAGAGAAAATCATTGGTATAAGTCTTGAGGCACCTGAAACAACATCTTGTTGCTTTCCAAACGAGCCTCAGCACGTGTGGGCGCAGGCGTCAGTTGATCATTAGTTGGCAGGCCGATGACTTTTCGGCTAAGATTTTGGCAGAGGCTTTTGTCAGAAGGCCTGTCTTACTCTCTGGTCTGATTCTATGACACTTAGAGATGGACTGCCTATAGACCGGGAGCAGGCAGCTCTTCAGCTTTTCCGCTAGATTCTGCTTGGTAGAATCGTCATCATCTCGAAAACATCATGGGTCAATATCCTGCCCAAATGGTGTTTCCTGGTCCTACTTATGACAGTACTATAGGAAAGGGAGCGAATAATTCTCGGAAAATGCAGTCTTCTAGAAGCTCGGGAAACGAGACTCTAGAAGGTTGGAAGAAGGAGAACGGGATGTGCCGCGCTCCCGCTCGGTAGCGAGCTTTAGGGATTCTGTTTCAGCCGCAGTGGGCTGGTTCAAGGATGCCGTGCAGCCCCTCAGGTGCAGCTGTTATTGACAGGGATCCTGACATACTACCGGAAACGGCGCTGCCGGGGCCGCCGACGTGCGGTCGATTTGCGGGCCCGACGCCATGGAAATGGGTTGAGAACGGTGACTTATACTATGCGTGTCGTGAGAGTCTTCTTGATGATTATTGCGGAGGATAAGGAGTCAATAGTCTAGTCCTCGGGAGCTTGGACATGGATTACAGGTGTATTAGGATTAGGATTATTAGTTTACTTTTTCTATGGTGGTTTTGTACCTCAAATCTTTTTGAATTATATGTTTAGACCATCATTTGAAGCTCTATATAAATGCGTGGGGTAGAGATTTGGTGGACCTTGATGTGCAGCGCAACGTAATGACTCCTAGGTACTACGTCCATCAAAGCCACGTGTAGGTGTCTGGGTGATTCTAAGGACTGAGGGCCGTCCCTCGCGTGTCCTTGTAGAGACGCTAGATCAGAGCGTAAATTGTCCGGAAAAGATATCTGTAGGTGCGATGCTCCGAGTGCAAGGTGATATATGCTGATGTGGACGATATCCAAAAAGTCCATCACGATTCGACTCGGAGCCCGTGATCAGCAAATCCAGCAAACCAGTCAGCTGCTTGCTTTGGCCAACCTGAGACTATCCCAAGTCGTTGTAAGTCGACTACTAATGGGTCAGTCGCCGGTTGGTCGTCGCGCCGTCAGTGATTGTCCCACGTCATATTCATCCCACCACCGTGGGCCTGGTTGACCCGGTAGTGCTGGCCAAAAGCCTGCTGGCCCAGTTGCAATTGTTGGCTTGGCAATATGCCTGCGGCCTGTCCAGTGTAGCTGCCACCTCCTGGTGAGGTCTGAGGATACGGGCTCTGCCGAGGCTCAACCGGCATTTGCTGAGTGGCATACGGTTGTTGATCCTGTAGTATCGGGTTTTGAGGGATCTGATTTTGAGCCATCTGAGGGGTACTCTGCGGTACAGGCGTGTGCGCCGCTGAAAGATATCCTGCTCCACCTCCCATCTCTACATCATCTTCGGCGTCGGCGTCGGCGTCAGCATCTTCATCTTCACCTTCTTCTGCGTCGGGGTCCGAGTCTTGATCAGAATCATCGGCAGATTGTCCCGATGGTGTGCCAGCAATCGATGTCTTGGCCTCGCTGGTGGCGATGATGGTAGGAACAACGGGGCTTCGAGATGTGGTTCGCAGGAATGGCGGTTGAGAAAAAGTGGAAATGCTGGGCGAGGACTGGTGGAGATGCGTTTGCTGGCCGGTCGGTGTGGGGGGCTGCGTTGTGGTTGTAGGCATCTGAGCAGAAGCTGATGACTGGTCAAGAGGTCTCTGGGAGGTCATGCCACTTGTTGCCCTTGAAGACACTATGACACTTTTCCATCTGTCGATAGCGGTTGAGACCACCGTGTTGAGGTCTGAATGGCGATCCTCCATGTTAAACCCGACAACGCGGCGACCACTGACGCCCGCTTCTGCCGAGAGCTGTATCATCTTCTGGCTCATGCTCCATGTCATTGGATTCGCGATTTTGAACTCCCGTGGTTGTTGTAGTCGGTTGAGATGGTCGATTTGTGACTTGAGGTTGGTATTTTCTTGCTCCAACGAGTGCTGTGTCTCCTTCAATTTGTCCACCTCTTTCTGTTTCCTCCCGACGCTTCGAGCCAGCTCCAATATCCACAGCTCCTGCCTGCGCTGCGGAGAAAGCTGCTGCCATACGGAGAAGGCAGATCTAAGATGTTCTGTTACTTGCCTTTCGAGCTTCTCAGCAGCTCGCTCTGCCTTTTCCACCGAGTCACGGGTGTTTTCTTGAAATGTTGCTGTTTGAGAGGGAGGGTAAGTCAATTCTTCCATGATTGCCGTCGTTGCAGCAGAGCATGTGATCTTCCACTTTCGAAATTCCTCTTGGAAGTAGGCTAACAGTGCTTGATCCTGCTTCTCTCCAGGAGGGGCTATGGACCACGAGGTTGAAGTGGGATGTTGAGTAGACGAGAACAAAGTTGGTGGCGGTTCCAAGCACTGAAGACACAGCGCTGGAAAGTCTAGCGAGAGCGGATCGAAATCGAATGGCATCGAGTGCACATTCACCTGCTGCCTAGAGAGCCAAGTCAGCATGAGACAGCGCAAGCGTCCAGTTGACGGTGGACGGGATCAAGTAGGCCCTACTTTGCTGCCCTCCATGAGCTTAGAATTTCCCGCAGTGCCAACTCCGCAGCTCTGGCTCGGTCAAGAGCATCCTGGACTTTCTGCTTGACATCGAAAGACGACTTCATCATCTGCCTGTTGTGGGCTCTTTGTAAATTTGCCCGCCGGACGGCATCCGCGCTCCCGCCTCCAGCTTCTGCTTCAGGGATGTTGTTAATGACCCCGGTCGTCTCCCATGGAGCGGTAAAGGATGCTAAACCCTTGGTCAAGTCCGCAGCGGACTGAGTGTCCGTGGTCATACCTGGTGATTTTGCCGCGGGCGATTCGGCATCAGAAGCCTCTGGACTGCGCCTGGACCCGTTATGGCTGGCCGCGGGGTCTGAGCTGGCTCTCCTGCTCCCCTTGTGGTGTCGACGGGTGATACTGCCCCGGATCTTCCGGATCTCGTCGACATTATGAATTCCATCCGGCGCCTTGGGGTTCTTTTCCTTGATGTACAGGTCAAGGTGTCTCCCCAACGAGGATGAGGTGAAGGCTTGGCCGCAGTATGGACAATTCTTGTCCTTGGGAGCCTTGGTCACGGTTTCGGCATTCAAGGTCGCTTCAGCCATCCTTGCTGAAGAACCCTGGTAGGGCGGACTCGGAGAATTTGGGCTTCAGAGCGGTGGGCCGTGGATTTCCGCCCGCAAGATCGAGGAAACAGAGACGATGTGACAGGTCGTCGACAGCCAATGAGTTCCTCGTGGTGTGAGTCTCACAGCTCGTCAGACCACAGCCTGTGCACAAAAGAGACGATGACTGGGCGCCGCGGGGTTGGAAAGACAGTGGTAGACTCGATCTCACGAGGAGGCAGGGGGAAAAGAATCAGTGTTATGATACCAAAACAGGCTGGGAGAAATCCGGTGGGCCAGGCAAAGGTCGTTGTCGATGTTGGAGGGTACGGTCTAGAGATGCAGTCGAGCAAGAGAGGCAGGTCGGGATAGCTGGTGACTTGATAAAAGCCCCGCGACCAGTCCAGAGGGAGTCGATATCGATTGGCGTCGACCCTGGGAAATGCTGCTCGTCTCGCTTCTCTGGACCCCTACTCTTCATTGGGGCTGGGGGGACCAGGCAGGGGGCCAAGTCCCGATGAGCGTTGTGAGGAAGAGACCGTGGAGCCGGGGCGGAGCCCAATTGACAGACCGTGCCAGAACGTGGAGAAGGCTGGCAGCGACGGCGCACACAACTTGGTGCCGTGCAGGACAGGCTTGTATCGAGTTGCACAGGATAAGTGGATATGATATGGATATGCAAAGAAAGGGTTTTCGTGCTTCGTCTGCTCCCCAAGTATGCCATAGAAACAGAAGGGGAAGGGGTGGGCGAGTGTGTGGAGGCCTTAGGGCGAGACCAATGACCGAGTCTCTAAATTTCCGACCATGATCGAAGGACAAGAGGCAGACATCAGAATGAGGAGCGGGCAGGTGATTGCGTATGCACTCGACAGAGACTGGTCCGTATTTTGCCGTGGACTTGGACTTGAGGATTGATGCAAGCACGCAGAGTGTCGTGGCGCGTTGGGCGAGGGCGATGGAGTGGTGGCGGTTATCCAGCCAACGGCGCAGTCATCGATGGGATGAGGTCGACAGTGGGGGGAGAAAATGCAAATGATTGGCATTGTGACCGACCGACGGACAACTGAGCCGGCCGAAAAAAGAAGCAGCAAATTGTGAGAGCTCATCCTGGTTTGATTATCATTAGCGTCCTAATTAAATCGACAACAACTACCCGAATAAGAGATTCTCGTGAGGTCCAGATTGGGTCCCGGGGCAGGTGGCAACGACGCCTCTTCCGGGGAAGGGATGGACAGGACACAGCAGAAAATAGCATGACTGGTGAACGGAACGGGCTTGCTGTCCCCATTACGATCCCGAGGTGACAGTCGAGAACAGCATCCTCGTCAACTGGTCAACCAAACCTTGGAACCCTTCATCTCGGGTTGGGAGCACATCTCTGCTGCATGCTGTAGGTACCTGGGTACCTGGGTACCTGCGGGCACTGCGGGCACTGCAGACAGACTCACCTGGGTGGTCCATTTAGGAAGCCTGCCGGTGGCCAGAAACTTCGACCGTTGAATGGCTCAAAACGCACAGATAAGTGGAGCGGCGGCCAGCCATTAGGGGCAGGGGTCGTGTTTACCTGATCCACTCCATGACAGGGGCAGGGATGCGTGAACCTGGAGGAAGGAATGGAACGCAGCACTTCAGTCTGTACCTACCTGGGTACAAGGCAATGTGAGAGCAAAGACCTGGCTGCTTGCGAACCTCAACTCATGACATACCTGGAGATGCCATGCTGTGCCATGCTATGCCATGCACAATATGCACTTCCATCACCAACACCATCCTGCTGTTGACACAGCATAAACACAGTCATTATCCGTACCACGCCTCTGCAGCACCCAGGCCAAACAATGCCACCCATGCACAGCACATCTCAGCCAGGTTCGACATGCACTCGCTCCTTCGCTACTGCAGGTGTCAACCATGGTACGAAGCATGATCGGGAGCGTGACCAAAGATTCCCCTAGTCATTCGTATGGAGACATGTGGATCAACAGTCGACAGCTCATGTTTTTCTCTCAGTATCGATGTGGCTTTTGGGAGCGGCTACTTCGTGCGGAAGACATCCAGTATGTTTGCCTAACTACAACAGCAGGAACACGATGAGGTATATCCTTCCACGTGCCTCCGGATTCAAGTTCACTTTGCCGCGGTCCGCGGATCCCAGTACGCTGCGCTCAGCCGCATCCTAAAATCTACTATTGGTCGAATCACCTATCGATAGACCCTCTCGAGGTCTACTCTCGATATCTTCCTTGTCCGTTCAAAATTGGTTGGCGGCGAGCGGGTCAGGCCACGGCAAGGCCTGTTGGCCTCCCACTTTGTACCGTTCAGTCCCGCCCAGGAGCAGGGGGGACCGCGGCCAAGAGACCAGCTCTCACAAGCGTCAGCAGTGGTAGATTTTCCACGAACAAGCACATGGATTTTGGGACGATGAATGTGATAACTGCAATCGACTGATTGTAAAGAGGTGACCTCGTCGGGCTGTCCTAAGCTGGAACGTCCTGCGAAGTACACACTAGTTCCAAGGAACTAGGCAGTTGGAATATGTTCCGAATCGCGACTCAGGACACCGAGCGGATCCTCCCGCAACCCACAATGTGGCGACCTCAACCCATTTGGCTTCTCATCGCCCGCCCTTACAGCCTAATTATTTTCTACCTTAGGTCCCCTTCGATAGCCGGCAAGATGTCACCATGTGGCCGACAACAGCTCATGCCAATGGATTCCTAAGGTATGTAGGAGTTGAGACCCCAGCCTTGAACGTTTGTGGAATGGAGTTCGTAGGCCCAACGAAGCATCCAACCGGGGTGAGCGAGCCAGATGGATCCGAATTGAGTACTTCCGACGACTATCATCCGCCAAATTCGCGTTGATCGCTCAGTACTGTCTCCGATATGGCAACACCCAAGTCAGCTCCACCCTTCCATCGAAAGGATGGAGCTGTTGGTTGATGACACTGAAGTCAGATGTATACTAGGGCATTTATGAACCGAAGCCGCACCTGCTGTTTTCCTCAGATCATCAGCGTCAGCTAAACCGATTTTGGTTGCCACTTCTGAATCATATCCGACAGTGCGAGGCAGCCTATTTCCTAGCATCTAGAACGACATGCACTTCTCACAGCGGTGCCTCTCGGACAGCGACCCCAATGATCGTCCGTGATGAACATATCCGAAGTAAGCTTGAAAGATGCGGCCCCCGGTGGATTCATCTAGGCCCCCCTTGTCCGGTACAGGACTCGCTGACAGCTGTCATTGGTACTCCTCCCCGTGTTGCTGCCAACTGCATGTGGGATGCGTGTGGCTATCCCTGAACGGTGGCAGAAGCATGGCACCGCAGAGTCTGGTCGCGGATCCTAACTTCGTGTCGAGCGTAATACCTACTGACTCAAGATATGATGCCACAAACTACCCCATCGTGCTCACATCTCACCTTCAAGCTTTTGGCATGGACAGGTCGTCGGTAGAGAAGAGGTCGGCAGCAGCAGCAGCATAATGGAACACCATCGCTCGGCCGCTTCCCAACCCTCATTGCCTCGCCATGGCTGAAGCTGCCTCGACAAGCTGTGAGCAGTCGCGAGCTTTCCTATACCCTCAAACAGCGGTAGCGATGACATCTTCAATGTTTTTTTTCCGTATTCTTTAGCAATCCAAATTTCGGCCGATTGCCCCAATCGCGTCGGCCTTCCGTCGCGGGACGATCTTCGAAAGGTTCTAACCCCGCTTGCACGTGGAGTCTTGGGCGTCTTGCATTTTTAGAGGGTCTTCCAGTTAGGAGTTGGAGGCGGCCAACTTTCCGGCAAGCAAAGAGAGGCTCTCGAGAGGAGATCGTGAAATGAGACTCGAACCTAGAAACCTGCTAATTTGCAACGGGTGGGTCCTCAGAGAGCACGGGGCAAGAATAACGGTGAGGCAACGAGATTGGATATTGTCTTCGGCTTCATTTTAGCCTTCCCGTGTCGTACTTTTAGCATGTGATCTAGCACCATGTTGCTGGCTGGAAAGGTCGATGATATATATTTGGATATGTGCGGCCCCGTCGCTGCACCGAAGGGACCGACCAGCCGAGGACAAAGCTCCGTCGCCTTGCCCAATACCCACATCCACTTGCCGAGTGTTAGCTTCTCTCCGGCCCTGGCATGAGCCCGCCGCCGCTCCACACACTCCCTTCGGCTCCGGCCGTTGGACAAGGAGACCAGACGGTAATTATGTGAGGATGCGCATGCAACTTCAAAAGTTAGGGACATGCCGAATACCGTGAGTCTTCAAGCCGGGTTTGCCGTGCCCGACCAAAAGATCATGGAGGCCTGAGGTCTGAGAGATCGTAGAACAGGTGTTGCATGACGGTGACGCTTTCCTTTAAGCGCAAGGGACCCTTTCATGGTATGCTCAAGAAATGTTACGACGTTGTAGAGGCAGATCGTATGCCGGGCAGTGAACCAGTTGAAATCGACTTGTCCATGAATCCCGAACTTCAATGTCTAATCTGAAAGAGACACAAGGAATGTGTACAACTCAAATTTGCACTTGCTCGAATCAGTTATACCCAATGTGCAGCCTTCATCCAAGCAAAGCACCAAAATGAATAGATGGGTTCATGCATGGCTGCACTTGCCGTTGATGTGGTCAGGGTCCTTCTGCAGCTCAGACTTATCTTATCGGACAGTTGCTTAGCTAATTCACCGTGAGCTGCAGAAGCTCACTCTCTCTACCTCTACCGCGGCCCCCCAAAGTGCTGGTGGAAACTTTGGCGCGTCGGCGGGCAGCAGCTCAAGCTTCCACTTCCAGCTCCGCGTCGCAGCTTGACCTCAGTCCGCACCGCCTCTTCGGTCGCAACCCTCGCCGACAGCATACCAGCCTCGGTCGAGGCCCGATCCAATCTCCGTCCATTTCTCTACCTCCTCAAGCATCTGTTTCCTCGATCAGATAGCAAACATGCCCCCAGGTGAGTGCAGCGCAACGGGGACAGCCGCACCAGCTCGTGGTCCCTGGAACGCGTCACATGCGCGACAAGGCTGTACTCGGCAGCCGTTTCGATGTTCACACCTGCTAATAAACCTTTGCCTAAAGCTATCAGTGATGAGGAAAACTCAGACACCGGCGATTTTGCCGTGACAAGCGACATTCTGCCGAAGAAGGGTCGAGGGCGCAAGCCAAAAATAAAGCCAGAGCCAGAGGAAGACTCCGAAGGGGAAGAGGATGTCGCTGACCCAAAGATCACGAATGGCAATGCCGAAGAGGACGACGATGAGGATCAGGACGAGGACGACATGAGTGAGGATGAGTGAGGCATCCCACACCTCACGATCGATCGGCCCGGGCCACTGACGAGTGCGCAGGTTCGTGGTCGAAAAGATCTTTTCCCACTATATTGCCGCAGACGTGTGTTTCCTGTCCGCCACAATTCTTCGATCAGAGCATCCTCACTGATGTGCCATACAGGGTGAGCCTCGCTTCGAGGTGAAGTGGGAGGGATGGGACAAGAAATCCGATCGGACCTGGGAGCCAGAAGAGAATCTCCAGTAAGCTCCACCGCCATTGAGCCAAGGTGGCGGTTTTGCTGATCTGCACCTCTCCGCCAGAGAAAACGCCGCCGAAATATTGCAGGAGTATTTTAAGGAAATCGGTGGCCGGGAGAAGATGTTCGAGCAGACCAGCAGCGCACTGAAGGGCAGGAAGCGCGGCCGACAGTCCAACTCCGCCACGCCCGCCGAGAAGCGCACCCGCAAGAACGGTCACCCCGAGAATTCGACCCCGCCCGCGAGCGCCAAGGCGGTTGAGTGGAAACCCCCGAGCGGCAGCTGGGACGAGGAAGTCGACACCGTGGATATGTGCCAGGATGAGGAGAACGGCACCTTCATAGTCTACCTGACCTGGAAGAATGGCAAGAAGACGCAACACCCCAAAGAGGTTGTCTACAGGAGATGTCCGCAGAAGGTAGGTTCCCAAGTCGCCGGGATCAAGACACGGACGTGGGCATAGGGCTGATGCTGGTTATTAGATGCTTCGATTTTACGAGCGCCACATTCGTATCTCTCGCGACGGTGGTTCACCAGTCGCAATATCAAGCATGAACTGATAGTTGAAATCTCGGTCCACTAACACCTTGCACGATCGGACAGAGCAGAGCAACCACGGAGGCAGGGGCATGATAATCTGCGGCTTTGACTTGGTGGAGTTATTTGAATTCTCTTGCGCGCATGAGCGATTTCAGTTTGACGCAGGGAAGACGCACGAGTACCAGTGTACATTGACAGGAAAAAAGGATCCGAGGTGGCATCCGGGCTCTCAATCAGCTGGCTTGCCGCCAGAATATGGCGACTCGGTCAGGAGCCCTACAAAGAAGGCTCAATTTCGACGTGCTCAAGCTCATTTGCAGAGCTATTGGTTGGTCTGTCTCAATCCAGCCCTTGCTTTCGGGCGTTCGGGAAGGTTGGAATGGGAAATGAAAATTTTCATGCCGTTTTGCAAACGTTGTTCTTACTCAGGCTAGGCGCTTAGCATTATCTCGATTGCTTGTAGTGAAGACTATGGTATATGTTGTGATCATCCTCGACAATTCTAAGTATGCAGACGTCAGAAATCATAATGCTCTGTGTCTTTGTGTTTCGATGATAATTTCTTGGTTTTATTGTCTTGCTCACATGGTGACACGTCCCGCCTTTTCTCCTGGCCATTGATTTCCTCCTTGGACCGCTTCTTATCTCCTCTCCCACGCAAGTCGACTAATCGTGAATCTGTCTCTGACTCCTTGTCTCTATTTCAGATCGGCAGCACTGACATCGTGGGAGTAACAATTTGGGTCGTGCTAGTCAAAGTAGGTGCCCAGTTGATAGGTGTTAGGCTGATTACGCGTGCATGAGCGAACAGTCCGGAGTCGTGTTATTTTGAAAGAAGTCTCTTAACTAAGTAGTCCGATTTTTACGTATGGGATAAATTTTCCTAATTCTCTGGCGGACCAGCTGGATGACCGCGTTTCTATAAGAGTGAGTGTTCCCTGTGTGACCAATATTGTCGCTGGATGTATGTCGTCTTCGAGGCGGAGACGATCGGTTCCTGTCTCTTGACAATACCCTTCATGCTGATCAACGTACTTATCGTATTCTTCATTTCCATCGCTGCTTTAGCAGCGTCTGGGAGCGTCGATGTGCTAAGCAAATCCTAAATTAATGTCCCGACTTTATCTCGGTGTTCGTTACTGACTTCAAGCCACGAACCTAGGTAGCACATTTCGGTGTTGACTTTGGCAGTCTCATTGTGATCGTCCTGGCTTACGCGAACAGCATATGGAAGTAACAGCAGCTGACGATGGTAAATGACACGACAGCGTAGTCAAGTATCTTTCACCGCGGACTAGCAATTCGACCAGTCTTTGGCAAGAGTCTCTAGGACTGGTTTGTGTTCTCAACATAGCCACCCAGAGTCCATCACGACCTTCATTCCTTTACCGACTACGAAATGTCTTATGAATTCTGGACTTGAGTCAAGACTATTAGGAGGGAATACCAATCTTTAACCACATAAAATACCACACGCAGACCGCGATGAAGTAACACTCGTCCATCGCTTACAGAAACAGACAAGTTCTAAGCAAGTGAAGTGCCGCTTTCTTTTCCGCTGTTGCGACTGATTGCTCAATTGTGTAATCCAGTGGAATCTACAGATTCAAAATGTCAGCGTCAGCCAAGCCAACGAATCCCTTAAAAGTACTGCTTTGCGTCCCTACTCGACCTGTATTAACTGATAGCCAGTCTGGGATTGGAATGAATTGATAACAAGCCGTCAGAGCCGAGAAATCAGGCATTAAAGATTAAGATGAAAGCCGACATAACGTCAGGGGTCCAGGCATGACGATTCTCGGGCCTCAGAAGTTCTCCCTGTTCTGTGAGTGAAGGATTCTGACAGTCTGGAACAATTCAGCCAACGGCTACGGCAGCCATGAAGCGCGACGCGATACCGTGCAGAACATTTTCCATGTTTCCGCTGGTATTTCTTCTCGGAACGATTGCCCTTTGTGTCATGGTAGATTTATTCCGCATCCAGATCTCAATACCATGGTACTGAGCTGCCTAATGGGGAATGGCGGCCCCTGGGAAATCTAGGTTTTCCCCTCACTACTCCCATGTCACTGCCATGTCTATGATCCCAACATCAAGCCCGGCACTGCAGGCATCCCAAGCACTGTCGATCCTGCCGAGGGGATCCATCCACCCGGGATTGAGCCCATCGTCCTGTTGCTACTGTGAATGTGCACAGCACTAGCCTTATCTGCATGCCCCTGACGGATCGCCGGCTTTTATCCCTGCTGCTTTGTCCCCACGCGTTGAGCTTCGAATAGTAATCACGCGGTATAAGTGTTCGCCATTCCCAACACGTACTTCTTTGTGCTCGCGATGGCATCCACGCACCGTGAAGAGAAGAACCGAGCTTTCGGTCGGGCCTTTGGGACGCTAGTCACTCGAAAGAACGAGGCCATTCGCTCCCACTGACAATCAGCTATCCGGCGGTCGTTCACAATGTGGTCATTCTACTTGTTGGGTCTCTATGCCATACAATGGCTGCTTCTCGCCCTTCCAACTGAGAGCCGCAACGTAGTTGTGCACAGAAGTAAGCCCTCGAGGGATTTCAATTTGGCCATCCATGGCACTGACAAATTTCTAGCTGCGAAATCCACAAAACAGTTGTACACTACACCTTCTCTCATTGACGCTACCGTTGATGAGCTCGCCGAAGGTCTTGATAGTGGCGCTTTCACCAGTGTCGACCTTGTAAACGCCTACATCGCGAGGATTCTGGAGGTGAACAGCACTCTTCACGTTGTCACTGAGATCAACCCCGATGCCATCGCCATTGCAGAGCAACTTGACAACGAGCGAAAGAATGGCACTTCCAGAGGTCCACTCCACGGAATTCCAATTCTGATCAAGAACAACATCGCCACTGCTGACCAGATGAACAATACCGCTGGTTCTTGGTCCCTCGTCGGTGCAAAGGTCCCTCGTGATTCGCAGGTTGCCAGGAAATTGCGCGAGGCCGGTGTGATTATCCTCGGGAAGACCAACCTGAGCCAATGGGCAAATTACCGCTCGAACAACTCGACCAACGGCTGGAGTGCTTACGGCGGCCAGGTGTATGGTGCCTTCTACCCGAACCAGGACCCAAGTGGGAGTTCCAGTGGAAGCGGCGTATCCTCTTCGATTGGTCTCGCACTTGCGTGTCTCGGTACTGAAACCGACGGGTCGATCGTCTCGCCCTCGGATGTCAACAATCTTGTTGGAATTAAGCCAACGGTGGGATTGACCTCGCGCAATTTGGTCATTCCCATCTCAGAACACCAAGACACGGTTGGACCCATGGCGAGAACCGTCAAGGACGCAGCTTATATCCTCTCTGCCATCGCCGGCCAGGACCCTTACGACAACTACACGTCTGCTATTCCTTTCAACGGCAGTCTCCCTAACTACGTCGCGGCTTGCAAGGAGGGTTCCCTGAGCGGTGCTCGCATCGGCGTTGCCCGCAACCTGATGGACGCCTCGTTCGGGACCGACACAATAGCCAACGCCAGCTCCAGCGCCGATCTGGCAGCTTTCCAAGTAGCCCTCGACGTTCTCCGCGACGCGGGCGCCACCGTCGTTGAGGGCGCCAACTTCACAGCAGTGGACCAGTGGTTCAACGACTCCAGCACGGAGACCATCGGCCTCGACGCGGACTTCATTGTCAATCTCGTGTCGTACCTGGACGAGCTCACAGAGAACCCGAACAACATCACCGATCTTATCACCGAGACGGCCTTCACGCATGGTTTCCCCGCCGAGGATTGGCCGGACCGTGACACGGCGATTTGGGATGGCGCCCTCGCCCGTGGCTTCAACAACACCAGCCCTCAGTTCTGGGCGGCCCATTTGAACAACCTCGCCGTGGGTGGTCCGGGTGGTATCCTGGGTGCTTTGGAGAGGGACAACCTGGACGCGGTGGTCTCACTGACGTCCGTTTCGTCGTCTTTTCCCGCGCTCGTTGGCAGTCCTATTATTTCTGTCCCTCTTGGATTCTTCCCGAACGGGACGACCGTGGTCCCTTCACAGAGGGAGTTGATTGCTACTGCACCCGGCATACCGTAAGTTACCCAGGTCTTTCCGTCCGGCCAAATGGTCCAAAGTGCTGACAATGGCTGTGAACAGTTTTGGATTTGCCTTCATGGGTGCGAGGTTCAGCGAGGAGAAACTCATTAGCCTTGCCTATGATTTCGAGCAAAAGACTCTGGCGCAGCAGAAAGGAAAGCCTTATCTAGTCCCTACCACCGAGTTGGCTGACGTGATTGGTTCCTCCTGATTCACGCTGGCTCCGGGCTTCAAATGCCACTCAGGATACACGCATATATAGCCTTCTTGTGACCGAGATAGCAAACTCAATGTTAAACAATGTCTCAAGCCCAGATCTAGCTTCAAGGGGCATGCACGGGAGTCCAACATTGAACCCATGTTCGTGGGTGGTCATTTGGATTTCATTGTGCCACCACCATTCGACAAAGACTTTCCTTATATATACACACACAGGTAAAGCAATGACCAGGTCTGCAGTTTGCACCTCCTGTACAAGTATCCTGAAGATTCTGTATCCATTCGAGACCCTTGGAACACTAGATCCTGCGTGAAACGCTGACAAAGAACAAAAACCTGGAAACAGTGGACAAAAAGCCAAAAACCTGTCTGCCCCATGAATCGAACATGGGTTTCTTCGGGACCGTATGAGTTCTTGAACCAAGACCACAACGAAGTGTACTAACCACTATACTAGGCAGACTTGGAGAGTTATTCAGCGGCTTCAGCGGGGCACTATATCGTGATTCAGCTTGAGTCAGAATGTGGGGGTGGCTGAGGCTGTCTTGGCGCGGCCGGTTCGCGGCCGGCACCACTGTGGCACTGTGGGAAGTGCGAAATCCGCCCCGAAGTCCAGATTGTAGACTGAATAAATGGCTTTATTTGCATTTTCGATGCGAAGCTCCACGTCGCATAGTTTTGCTTCGCGTTCTGTCAAATCTCAAGCACGGAAGTCGCGCAACGTTTGGAGTACGCACAAGTGAATCCCTGGCAAAGCTTGTCAGTCTGGCGCTCTCCGGTTGATAGAGCGCGCTCTCTTTTGAGAGGGAAGCACTTGATTTAGAATATTTTTGTATTTAGAGCGCATTGTATTTCTAGTCTGGTCCATTCTTCGCAGCCGGGCTTAGTATGAGGGACAAGCTGTGAACGAGAGCGACGCGAGACGGAGCAACAATAAAGATGGTATCATTAGCATCGCTTTTCAATTCCCTTCCAAAATGCCAAGGTCTCCTTTTACATAATGACCTCGCTCGAAACATCCTGTGTGGTGGTTAGCATGATTGTCAACAATCTTGGGTTCACAGCTAAGGGGCCTTAGTTGCACTCACCCGCTTCAGCTCCTTATAAGGCAGGCAAACACAGTTCTGCACGCGAATTTCGTCGCGGACACCGCACTCCTTGCCCAGGATGGTCACCGACTGGACCTTGACGCCGTTCTTGACGATGCTGGTTGTGTGGCTGGTCAGCGGCAGGGGCGTACCCTCGACACGGGCCCAGGCGCCGACCTTGCAGCCCCAGCCCACGATCGAGTACATAACGCAGGCATCGTGCTTGATCTCGGCGTCCTCCAGGACGATGGACTCCTTGACACGAGTGCCACGACCGACAGTAGCCCGAGGGCCGATGGAGACGTTGGGGCCGAGCTTGGCCGTGGGGTCGACGTGGGCCGTGGGGTGGATGAACACAGGGGGAATGATGTTGGCGGAGGGCTCAGCAAGCTCCTTGGAGCCATTCTGGCGAGCCTGCTGCAGGTAGAGGGCGTTGGCGGGCACGGCGGAGCCAGCAGTCTTGATCTGGCGCCAAAAATCCTTGGTCTCGTACACAAAGAACTGCTTGCTGTCGGCCATGTCACTGAGGATGTCTTGCTCGAGGCGGATGATCTGGCTCTTGCTCTCGTCGTCGTCGTCATCCTGGTCGAGGATGAAGGAGCTCTCGAGGTTCTCGTTGCTGGCGTAGCTGGCGAGGCGAGGGCGGTCGGCGCGGCGCTTGATGGCGCTCTTAATGGAGGGGAAGATGACGTCTGTGCTGAAAAGGTAGACACCGCAGTTGATGAGGTTGGAGATGTGGCCCTCGGGCTTCTCGACGTAGTGCAGGACGCGCTTGGTGTGGTTGTCGCTAACAATGCAGCCAAAGTTCGTGGCGGCCTCGCTGCTAACGCGTGTGCCTAGGATGACGGCCTCGGCGTACTTCTCGGTGAAGAGCTTGAGCATCTCGTTGAGGGGGAAGGAGCAGCAGACGTCGGAGTTGAGGACGAAGAGGCGCTCGGGCTTGCCCTTGAGGATTGCATCGCGGAAGTGGTACAGGCCACCGGCAGTGCCTAGAGCCTGGTACTCGCGCAGATACTTGACGGACAGGTTTGGAAAGTCGTGGGAGGCATCCTTGAGGAAGTCGCGGAAGACGGACTCGTCATAGTAGCCAATGAGGTAGACTTCGTGTATAGAGGGGACTTTGGAGATGGCGGTCAGGCAGTGGTATATGATGGGGTGGCCGGCGACATCGAAGAGGGGCTATCGTGGTGATGTCAGTAGATGCAAGCAGGCAAGCAAGCAAGCAAGGGAAGCAAGTAGTGGGGTGGATCTGGTGATTGTGGAGGAGGGAGAGGACGACGGTTGCGTACGAACCTTTGGGACATCGAGGGAGAGAGGTCGGAAGCGAGTGCCACGAGATGCACCGCCAACCTGCAGACGGCGGAGGGATTGTCAGTATAACAGTTGTCATTGTCACTGTCTTGCTCATGGGTCACCATGGTGGTGTTGGTGTGGACTGAGCATCAAAATGAAGGAGAGAGGGCTGAGTGAAGCTGACCAGAATGACAGCCTTGGTGGCTCCGTGGGTGTCGCCGTTGGGCCGTGACCGGTGGGGGATCTGGAGGGACATGATGGGCTGGTTACGAGGGATTGAAGAGCAAGATGGGTTGAGATGGCCGAATCAGACCCAGGAGTGGGGATCTAGCCAGAGGATGGATGGGAGGAGTAAGAGGGAAAAAGAGGCTGGTGGAAGTTGGTGTCGGGTGTGACTTTGGATTGGGACGATGCTGTCCTGATCTGGAATCTGGAATCCTGCTGGTGTTTGTGTTACTCCAAACTTCGTTCCCTTGCTGCCGCCGCCTCCCACACACGCGGCCACACAGAGCTCAACTGTCGTAAGAGCTGGACCCCTGCAGCAAACCCCTGGGGACGGTGGATAGGCCTTGTGGGCTGGGCCCATGCAAGTCTGCTGTGCATGTAGCCTGCTATCACCATACAGACCCCGCTCTTAACTCTTCCCGACCTCAGTCTTCTTTGCTTTTTCCTCTGCCGCAGCCACGACCATGACCATGGCCATGACCTTGGAGTTGACTGAACAAATAATATTCATCACCGTCGAGGCACTTCTCGCCAATCTATCCCGCGAGACACAAACCGCCCTGATGTCCGGCTGGGTTCTTGGGTGCATGGCAGGTGGCAGCCCTCGAGTGCTTGGAATGTACCGTCCTTTCTTCCTCTATTCCTTTGTCGCTCACGCAAAGCAGCCCTTCAATTTCTTTCTTTTTCTCATTTGATTTCTGGCTCTTTGATATGCTGTTCAGGAGTCTGGAGAGTGTACACTATGCGTCCAAGATCCACGTGGAGTGTGAAAGGTCACATCAAAGTCTGCTGTGGACTCGTTACGCCTACGATCATCTTTACTGCGAGGCATCCGATGATCCATCTCGATGTCCAACTCAGCGCCTAATGGATTTTGTCAAGTCTTTCAATCTTGCATCGAGTTATGCTCGGTGATGCAACACATTCTGGAAAGGGACAGGGAGAAAGCCGGTCTAGTGGTGCTGGTTGTCCAATTTGCTTTACAAGCCTCCCCTGGCCCTGGACTCGTCTGTCACGCAACCCATTCACAACCTCCTGCACTTTTTATATGGGTGGGCGTGAGTCCTCCCCAAGGTTCGAGGAGCTGCTAGCCAAGGGCACGTCGACCACAATAACACCACCCACACCCTCCTGCCACCGTATCAGTATAGGCACCTAGGCACGTTCGGTAGGTAGCTGAATGCTCTTTGGGCCGGAAGCCCCACCCCCAGTTCCCCCCAGCCACTCAGTTTCGCTCCCCTTGCAGCCTTGTCACAGCTTGACCTTGAGGTTCCTGCACTCGACGCTCTCTCGTCCCAGCTAGCATCTGCTAGCAGACCCACTCGTTCAGCACTACTTGCCTAACAGTTATTGACCGTTTCTGTGTCGCCCGGGTGGAACACCCAACGCCACAGACCTCACCCTTGCGAGCTTTCCATCTCGCCCTCGAGTTCGTCGTCCTTCTCGCGTCGCCTCTCATCCATTCCTTTTTCGCTTGTCAGGCAGCCATTCATCTCCCAGTCGTACACTTTCTCAAAAATTGTCCTCATTGTGCTTTTGACGCGTTCCTCCCGTTTCGTTCAGGATACCCACTTGAGAGAGAAAGAAGTTTGCGCTACCACAATTTATCACACCCGAGCTGCTTGAAGTCGATTGCATCTCAAAGAGAGAGCGATACTGTACCAGCTGGCCACCACTTTCGATAACTTAGTCCTGTTATTTTACTGTGTTGACTCCGGCCTTTTCTGCCTTGCGCGCCAGCGAGAGATAATTAGATGAGCTAGCTATTTATCTACACACCGTTGGTCCGCTCACAGCCCTCGCAGCTGCAATTACGCCATGGCTGGCAGCCGAAGCAAGCACATCAAGGCAGAGCCTGGCCTTCATGCACCAAACCGTACCGCCACGCCTCCTCGGCCCTCCAACTCGAGGACTCCGGCCGCCGTCACCCCCCGGTCCGCCATACCAAACCGACCGGCTCCTTCCGCCGCGTCTAGCTCCGTCGTCTCGCCCGATCCAAGGCGAGCTCAGCGATCGGCTGCCCGTGAGTTTCTAATCGCCTCCATTCAGTCCCACTTCTGACTGCATCTCCTGTCTCCCCCCCTTGCTCACCTCGCTGACATCACTGCAGCAACGGTGACTACCGCATATGCTGGTCAGCACCAGTCCGAGACAGGGGAGGATGTCATGTTAATGGAAGTACGGCCCAGGACTTTCAAGGAGGACCCCGAGGCCAATGTCCACCATAGCCTCCATGTGCCCGAGGCAGGCGACATTGACAAGAACCTGAAGGACATCGGCCAGCATCTGAAGAGTTTCAATGACACCCTGGGCTCCCTTCAGTCCCTCGGCATCCACCATGACACTCCGCTACCTGAGCTCATCCTCGTCGGCGACCAGTCCTCGGGCAAGTCCAGCCTGATGTCGGCTATCTCTCAGATCATACTGCCCCGGAGCGACGGCGTTTGCACTCGCTGCCCCGTTCACATTCGCCTGTCGAGTGACACGACATGGCGGTGCCGCGTGTCGCTTCAGCAGGACTACGCCTATCGTCCGCCCAACGACGAGCCCATCACCGAGGCCGACGTCACAGACCACAACCCATTCCCACCTTGGCTTAAGCAGACGAGGGAGACAAAGGAATTTAAGATGGTCTACAACAAGACAGATCCAATCGACGAAATAGTTCGGTGGGCCCAGATAGCTATTCTCAACCACAACCGCAACTTTACCCAGTACGTGCCCAAGGACTGGGACCTGCGGTCCGCGCAAGAAAGAGAGCCAGAATATGAGGCCCGCCGTCTGGCAGAAGCCGAGCTCACCACTGAGGCCAAGTTCAGCCCAAATACTGTGGCTATCGAGGTCAAAGGCCCTGGCCTGCCGGACCTCTCCTTTTACGACATGCCTGGTGTTTTCCGAAACGCCAAGCACGAGGAGGATCAGTTCCTGGTCAAGGTGGTTGAGAATCTAGTTCGCGAGTACATCTCTCATGAAAAGGCCATCATCTTGTGGGCTGTGCCCATGAACCATGACCCCGAGACGTCCTCCACGTACGCCCTCATACGGAACGTTCGGGCTCAGCAACGCACCATTGGTGTCATGACCAAGGCCGACCTGCTTCCACGTGGTGGCCACCACCAGTGGTTGGAGATGCTGTAGGTAAACCTGAATACTGTCGTCCAGGTCATTTGTGGATACTAACTGAAAACGACAGGGCCGGTCAGCAACACCAAGTTGGCCGCGGATACTTCATAACCTCGCGTGCGCCTCCGTCACTCCAGAACGGAGATGGTCATGAGCTGCAGCGTCGAGATCGCCAGAGTCTCCGGGATGAGCATGCTGCCGAGGAGGCCTTCTTCAACCGTGCCACTGGAAGTTGGCCAGAGGAATTTGGACCATTTGACGAGCGTTGCGGTATCGACCAGCTAGTTAAGTTTCTTGCACAGTCCCTCGCGCAAGAGTTCGCCAGGAACCTCCCCGACCTCGAGAAGAAGCTCCACAAGAAGCTCAGCTTGGCTAAGGACCAGCTGGCTCGATTACCTGACATGCCTGCAAACCCTGAATACGAAGTACGCAGGAGTCTGCTCAAATTCACCCAAGAATTCCAGTCGCGTCTGAAGAGCAAGATGTTCCTGTCCTCATGGGCCAAGATCGCGGAGACGTTTAGAATCAAGGTGATTGATCTCAAGCCGCGCTACCGAGTGATGCCCGAAGGCTTCGCGATCGACAGGCCAATCGGCTCGGGCGCCAGTGACAGGGACTCGGTTTTCAGTGTTAACAACTCACCAAGCCTCTCTGTAAAGCGCAACCGGCAGGTGTTCGATCTGACGAACGACGCCGTTTCCACTCCCTCTGCTCAGCGACGCAGAGGCGAGAACGGCGCGATCAAGGTTGAAGACACCAACAGTTCATTCGTGACTGAGTTGCCAGCTCAAACGCCTGGTCACGCCTCTGGTCCAGGGTCAGACGCTGGTGGTAGGGTTCCTAGTAAGACTCTGGCTCAGATCCGTAACCTGATCCGTTCCGAGCGAGAGGCTGGAAAGCCTGGTGAGGTGCCGTATGACGTGATCGAAAAGCTGTGTGTTGAAGCCGTAACTACCTGGGAGGGACCTTTGCACAAGTTCTTGGACCACACGATGACCCAGCTTCGGCGGGAGCTAGATTCTTCTCTGAATGAGTCGTTCAAGTATGTCAAACCACTAGCGCACTTCTTGACCAGAATCCATTCTGTGTCCAAATCACAGTATTGTAACTGACTTTTGTACAGGGACCTGCAAAAACGACAGGTTTACCGGGATGCTAAGCGGCTGACTGGTGAGTGGCTCAAGGGGCACAAGCAGCGTATCTTCGAGTACCTACACAGAAATTACAAGATGGAGACGGCTCAGGTCTACACCACCGATGATGAATCCTTCCAGCGTCACCGTGGTCATGAGACCCAAATGCTACGTCGCACCCGACACTTTTACCGATGGAAGGCCTACAACAACGATACCTCTCATGAGAGGTTAGAGGACTGGGGCAAGCTTAGTGCCGAAGCGCGCCGCAACGAAGAACAGCGAATCCAGAAGGAGGAGCTCAAGCTCGGTGACGACGAGTACGCCACTGAACTCGACGTGGCCGCTCGCGTCAGGGGGTACTATCTCACAGCCGCGATGCGTTTCATCGACGTGACTGCCATGCAGTTCACATCCGGCCTGTTCCCTGAGCTGATCAGCGATATCGAGATGCACCTCGACCACGAAATGGGCCTGGCCGGCGGTCCGGCGCCGTACGACCCAGATGTGTTTGTGCGCCTCATGGAGGAGGAGCCCAGCACGGCGGCGAAAAGAACAGGCCTCAAGGCGTCTGTGGCGAGATTCAACCGTGCGGTGGAAGAGATTCGGGACCTGAACCAGACTGTTATGCGGGCGTCGGCGAGTGCGCCACCGCACCAGGTGCTGGTCCAGGACCTCGAAATGGAGGACGCAGAGAGCGAGGATTTGTACGATGGTGTGTGATCTTGTGATTTGTTGGCAGTTCTGGAGAGCACGATAAAAAAACGCCCTCTGTCTGACTAGAAACGCGTCCGCTGGAAAACCTTTACTGTCGTATCGGCAGCTGGCCCGTTTATTAGGCGCGTTCCTGTCCATTGAGGGAGAATCATCGGTATAGTCTCGGCCGCGGAACTTTCCATATGTGGATTTCAATACCAAAACCATTCTGTTACTCCCAGGAAAGACTGGTTGCCAAGCTTATTGGTCTGGAAAAAATGATGCCAAGGGTGGCCACGACTCATATACGCATGTATGAAGGAAGTTAATAGGAAAAAGAACGCCACGACGGAATGCGGTATTTTATCAGATCGTAGACTAAGGGCATGAGATGATCTGATAAGATGAGAAGTCATCGAGTACGCCTCTTGCGGCGCGAACCACAAATGCTTGTCAAATATCGTACAAAAACATTGTGTCGACCTCTGCCTTTTCTGGTTCTGCGTGCTTATAGCTTTAAGGCTTATTATGGTATTGCTCTATTCTTCTTCCTTCTAACTCTCCGTTTTAAATATGGGAGAGAACCCAAAGCTTCGAGTTCCCTTAGAGGACGCGGAGAAGACTCCAGGCCATCAAATCCACCAGGTCTCTTCACCAAGTGATCAACCTCTCCACAGCACGGACGACCAAGACGAGACAATACAAGCGATCCCGTGGTCCTACAAATGGATTGCCCTCCTGTGCATCGTCTCCCTACCCATCGGGCACACCTGGACAGGTTCGGCGCTGGGCCCTCTCAAAAACACGCTGCGCAATGAGCTGGGCATCAACAACGCGCAGTTCGGGGTCATCAGCAGCGCCGACGCCTTCGTCAACACCGTCTTCCCCATCATCGGCGGCCTCCTGCTGGACTGGTGGGGGCCCAACCTGGTCACGCTGTGCTGCACTTCTGTCGTGTTGGTCGGCTCTGTCATCTCGGCTGCCGGCGTGCAGGTCGGCCTCTGGAGAGTGCTTGTTGGCGGACATGTGCTGATGGGGTTTGGCATTGCTGTGCTTGACTCCGCGACGCAGAAGGTTGGTTCGATTCATATCTCAGGACTCAAACTGTCTATTCACGGTTGTGGCTCGTATACTCCGATACTTTGACTGACAAAGCCAAGTTCTTTTACCACTGGTTCGGGGCTTCTGGCCTCGCTTTCGCGTTCGGCCTCGAGAGCGCCATATCCAACACGGTCAGTCTCGTCTCAGGTATGGTGGCCATCCCCATCCGCAATGGGACTGGTTGGTACGGCTGGACGTTCTGGATTCCCGTCTTCTTCTGTGGCTTCTCGCTAGCCGTCAACATCGTATACATCCTCTTCGAGCGCCTCGCCATACCGTCCCGCTTCAGGCTCACCTCCGGCCGCGCGCGCGCAATCGCCCAGCAACAACAAGACCTGTCGGAGCGTCGCAGGTTCTCCTGGGCCGTGCTGTTCACCCTTCCGTGGGCGTACCTCATGCTGCCGGCGACGCAGCTGCTACAGAGTGGCGCCGCCGGCGGCTTCAGCACGAGCTCGGCCGACATCATCTTCATGAAGGGCTATACGGAAGAGGTCGCCGGCTACCTGTCGACTGCGCAAAAGATCCTACCCATCGTGTTGAGCCCCGTTGTCGGCCTCGCCATCGACAGGTACGGCCACCGGTTCCACTATGTCGCGACGGCGCCGGTGCTTTGGATCGTTGCGTGCTCGTTGTTGGGATTCACTGACGTAAATCCCACTGCTGCGCTGGTCTTCTCCAGCCTTGCGGGTGTGATTAATTCTATGCCATTGCAGATTTGTATCCCCTTGCTTGTTGCCGACCAAGCCAAAATTGGTACAGCTTTTGGAGTGTGGCGAGCTTTTAACAATTCTGGTTCAACAATTGTGGGTAGAACCTCAGATTTCTTTTGCCTTTCGATGCTTCTCTAGAGACGTATTTGCTGATAAAGTTACAAATTCTTAGATGGATGTTGTCTTCGGTGTACTCCAAGATGAGACTGAAGGGAACGGCTATTCCAATGTGCTGATCGCAGCAATTGCCATTAAGTCATGGGCATTCATCCTTGGGCTGTCATACATCGTCATCGACTACCGCTATCTTGGAAAGGGAATGACTCTTACCCGGAAGCAGAGAGAAGCCAGGGAGGCCCAGATTGTAGACAAGGAGGCGGACCCGCTCACAAGACGGACGTCGAAGCCGTGGTTCACGGCTCTGACTTTCGGCCTGTTGATCGCAATTGTAGCAAGCGCTTGGGCTGTGTTTGTGAGATATCTGATCTGATGAGGGCGGTTTTGCAGCCCGTAAACCCATTATGAAATGAGCAGGACCCAAGGGTGTCTAGATGCGTAATTCAATAGGACATGTGATAGCAATATGGGACGGTTCCTGTCACTGTACAACTGCTGATCGTTGCAGGGTGTATATTCACAACAATTGATGTACCTCGGTATGCCGTGACAAATCCAGCTTCATGTTATTGCCGATCCGGGAAATCCAATTCCAGTACCAGATGATACTTGCGGTCTTTGAGCGATTTTCAGAAGCACCGGTATCATGGTTACTTTCTAGGGTATTGACTATGTTCTCCTTCTCTTACCTTTTCACACACTTACTGGCTTTTCATAGCCACTACTCGATGACAGAGGTCCCCTGGCAAGTTTGGTGGAGTCCTGCCTCAACGCTTCGAATGCGGTATCTTCGGCCTTTTTCAGTGTTTTCCGACCTCGCATGTAGGCCCAGAAGAAGGTTGCGCCGGTTAAGACTGTCAGTCCTACCCAGAATGCCACGAATATGTAAATGTCTTTCGCAACAGCAATACGTCGTTTGCCCTCGACAAAATCGAAGAAGTTCATCCCAAACACCGACTGAACGTGATGAAGTTCAAATGTTAGAGGCAATACACAAATAATCCTTCGAACTTTTGGACACTCACGGTGGCGAAACTGCCTGGCAAGTAGATGGCAGAGACAATAGTGATGACTCGTACGATCTCTCCGCTGTGTGCAGAGTTCTCGGCGATCTGGGTCAGCTTCTTGGTGACGCTGCTCGTTTCCTCCGTGAGTACTTTGAGTTCATGGATAAGTCTGGCTGTCTCCTCTTGGCTATGAATAGTCAAAGTGCAACTTATCTAAGTCAAGTTTAGCTTCAGCAATTTCCACACCTCAGCACTTGACGTATAGTAGACTTACAAGCTCAATTGTGTTATCAATGCGGCCTTTCAGGAGTCTGGAGTTTCTAATACAGCTGTTGACAGTTCCTTCGATAGATGAAAGCGTGTGGGGATCCTTGTTATCCATCTTGGTCTTTCTGCTCTTTTTTATCGACTGGATGACCACAAGATTGCTCGTGCAGTGTCCTGAGGCCAAGTCCACCCGATCTCTCAGCGCCCTGAGCCGGCGCAGCCAGACATAGCTTTGGGCACCAGCCTCCGCGACCTGGGCTACCATAGCTTGATTACTCTATGTATTGAACGATCAGTCTATTGCCCTATATTATTCTCGTTCGATGCTTCGTCAAACCTACCATTTTTGAGAGTTCGTTCCCCCATGACCTCAAGTATGGCTTCCAGTGGTGGACATACATTTGTAATATGAGATCATGGAGGCTCACGGGGTCTTTTGCAATGTCTGCCAAGATGCTGTTCGAGACATGGGAGTTCGTGGAGGCTGGATAGCATCTGCTATATAGTGCACTGGACCTGCTGCAGTGCACCAAAATGTAAAGATCGAAATCTGCCCCGTGCTCGTGGTACACTCCAAGGTGTCTCGAAGACCAACGCTCGCTGACATCCCGATCGTTGGGTTCGATGTAATTCAATTTGTACGATAACGTATCTTGATTTATTCTGTCAGATTCTATCATCACATCCCGTCATATGCACGGCTCAGAGGCCGGCGAATAACTCACATGTGCCGTTCGACCTCTTGCAAAGTAGATCGTTTCCATCACACGCCTCAGCAAAGTGAGGACCATTCCCGAAAGACACCAAAGTTCGGGAGAATCCAGTGCCGACTTTGTATGCTTCGAAAAGTCTTGCAGTCCAGTCGATGCTGATGTCAAGATTGAAAATGGTGCTTTGCCCGCTGATGGAGCTTTTGTGCCGAAATGTCTTTTTAGCAACCTGGCTACAACCAAATCGAGACAGTGTTGTACGTACATGATCCGAGTCCCGCGAATCTTGTTTGATTGCAATAAATTTGAAAAGCTTTCGTTGTTGTCGATCTTCGAGTGTTCAATTTTACCTGGCAAATTGTTTGTTAATCATTAGTTGCTAGGGTAGAGAAAGATGAGTGTGCATGGGGTGGACATTCGGTCTTACCAGCGCTGATATCGGTCACTTGAAAGCACCCGCGCTCCGCGCAGAAAACGTCCTCAGACTCCAAGTTCTGCTCCTGGATCAGCTCTTCAATAACCTGTGTGTTGACTTGACTCATCGCAGCAGCTTCAAACCGCCCATGCAGTATATACCGAGGTAATTGAAGGCCGTCAGAGCAACACAATTACATCAAACCTGAATGCTAAATCATGAACGGACTCTGGCATTTTGAGGGTATTGAGGGCAAAGAGTCCACTCTAGCGTAGGTTACACAATGCTGACCACCCTCATGTTTGCCACCACTTGTGTGCCTAGGGCTCTGCCATCCTGTCAGGCGCTCGGTTCGCCTATCTGCCTTTGTACACATCTGCTCCGCCCGCATCCGCCATCATTCCTTTTCTTCTGCGCCAAGACTCCTATCCTACCCCCTGCAGACCTTCATCCAGGCCTATAGCAGGAGCTGAAAGCCTGCCCGTGATCTTCATTTGTCCTGCCCCGAGCTCGTCAAGTCCGTATCGCCGTTGTGCCTCGTGGCAGACTCCTACTCCGGATGATTTCTCTCGTCATTCTCCTATGCATTGTCTGGTCAGTCCTGCTCCATGTCATCGGATATGAGGTTTTTCTACATGATTTGTTGCTGTGAATGACATGCATCAGTAAATAATACGCTTTTTCCAAAAAGGGAAGTGATGAACGCAACATACATCTGAGAGGTCTCTCGGGCTTTCAAAATGCCAAAGGTCATTGGTATGCTGTTAATTGTGGTCAGCCAGTGAATGAATGCAGGTGAAGGCTGGCATTTCGGTAGAACCTCAATCTGAAAATCATATCCTTCTCCAAATAGACTCCTGAGATACTTGGCCAGGTCACTAGCAGTAACGATGTACCGGCTGGAGTGGCTGGGGACAACAATCTTGACCATCCTGTGCCGTTGGTCGGGAGTTCGATATATGTTTTGTCGGACTTGAATGATTTGGAATCTGAAGATGAGAAACCAGGAGTGCCTGCTTCCACGACGGTGCTGGATTATGCGCGTATATTTATCGCATCGGCTTGCGTATGCCCCATGTGAAGACGTGGTGATCTGGAGTTGCTCATGGATCAAACACTACACTTGGATGCCTGGAAGCTCAACTGGAATCGTGGCTTTGTGCTCCCACGCGTGGTCAGCATACGGTGTGGTCGATTCATCTGATCAATTTGCTGGCTAGGGCGAAACCACATGCACCCCTCATTGCCTGCATACCGGCGCCCTGATATTTCCAGGATCGAGGCATGCGAACTGGCCCCCACGAACCGAGAGACCTTGGAGATTGGCCATTGCTCCTCTGTTGCTGCATGGTGATGTGTTTTCCACCCGGGGCTGATCCTTCAGGCAGCATGATTGGTAGGCTCGGAGTTCGCAAACCTGGCTAGCAGGCTGGCGTTAATTGAAGGATTCTGTTGCTGATAGCTGAGCCATACGAACCTTAGGCCTTTGATGGGCTCGAGGTCACTGCTACCTAGTCGCCTGCAACCTGGTACATAAGAATTGTCTTGGTGCATCACACCACCTACTGCTCGCCTTCTCTATCATCGGCTGCCTAGCACCCTAGGTATGTAGGCGGTCGTCCGCCCATGCTGACCGTCTGCAGAGCCTCAAAATTCCTAGTCCAGCCAATGTCAACGATTCTTCTCCTGCCCACGTTTTGATCGACAGGGTGGTGAGGTTCCCCGCTCTGCGAGCCAAACGATTGGAACAAGCCTCTCACTTCACGCCAGTCCACTCGTTATATTATGCGACATATATTGGTGCGCCAGGGACTCGCCAATAATCGTTCTAAAAGAGCATATCATCTGGGACCCATCTAGATGTCAGTTCTTATGCGAGCTATAAAACCATAAAGCAAGCGCGCTCCAGGCAAGGAAATGGCAAATCTCGAAGATGCGCCGGGAACAGGGCAACTCAGGTCAGAATTTTGTCACCCTCTACTGGATATCATCTGACTGGCGTGCCTTCGAATAGACAGGAGTTGACTGGATTGCAAATCTTGGTAGGTCTGACATCGAGACCACCCTCTGAGATACTAACCATGTCATAGCTTATAGTTCTTAGTGCTCTCATAGGGGCTGGCATTTACATGACCGATGTGGACGCGCTTCAGCTCGTGGGCCCCCTTGGGCTCTTGGTCGCATTCCTGATTCTCAGCGTCATCGCAGCCTGTATTGGTGAAACTGTCAGCCATCTCGTCCAACTTTTCCCAACGCCCAATGCAGTTTTTGAATATGTCTATAACTTTGTTGATCATGAGCTCGGATGGGTCGTTGGCTTTTCGTACTGGTTAGTGGCGTGCCCAAACCTCATTATTCCAATGATATCGCAGCCCTTCGTAAAGCTTAATATGGACATAAATTAACCAATCGAACCATGCGACAGGTATGCCTGGGTTACTACATTTGCTTTGGAAATGCTCACAGCTGCCTCTATCACTGAATATTGGGGCCTTAATCACATTGCAATTGGCGTCATCTTCTATGTTGCAGTCCCGGTGCTCTGCATTGTGATCAATTCGATCAACGTCAAGGTACTTCCGTGCTTCTTCAAGGCCCTTACGTCTGCAATGAAGCTTGGCTGACGGTCACCAAGTATTTTGGCTGGATAGAGACTGCGGGTGGCTTATTGAAAGTGCTGCTCATAATGATCCTGTCAATCGCTTTTTATGCAGTGTCTGGTAAATGTGAGTAATTAACACGAAGAAGGGAAAGGAAAGAAGGGAGATCAAGCAAGGGAATGCTTCCTATTCATCTCCTAATACTTACACACAACAGATGGACTGGGAACCGGAGATAATAGCAGTAAGTGTTCCTCCTAAGCTCATGAGATTTGACTACACTTACACAGTTGATTGTAGCCATTGGCAGAGGTTTCGTACCAAACCCCGACTACACCAACAGTACGGGGACAGCCTTCTGGTTAGTCAGATGCACTTCACTGGGTATATGTCTCTGATAAACTTACCTGAACGCACAGTATGGCACTGCCCCTAGTAGCGTGGAAATTCGGGGGCATTGAGAGCACAACTATGGCTGCTTTCGAAGCAAAGACCGTGGGAGATATAGCATTGGCATCCAGATCTATCCACTGGATCCTCATCGTACTCTATTTCTTCTACACACTCGGTGTAATGTTCACCGTCCCTTGGGATGCTTCAGATCTTACTTCATTTCACCCTTGGGTCAATATCACCAAGGCTGCTAACGACTCCAACAGTCGACTGTTTGGTACTTTCGATAGACTCGACTCATGCAATAAGTCTACGATAGGTGTGGTCAAAGGGGTCTGCAACATTCATAGGCCCCAGGACGGCGGCCCAAACCCAGATGTCAGTGGCCTTGCCAACTTTGTCAATGCTGTCCTCCTATACAGCGTCATTTCTTGTGGCAATGCTGCGCTTTACATGGCGAGCCGTACACTCTACGGTCTTGCATCGAGCGAAAGGGTGAGACGAAAGGGCATCTCGAATCCTGTGATTCGATATCTCGGGTCAACTCGTCCAGGAACAGGAGTGCCCTTCTACGCAGTGGTCTTTTCATGGCTTATCTTTTGCTGGGCACCCTTTCTTGGGTTTGCGAGCGGTGGTGATTGGCCCGCCTTGGCCGACGTGAGTTGTCAGAATCCTCACATACGATAGCTGGCATTTTAATATTGGTGACTGGATTCAACTAATGTGTTGCGTGCTTCAGATGAGACAGTTTCTCTTTTTCACGTCGAGTATGGCCTATATCGTGGTCTGGGCGAGCCTTTGCCTCGCATTTATAAGATTCCGAAGCTGGTAAGTTTGAAGCACCACACTCGGACCGACTGCTGATTCATTGCAGGTGCAATTATTGTGCCAACGGTCTACGAGACCTGGACGGCGACAGCCGTCATCACTACCAAGATTACATTTCCAAAGGCCGTATCGTAACGAAAGGAATTCTCCCTCAGCCCCTAGCTGCTTGGACTGGTCTGGTAGGATGCTTTCTTTTAGTCATTGCTTCGAGCTCAGTCTGGTGGAACATACGACCTCAAAACGGTGACATTGGTGGAATCTCGGACGCCTGGTCAGTTTCAGTGTATTTTCTCGTGAGTGTTTTCCTGTTTCCATTTACACAAATCTTTGGCTGAAATAAGAGTTTCAGGAAGGTTTCCTCCTGGTTCTCTGGGCAATCCTCAAGGTATGGAACGGAAATTGGAACAAGATTTGGTGGGTTCCTAAGGACAGAAACCCTTCGAACCCTGAGATGCTCCGCGATTGTATCGACAACCTGAACTCGGCGTGGAATAAGGCAGCTGAAAGGGAGCAACAAAGAGAAGAGTCACACGAGTTCGTTGCTTGGGGTGCCAACGGTGCACTGAACGGACACGCAGCCCAGCGAATGAGTTCGGCAAGAAGCGATTTGGGCCCAACAGACCGTGGTCCTTAAGGGATAAAGTCCTGCGCGTAGCGCAGTGACTGGGTGCATGCACACGTGTAGGAAGGTTTGCAGACCAGACTTTGGAGACGTGGATGGGTGAGAGCAGTGTTACGAAAAGTGCTGCATCTTTTTTTTGGTACAGTTTAACGGGAAGAATATTAATTCTTCTAGATCGTTCACTTTGCCAACTTTTCGTTAGGATCACATTCCTGACTTCAGGAAGAAGGCTTCATTTGGATAGCTGTTTAATATCCACGCACTACTGGGCTAGAGAAGCTGAGGACGCTGGAAAAATTGTCAGACGACCCTGTAAATGTAGTGAGTCGGTACCTAGCATTAGACAAAACTCCAATATTTGATGGGCAAAAGTGCAGTTGCTGGTCTAGGCTACAAAATGGCCCAGCTGCCTGGTCGCAATCCCAGAGGCATGCGCCGTGTAATTATCAGACTGGTTAGACCGGGAATGACACCCAATCATAGAGGTGGCCAGCAAATGTGGCTTATCTGGCTGCTGACCGCGCAACTGCTGGGCAAATCGAACCAACCAGGCGAAGGGGTAAGCATTGTTATCGAAGTACCATCCTCCCGGTGGCAATGTACATAGACATAGCCTAGGTGCATGGTCATCTGGCATGTCTCAGGGTCACCAATTCGAAGGAGGCTCAATTGGAGCCCTCATCTTCCATCACCTGTCTTTTCCCCACTCAGGCTCCTTCTTCTGTAGGACCTTTGAAACCGCACGCGACCTCACTCGTCTCCAGTGGGTTTACACTACCCTTTTTATGTGAACCAGAGCCGATGCAATTTATGATTAGTCATCATTATTCCAATGAATATGAGGATTAGGTCGTTATGAGATGATTCCAGAAGCCTTGAGGAGGCTTGACTTTATTCTCGCCCGCAAGTAAGTATGAGCACGTCAACAGGTGGACCAGGCCAAAGTTCCATCGATGACAGGGACTTGGAAACACGCATCGAGGACTGTTTGAACAACGTCCTTTCACCCGCTCTTGACAAATGCGCAAGACGCTCGGGTCGGATTGGCGTGGAGGAGAAATCCTTCTTTTGCCGTTCTGATCTGGAGAAACTTTGGAACTCTGAATCAAGGTTGATCGACGTTGTTTTCGGACACTTGAGCAATGGCCAACGGAGAACTCTTCTCAGAGATCTTCTCTTGTTCATCTCTTTCCTAGTCAGCATTGACGTCCGCCCGAGCTTCATTCTCGCTTGTAAAAGCGTGTTCTTCAAGGACCCTGAGTCCACAGCCCTGAAGTTCAAAGATGATGATGGGCCAAGATCACAAGCAGACCTCCATGGGATGGGTCTCACTTTACGGCAAGCAAGATTCTGGAAGGAACAGTACCGCTTCAGACCAGCGAAAATCACTTTTGCCACTGAACGGTGGGAGCCTCAACGAATCGACCCACTTTTTCCCCTCCCGTTTGAGACGGCCGATGATGTTCAGCCAGGTGTCATTATCCATGGTGGATTTGGTGACGACGCAGGTTATGGAGGGGAATACGGGACAGTCCGAGTAGGTTCTCTGGGGAATTTTGAGTACCCACTCAAGAAGTTACTGACCTCTACTAGCTTTACAGGATTCCAAGAGAATATATAGAGAACGAAATAAGGGCATTAGAGACATGGGAACCAGTCAGTCATATATTCGCTCCGGTTGAGCGTCGCCGGATGCTGACTCCTTACTAGACAGGTCCATTGTTGAGAATAGTCAAATCATTCTCGGTAAGACAGTCTCTAATAGAAGAAGCAAAAAATATGGAGCTCCTCAAACAGAGTCTCGTCACACACCTGAACATCTCAATACACGATGCCATCATTGAGCAGAAGCAAGAAGATGATACTGGAATCGTCAGTATTGTGTCTCCGTACGCCAGCCTCGGCGATCTTGCCCAGTTTCTCGCAGGAGGTTATGGTATCATGAGAGGTCACTGGGATCGCATCTACGACATGGATGAAAAATTTCCCCGGGCCACAGATACCCACCAACTACGTATGTGTTTGTTGGGACAATCAAAAAATCTGGCTGAAGCCTTGGAGTTTCTTCACAATGGATTCAAAACCAAGGCAAATGACTGGAAGATCAAATGCGCTCACCTGGACCTCAAGCCATCAAACATCCTGATCTTCGAATCGACTCAGAGAGACGAGGTGGTGGGAAACTGGAAGCTTTGCGATTTCGGAATTTCTGTGTTTGGCGCCGAGCATTTACACGGCTCTCCGACAGCTCAACTTGGCTCAGCTGGAGACTTTTTTATGAAGCTGGAAAGAACCATAAGAACGTCACCAAAAAGAATTCCGGGCGTGTATCAGGCCCCAGAGATCGAACACCCACACCTGACATCAGACGGTAACACCAACCCCGAGCATGGTGCCAGGACCAGCGACATATGGTCATTTGGAGCGATATTCGCAGAGGTCCTGGCTTATGCTCAAGGTGGTGCCTTTGGTGTGAAGAGGTTTGATCAGAAGCGGAGGCGCCGGACGACGATACAAGGTGAACTGGTGCATAACGACTTTTTTTACACAACCTTGCCTGACCATATGAGGAGGTCGTCTTCTACACTCCCATACATTCTGAGACGGGAGGTCTCCTTATGGCTAGAAGAGTTCACTTTTGATCATCAATCTGAATCTGAGCCCTCTGGAGCTTGCCTGAGATGCTGGGCGGAGTGTGTGAAGAACATATTGGAGGTGGATGCTCGCTACAGGCCGAGTGCCACTACACTTTACCAATGGATCGCGGAACTTCGCAGACATGCAAATGACCCTCGTCTCCCGCACGTTAAATTCAGAGGCCATGATCCAAGCCCACTCAGACCCGAACCAGACGATGAAGATTCTGGCAATATCTCAACACCAGCAGAGCCTCCGACGTACACTCCACCAAACACATTAGGAGGAAATCGTATTGCTGAACTGCCATTATCGTCTCGTGATGTGATCGACTACGACTTAGACGGCCACAAGCTGGTTTACTTGACCAAAACGAGCATTGATCTCTTCAACATCGATAGTCCGCGACCTTACCCTGAAGTCGAGCAACTCCAAAACAACCACAACTGGCATGCAATTCAAGTGACAAATCCCTATGTCGTCGTTTGGGGATCCAATGCCTCTAATGAGCCACGGCCATCTGTGAGTTTTTCATTCTGACTTGCAAAATGCACTTTCTGACGCAGCTAGTTACGAGTGTACAACATTTCGAATGGGCTGATATCCCGTGCTCAAAGCTCGGCTAAAGTTATAAACTTCAACGTCACCAGGAGAGTCGCACTATCCAGGCAAGGCTACGTCGCTATAATACACAATGACGAGATACTGATTCTCGATGCTAAGTTTGTCACTCGACACTGAGATGATTATTTGATCCATCTGACCCATTTACAGTGATAAGGCCTTGCCGGTGTTATCCAGAATAGAAATGGTGTGGCAATATCCTGCCGGAAAATTTGTGGACATTGCCTTTGACGATTCGGGCTCAACACTGTACGCTTGGGGTAATCAAGAACTCTATGGAGTCCTTTGCGCATACTCGTTCGAAGGTGCTCATGGCCACGGCAAGGAGGTTTTCCGGGCAAGATACAAGGTACAGCAAGAATTATCTCTTCTCATCCAGGGATCTGTTTGAACTGACATAGGCATAGAATTCATTCGGCGAACACAAAACTCTCATTCTGCCATTTGACAAGCACCGTGAGTGCGTCATTGCAGTTGAACATACACCAAAGAGCTTTTTCCTGGGCAATATTGACCAACACCGTCGGTATAGCTTGACACCCTCCAGGAAGGATTCTTCTTCCACCGGCTCAGAAGGGCTCACCCCTCAAAGAATCTCGGAGCACCCGGACGGGTACCATGCTTGGGCTGCATGCACTGTCGGGGATTCGATGGTCCTCGTGGGAGCCACAAAGAAGAGGCCCTTCTCACATCGAAAAGTCGGAATTTCCGAGCAAATTATTGGCCCAGACGGTAAGCTATGTTTCTCTGCGAAGTCATCAGATCAATACTCGCTAGAGACGAAAACACCATGGTCGGCACTGCACAATCCTGGCCTCAACACGGACGTGAAAGTGGGCACGATTCCCTCAAATGGGGCTGCTGAGGAACACAAAATTGTTGTATATTACAAAAAGGGTATTTTGGAGGTCCTCCCTTTGATCCAGAGCTAGGACGACTGCTGGTACTGGTTTCCTGTAAAATGACAAAATTATGGCTGGCACGCCCCCCAGTCATGTATATATGCAGGTGTGCTCATAGCACTTCACGTAAATTACAATTCAGTATGAAGCTACTAGTGTACCTACACAGCAGATGATGAAAAGCCAAGGTTTGGAACAGCCGGTAGGTCGTCGTTGTAGTATGCGAACCCTTCTAACAACCCATCGCGTTCTGAACCGTGCTGGGAGAGATGCGAAAATAAAGTTCACTACCTCTTTGAAAACTAACATGCACTGCTTCAAAGGACAAATAGTTCTCCCATGAAGATCCATACGGGATCTTGTTGTCCACGAGAGTCCGATGTTCGAGTGATTTAGTGAATGAGCTGGGGCTCATCGCTTCGGGCTCACCGAGTTGCGGTATAAAAGAAGGCATGTTTGAGCTACGAGCTATGCCACTGCAATTCCATTCTTTTCTCGCTCTTGACCATTTTGTTTCTATCTTCTGAAGACTGAAACTCTCCCAATCGTTAACATGAAGTTCTCTTCAGTCTTTGTCGTGCTGATCGCCCCGCTGGCTGCCCATGCTTGGGTTGCCAATAAGTACAATACCTTAGACCAGTGCCACACAGATTGCTCGGGGGCAGTAAGTTGTTCTCTTGTCGCTTAGACACAGGCATGGGAGTGGTACTAGGCGCTGGGTCCTAACAGTCTTAACAGTGCACGTCTGCGGGCGGCAAATTCGAAAGCTGCTCCGGAGGAGTGGACCCTGATTCTCTGTAAGTCTATATTCATATTTGTGTCATGAATACTGAGATACTCTCGACTGATGTGCTTCAAGAGTCTCCTGTAACTGTATATAATTATTTGCAGCATTCATTGAGAAGGTTTACGTCTTACGCTCAAGGGGGAAAAAGCACTATGCTGTTTGGACCAGGCCTTGAGGCCAAGCTATGCAGGAGGGTTTGTGTGGGGGGGGGGGGGGGTAGCACAGGTTCCACCTGTGAACAGCCTCTCATGAGCTACCGTCAATTCAAATACACCTTTTGAACGACTGACTATTTATCGTGAAATGTTTCAAGAAAGGAAACATGCCGGTATATTTGGCTATACCCCAACCTAGGGACAGCAAGTAAGCCTTGCCCCGCCATTCCACATCACCATGTCAGTAGATTTACATCATCCGGATGCATGTTCCTGGGATCCCACTCCACCATTGGCTCCAGGACAATAAATACGTCTATAAAAGTTCAATAAATCTCTCGATGCAAGACCTTATTTACTAAGGGCTCATCAAATACAAGTAACTCTCCTCCCATTACCACCAGAAATGTCTTCCATCACAAATCAGAGCACAAAGAAGTTGGAACAGGGCACCAACCAGGCTCTGCCAAACACAGAGTTCAGCAGCGGAGTCTTTGAGTCAGGCAGTCAACCAAACGAGGTATGAGAAACACAACAGTCTCTCTCATACCTCCCGGGCGATAACTCATCTGTCACATATCAACAGGGCCTCCGAGAATTAAACAAAGAGGTCGAAAACACACCAGTCGCCAGACAGCCCGCTACCGAGTCACATCACTCCGGGGGTGGCAGCATCTGGAGTGATGAGATCAAGGTTTGTGTTTGATATTGAGATTAAACATTGAACTGGTCTAGAATGTTATCGCCGTGCGAGCTTTGCTAACCACCCGAGTTACATTGCAGCCTCACGTCCCCGGAGCATCAACACAAGAGGGCAAGGGTTCTTGAGTAAGAGTGGAATTACGGCACTCAGCCGTAAAGGGGTGGGTTCAGGCTGCATGCTTGAGAGTTATTTGACAAGCATGAGGTCAACGCACTGTAGGACAATACACGTCAGGGATCTAGCGTCTGGTAATTCATGTGAGAGCGAGCATGGCCACAGAGGGGGGCGTAGACAAGGTTCAATAAAACAATTGGGCACCAGTTCGGCCGAAAAGGCACCATGCGTCAGGTGGATTGGATGTTGCCCGCATGAAGCAGGGTCACCGACTACAGTGGAACATTGTAAGGTCTCGTGGGTAGCGTTGACGAGATTGTCTGCTTGAAGCACAACTCCTTGAGGTTCATCTGTAAACAGAACTGGTTTCCGTAAAACAGTCAGCGTGATTCTCAATTTAGCACACATCATTCTCACGTGAACAAGGTGGCTGATGTTACACAGGGTGTTGCTGCAGGAATGATGAAGACATGAGGTGACGGTGAGGTGAAGTTCGGATAGACGGATAACAAAGGTCCCATTATGCTCTTAACCGTTCGATGTAACTCACCTGCATAATACATAGTCTACAGCACCCCTACTGTGGTACAATGGGCCTAGACTCGAAATTAGGCGGATCGGCCAGCGGGTACCAAGCTGAATGACGCACGTGGACTCCTTTCGAAGTTCATCACCACGAGGCAAGGCCAAAAGATGCTACGAACATTGTTCAAAGGAGCTCGAAGACGGTGACTAAGTGTGCTGGCGCCGCGACACCTCGGACAGCCCTCGGATGAAGCCTCGATGTCGTCTCTAGCTCGATTCTGGACGGTATGCATACCACAGCCCCCGGCGTCTCCATGATAGCTTCCAACCGTGGCTGTACAGCTTGGCTAACCTCGTCGCAGCGGTCATACGCACCAGACTATGTCGGCTTCGTGGTCCTGCTCGCCGCATATGCTTTGGTCAGTTTGATACGCACTGCCGAAGTCTACAGGCATATCATTCAATTCATCCTTCCAGCGCTAACGCCCGGGCGCAGATCGTCCTCCTCGTCGAGCCCTTCCACCGCCTATTTTATATCAATGACCTGGCGATTTCCTTCCCGCACGCCGAAGTCGAGCGCGTGCCCGTGACCCTCAACGTAGTCTACGCAGCCGCCGTTCCGCTGGTCCTGATCATCCTCACCAACAGCCTGACGGGCGCCTCGCGGCACAAGCACCACGTCGCGATCCTGGGGCTCGCGATCGGCCTCATCCTCACGAGCTTCCTGACCGACACGGTCAAGAACACGGTGGGCCGCCCGCGGCCCGACCTGGTCGCGCGGTGCAAGCCCGCGCCCGGCACGCCCGAGAACACGCTGGTCGGCGTCGAGGTGTGCACCGAGACGCGCCACCACGTGCTGCACGACGGCTGGCGCAGCTTCCCCAGCGGCCACAGCAGCTTCAGCTTCGCGGGGCTGGGGTACCTGAGCTTGTTCCTGTCCGGGCAGGTGCGGCTGTTTGTAGTTGGCGGCGGCGGCAGGAAAGATGGCAGCTCAGGTCAGGGGGCCAATGGAAGGGCTGGCGTGGACGGTGATGACAGGGCGGTATATGCCAGAGGCGACCTCGCTCGGGCCCTGCTGTGTCTGGCTCCCTTGCTCGGAGCTGCTATGATTGCGATCAGCCGGTGCCAGGACTACCGCCACGATGTTTATGATGTGTGCACGGGTGCGCTGCTGGGCTATGTGGTTGCCTTCTGGAGCTACAGGAGGTACTGGCCACAGCTGACCAGCTGGCATTGCCATGAGCCGTACCCGGGCCCTAGCGACGGTGGAGCAGGTCTACCTCTGTACGGTCGGCTTCGGGACGAGGAAGAGGGCATCGGGGGCGGGAACAATGTAGGCGTGGAACTGGACTCTCTCCCGGCCAGGCACTGAGAACCTACCTGCTGACCTTACATTCTTAATAGCCAAGCTGAATCAACTGGTATACATGTGGGTTTCCATCAAGTCCAAAGGCAACAGAACTCTAATTGCGCTTTTCGCGGGTGCACCAATACTGATGTAAAGTCTGCAAGCTGGCTCTGGGGATGATGTTCTGGTAGGCTCCTGGTGTTGCATCGTTCCGAGTTCATCATGTAGAGCCTGGGTCCAACGCGGTCATCGACGTCTATTGATACACGGGCATTATGTAGAACCATCTCCCAAGTCATCTATGATCATGATGCAGTCATTTCATGCTTCCGTTCACCTGTCATCAGTAGTTTCCTCCTTCGCCAGGTCGTGTTTCTTCAGCAGCGCATCGATCTCATCCGCATCCCACAGCCGGTGGTAGATCTTGCCGTCCTTCGTCTGTCCCACCGTTGCGAACTCGATCTTCTCACTGCTCAGCTTCGTTGAGTCCATCGTCTTGCTCAGCACCTTGACCGCCGTACCGCACGCCTCCTCCAGAGTGCAGTCCTCCTTGTAGTCCTGCTTCAACAAGCTAGACGCACTCGCGTTATTCGCACCTGCGCTCGTGGCCTTCCAACCTCCGTAGTTGCCTGATGGGTTCGACAGGTACAGCTGGAACTGGCGCTGGGGGTCCCAGCCTGCGTAGATGAATGAAACACCAAAGGGCCGTAGTCCACCATGTTGTGTGTAGCCTTGCTTCAGGTCGCAGAGCCGGCGCACAAGTTGCTCGCAGGGGATGTCCTCGTTGTAGGTCAGGAGGTAGCGCTGGGCTGCTTGTCGGGCATAGTTGATAAGGATGTTGGCATCGGCGGTCATTCCTGCGACGGCGCAGATCATGTTGCTGCAAGCGAGAAGATGTCAGCATGCATCGCATCAAGCAGGAGCTGACATAGACAAGCAGAGTAAAGACAACGCACTCATTCAGGATATAGAGCTTCTCAGCAGACGTGTCTTGCTCAAGCAGCTTCGACGTCACCTTGCGCTCAGCGGCCAAGACGATGCCATCCTTGGCCAGGATTCCAATAGCAGTTCCAGCATGGGAGATGGCTTCCAGGGCGTACTCGACCTGATAGAGACGGCCTTCTGGCGAGAAGATGGTTGTCTGGGACGAGTGTCAGCAATAGTCAGTCCAGACGGCTCTCCATATTGGAAGCTTGCACACAGCTGGCTAGGTCCAGCCTCAGGTCCAGGTCCAGCCTCAGCGCAGACTTACTCGGGAATCGTATCTTCGAGACATTGTTGCAAGTACCCGGCCGAACCAGAGTCAGAAACTGTCGAGCAGGAGGAAGAATCTACTGCTTGTCGGGTCTGAGAAAGAGAGTGCTGGTGGGATGGGATGGGATGGTCGGCGTAGAGAGTTGGAGGTTGTTTGGAGAGGCTGCTGGCTCAGTCAGTGACGGCAGGCAACTGGAGCTTGACGACGGTAGGAGCTCCAGGCAAGCGAAGGCACGCGTCAATGGCCAATGCTCAATGCAGCTGCAGTGGCTAAGAGCCCGGGACCCATGTTGATGGAATCCCAAGGTCAATGGGTACTTGACAGGTCGCAGCCTAGGCTAGTCCTGGTTAGTGCGGGGCGAGGTGCCGTCGCCGCCGACGCTTTAGTCAGCTCATTAGGTGAGTCAGACCAATCACGGAGCTGGCTTCTCTTGGCCGTTGGAGATGCCTCTTGCAAGTGCTAGATGAAGTTCCCGCCGACTATTGTTGCTCCCCCTCGCCTCCACTTTTCGCGGCAGTCTCCTCCAACCTCTTCCAGATTTCTTCTACAATTTCCTCGACTCCCTCGCCAGTACGTCGAGATATCCCGCCAGAAACCGTGTCGCATCTGTGTTGCGACCATACCCCGACCTGTCTCGTTCAACTCGCGAGCTTCGTGCCTGTAGCGTCGCGTGCGCCTCGCCTCGGCTCGAGCTTGAACAAACATCCCACTTCGCGACAGCTACGCGCGACACACCCACACCTTGTAGAATTTGTCCACCCTCTCTTCTCCGTCTGCGTAGGCCGATCGACTTTGCCTCATCTAGTAGCCTACCCTGTCAATGACTGTATGACACTGTCCCATCCCACTTGCCGACAGCAACACCATCGGTATCCCACTGCCGTTCAATCACAGCAAGAGCAGCAGTCAGTTGAAAGTGCCCAGTTGGCGGACAGACCAGCTGTAGTGGGAAGAGACCCAACGTCCTACGCATCATCCGCTGCCCATCGGCGACGAAGGCAGCAGCTCCAAGCGCGACCTGCGCGTCTCGACGCCGTACACCAATCAATCACAGCCCAACCACTCGAGCCCTTCACTCCAAAAACACAGCACCATGTCTGAAGCAGAGCCCCGCCGCTCGGTACGGAGTACCAAGGGCCAGCATAAGGCCCTGGATGCCCTCGACCAACCCCTCGAAACCAAGCGCCGCGGCAAGAAGTCATCCAAGAAGCAGTCCGAGCCAGAGCCCGAGACCGAGGAGGACGAGCTCATACGCTGTGTCTGCGGCGCCACCAGCCAGGATGGCTACGCCGAGGACGAGCCATGGATCGGGTGTGAAGGCTGCGGCGTCTGGCAGCACAATGTCTGCGTCGGCATGAGCATATTTGGAGAGGACTTGGAGGACGTGACATATTACTGCGAGCAGTGCAAGCCAGAAGAGCACAAGGACCTCGTCGAGGCCATCGCCCGCGGCGAAAGACCATGGGATGAGAAGCGGCGCCAGTACGAAGAGGAAAAAGCGGCCGAGGAGGACGAGAAGAAGAAGAAAAAGGGCACGAAGAAGGGCAAAAAGCGCCAGAGCGAACTGTCTCAGGATGATCCTAGGTCCTCCCAGAAGTCTGCCATGTCTTCTGCGTCTCCAGCACCCGAGAAGAAGGCTTCCGGTGCAAAGACTGCAGCTGGAAAGCGCAAGGAGCGCCACGACTCGGCCGACACTACGACCACAAAAGTGAGTTCCCTATATTGTTGCCCGTGTACATCTCCATTGTTGACTAACTCAGGATCAGGAGCCGTCGAAGCTGCGCAAGGTCTCCGAGAGCGAGTCCGTGCCTGTTGCTGCCGACTATGAGCCACCGAACGACCTGCCAAACGCGATAGGTGACCTTCCCAGCGGCCGCCAAGGGTCTGCAAAATTACTTCAGAAGGGTCTTGCGCATGCCATCAATGTCTACGAGAAAGAGGGTGGATACAATCCCGCAGATGGCGTCTCGAACGACTCGAGAGCGGAGCGTCTTTCCATTGCCATCGAGAGAGCTGTCCACGATTCTCACCCCAATGTTCAGGAGTACGCGAAGCAGTGCCGGACCTTGTCTGCCAATCTCAAGAGCAACTCGGAGCTTATTGTCAGACTGCTCAATCACACGCTTACTCCGCCGATGTTGGCTGTTATGACATCTGATCAGCTAGCTTCGGACAAACAACAGCAGGAGACCGCTGCGGCTAGGGAACGCAGTATGCGTCAATCGATCATCGCCACCGAGGAAACGCAAACCGGGCCAAGATACAGACGCACGCACAAGGGCGAGGAGCTGATCGAAGGAGATGGTTTTGCTGTGCCCAGTGAGACACCCTCGTTCCCGCAACGCCAGATCAACCGGGAGTCCTCAGCCCAAGCCTCCAAGGCCGGAGCACCGACCCGGACCGCTGGTCCAGGTTCACATGCCCGTACGCCATCTGGGGAGCCCATGAGGATTGACACTCAGCAATCACCCAGCAACCCCAACTTCGACATCAACAAAGTCTTCTCTAGCGTTAAATCCCCAACGGGTTCGCAGCGGCGTCGGCCATCAGCTCCTGCTCCTGTTTCCTCGCAGGGCCCTGGGGACGACCCTGACGTTGATCGACTCCTTCAAGATGACGGGAATGAGTCTCCTCCTTACTCGCCAACCGAAGAAACCGACCCAGATGTCGTGTGGCGTGGAAAGGTGCAAATGACAAACATTGCAAACTTCCAGGCCAAGGCCAAACATGTCGGTGGAGCAGACCTCGCAAAAACCCTGGGTATCTCCTGGAAAACACTGGTCCCTCAGGAGCTCGTCATTGGTGGCCGTCTATCCGTGGGCACTGCGACCGAGTACCTCTGTGGCATGCGGTGGAGCCCTAGTGTGGACGTTGTCGTTGCCAGCTTGACAGCAGCGTATGATGACGGCAAGAAAGATTTCGACAGGATTTACGAGTACTTCGACACTAGACAGAAAATCGCCGTGGTCGGTGACAAGACCCTTGCAAACGTCAAGGACACGTACCTCATCCCAGTGCCAGCGGGCACAGGGAATCACCCCGAGTTCATCTTGAACCTCGAGGACAATTACTTGCCCCAGACTAGGGACGAGAACATGTTACTCTTGGTCATCGTCTTCCGCAATGACAATTCCACAATGACCAAGCTCCATGGCTCAGAGTGGAACAACAAAGCGGTGGCCTCGCCATCAGCGCAGGCCAGTGCGACACCTACACCTGCGCCTTCGAACTTTGCGCACCGGAGCGCGTCGCTGTCTGGCCCAAGCTTCTCCCCAACCACGCCTCATGTCGGCCCCGGAGGCTTCCCGCCGCCGCAACAGCCTCAGCCAACGCCGGGCCGGCCACTGACGCAAGAGGAACTCCAGCAGCAGGGCGAGGCCGTGGCTCGAGATATCCTTGGCGAGCACATATCTTGCTCGACAGTGGCTTTCATCCTGCCTCAAGCCCACGCAATGCAGGCAAGCGAATGGCACATAGTGCGTTCCATTCTTGACAGGGAGCCCCAAGCGCGGGATAACCTCAAGTATCTTGGGGAACTCATCGAAAAGGAGGGTCAGGCGAAGCAGCAACAGCAGCAACAACAGCAGCAGCAGCAACCTCAGCAATCGGCCCCTCCTCAGCCCACCCCACCAGCGCCATTTCCTCAACCGGGACCTCCACACCCAGCTGCGCAACAGCCGTATGTCCAACAGCAAGGAGCTCCACCGCCAGTGGCCCCAAGTGCCTCGCCCAAGGCACCCCAGTCTGCGTCACCCCCTACTGCTACAAGACAGACCCCTATCTCACTGCCGTCGATTCCGGGCATGCCAGCGTCTGTGCACCAATCCTACCAGGCGGCTCAAGCCCAGGCTCGTGGAAGGGTGACCGAGTAGAAATTGTGGACGGATAGAGCTGGCAGCCTGCAGCAAGGACAAGGGCTGGGAATGTGCGGAATCAACATTCAGTGTAGCTAATCCAAAGGACCGACTCGAAGGGTACCCAGTTGATAAACAGGCTTCGTGATGATTGGTACGGATGGTGGAACATACTAATGGAAGGTCGTGGAAGAAATTGTCGAGTGGGCTTTCGTGATACCAATGTTGGAGTTTCTACATGCAATTTTGCCCCGACACCGGGGACAAGGGAAGGGGAAAAGGCGTTGTGCCTGGCCTGTATGCTTTCTTTTTTTTGGACCTCGAACAGGGACCTGTGGCTTTCTTTGCCCGGTCTGTCTGTCATTCTTATTGTATTGTAGGTGTATGCGTGAGAGAAATGGGAAAGTAGTGAAAGGGCAAAAAGGAAATGAGTTTTCTATCTCGATTATTGTCCGTGCAGAAACTTTGGTGAGAAATGAACTGGACAACTACGGGTAGCTACTGCTTACTGCTGGGGTTCAGGTGTGTGATGGCTGCTCTCGTAGCGCGCTTACCATAATTGCCGCCTCTTGTTAAGTCCAATTCATATCGTTTAATTTTTTTGAGCCTTCTCTTTTTAAGTTTTCTTCCCCTACTGCACGATACTGCATTGGTGCCTCTCCCGAGCAACTCTATCTCGACGAGTTTTGCGAAGTTGGTTTGAAGACCCTCGCTCTGCTGAGATGACTCGAAAGATTTGTGCGCCATTTCCCCTCTGTTGTGTTGAATGTTGACTCTCGAATGTGTGGATCTGCCAGTTTCTAGTTTGGATGGAGATACACTGTCCGTGTTGTGAAATAGAGGTTGGTGATCACTCTCAGTAATGGACATCCAGTCAACAAGCAACAGGAGGAGTTGAACATCAGTATTGTGGCAGGAGAACGCATTCGACATCCTCCCTGAAATGACCCGAGTAAATTGGTCTAGTATCCAACCATGTTCCTTTCGTAGATCTGGAATTAGTATGGCCAGCGGGCAGCTTCAAATAATGCTATCCCAGTGAAACATTTGAGAGCAGCGTCCTGCTTCGCTCCGCTCTCACGTCCACTGCCACCACATAATGCAGTGTCTAACTTTCTAAGCCTTGTATTCGACTATGAGAAGTAAGGTCAGAGGCACAAAGCAATAGCTTTCAGGGAAGACAGCAGAGTATCTCGTAGACTGTGGTGCTTCGGAAAATGTACCCGGCAGGCTGTTCATTCAGGGCTACATGATTCTCACATAGAACTCTCTTAGTAAAAGTGCTACTCTGCGCTGTGGAAAGGTCCTGAGCCAGTAGCTGAGTCTGGGTGCTCTGAAATTGTTGACAAGTCCATTCGCAACGGGAACCTTTCAGAGTCTTCTCTGAAGAGACGAAAAGACTTGGAATTTAGGTAATTCGTCTATGACAAGTATTTTCTTTGCTTTGGATAGCGTACTCAGGAAAACGATCGGCAGGTTTATACATACCAATAAAGCTCCGGAACATTGGGTGGTATCCGTCCTCTCGCCCTTGGCCTACTTCATTCCCGTCCTGACCATCTGCTTCACTCAAATGGCCCGAAGAACCTCGCCTTGTTTCAATATTACTAGAGTCTTAGCTTCATTTCAACCCAGAGCACTATATAATATAGAGGTGTATTCAAGTGTGAAAGTATTTATTCAGGTGTTTAGCCAGTCACTCGGTCATTGATATAATTATACCCCTACTCAACCACAGGAATGTCCAAGAGTAGAAAGATAATCCTGTATGATAGTCATGGTCTGATTCCGTCACGAAAGCCATCACGTTACCATCTTACACTTCCCCCCTGCCGCCTTTGCAGTTGACAATGCCCCCTCGAATGTGCCTCGACCACGTAGCAGGTCGTACAAAGTAGTGAATGCCGATCTAGAATGCACTGGCCAATTGAATTGCCTGGGAGCCAATAATTTGCACCCAAGCAAGCGTAGCAGGGCGATGCTGATGTGCGTTTCGTCAAGCGTCAGCAGTACCACATCGGTAACGAGCAGGCTTCAGGAAAATACTGCTGCAAATCGCCACCGTCGCCCGAATAGATTGTGGCTGCTCGTTCAGTCGTTAAATCCTTCATATTTAAAGTCAAAACTGCACACTTTCAATTCTCGTCCTCGGAATAGGCACATCACCCGATAAAACTGATCTATCGGCCGAGCACTCATTTGTCACTTCCTTTGCAACATGGATCCCGCAAGTATTCTTGGCATTATCACAGCGTCCTTTCAGTTTGCCGAGATTGCGTTGAAAACAGTCTCAAAGCTCGTACAAATCTCCCAGGCACTGGAGAACGTGCCGAAGCGTATGAGAGATCAACTGCACGACATCAAGAAATCCATAAATCGCCTCCGAGATTTCAGTACTGAAATGGAAAGAGACCTGATCACTTCATCAATCAGCCCTGACAGGCTCGTCAGCCTCAAATTGGCAGTTGAGGACTGGGTAGCCACCGCTGGCGATTTGGAATCAAGGCTAAGTCATCTCTTGAATCCTCCGACAATGTCAAATAGGCCTAAGTGGAAAGATTTCAAGATAGCATGCAAGTCCCTAAGTCAGTTTGATGACGTCCAATGGAAAATTCAACGTCTCGAAAGCCTCAGTCATCGGGTGTGGGAAGAGCTCCTTCGAACACTTCTCGAGAGTCAACTCCAGGTTCAGGCCCGAATTATCGATGGCGAAGCAAAGATTTCCTCGTGCATACAAGAGGCGTTTCGTAAACTTTGCGATGAACGGACGGACTGCGAACATCGTCTTTCCACCACACTTAGGGAAGAAGGGGCTGTGACACAAGCGGCAATAGGCGACCTTACAACATCAGTGAATGCCAGCTTCAACCAGCTTAATCTGCGGGCAAGCCGTAGTTATGTCCATATGGCGAACAAGATTAACGATCATGTTTCGGAAGAGTTCCGCCTCATGCGTACTTTCATATCCTCCACCCGTCTTGGAAATGACCTCGCATTGATGAATGAGCAGCAGCTCCAACAGAGCCTATTAGGACCGGTTCATGATGGCCTTCTACGCAATAGTCAAGATGACATTGGGTCTCGAGAAACCAGTTGGGTCAAAGAAAATACTAGTGTTGTGAGCCATCAAATGAGTTACCAGGCACATACCGAATCAAATAGATTCCCTCCTGCGTGTTGCTGTCCAAACAGATCTGGGCGTACATGGCGAGTGTCGAAGAATCTTCGTTTGCGATACCGTGTTGTGGTCCATGCCGCCTCATGCCCGCTTGCCCCGACAACCCAACAGCTACGAGCTCTATCAATCCATATTGGACTACCTAGGTTTCTGGGACCCGCTATCGAATTATCATTGACTACTTCGTCGCAAAGAAGCGGGTACACTGTTGCTCAAAGCTTGAGGTACTTTCCGACCGTCAAGCGGCTAAACTCTCCCATCTTCGCCGAATTTGACATGATAAGCGCCTTCTTGAACAAAAGCGCATATACACTGTGGCAGCAGAATGATATTGATGCGTTCCGATCAGTGTTGCGGGATCTGCCGAAAAAGTTGCAAAATATTGCCGCATCAGGTGCAGGCTCGTGCCGTGACAAAGATGAAGTGGGCAACACGTTACTTCTGGTGCGTGTAATACGCGAGTCTGGTGTTTGACCGGGTACTAATCTCTCTCCAGGAAGTGGCTTATTTGATGTTCCGCCTCCAGCACCGCCTCCACGATCTTTCGCCTGAGCTCACCCAGATACTGTGCTTCCTGCGGACAGTGGGACTTGACGCGTCTGGTATGGGAATACTAGTCCGGAGGAGCTTGCCAGGCGAGTCTTTTGACCCGGAAGCTCAGCCAATGGATGGTTACATTCCCGAGATAGTTCTCATTGAGAACTCGAACACATACCGATTCACGCAGGCCACTGCACAGGGCTGGGCTGTGGTACTGGCTCAAGAAACCGAGGACTCTTTTCCACTTCAAAGCTACTTCGAAAGTTTTGATTTAGAGGAGAATTGTTCTGTCGGCCCTCGTTCTCCCTTCATAGTCGCGCCATCAGGCTGTACAAGAGCAAACCAACGTCAGAAAGCCGTTTCGGTATACTGCCATTACACCGACTTGGCTTCAAGTAAGCTAGCCAAAGAACACTTTCCTCAAGATATATTGATCCTCCTGATTGATACCTGAAGTTGCAGACCTAGGCACCCTTGAGGGAGCCGTAGCCCGCCGTGATATCACAGAGCTAAAGCACCTCTTGCAGAATCAAAGCTTCGATCCTTGCAAATACACGGCAAAATTGATACTTTCAGGCCTTGATCTTTCTGTTTTCCAGCTTGCCATGGACTGGCAAGCAGGACTTGAGGTACTCCTCACAAGACTTTCACCCACGAGCGACGACATCGAGTTCGCAATTTACATGGACAAGCCACTTTCCTTGGACAAGCTATGGAATAGGCTGCGCGAGCCTTTGGACTACCCGAGAGTATTCGATATCCTGCTAAGGGCATCGGACGAATGCCAGAAGCGGATTTTGGGCCTCTTCCAAGCATCACGACTATCGCTTCGCCGTCTCGCCATAGCCTACCTGGATGCGCATGACACAGAGGGGCTGTCTTCAGAGTCGAGCTGTATGGCAGGTTGGAAGCACTTTGATATCTGGACAGCACTGCTAAATCAAGGCTGCAGCGTACCCCAAGGCTATAAGCCAATGGGGGAAGACTCCCTCCTTGCGTTCATGTGCATGGACGAGACCGTCTCGAATTACTGTCACGAAGCTGGCCGCACGGATCGCAAATCGAGTCGTTCGGCAAGTGAGCTCCTGCAAGACTTTTATGATCTTGACTTTGTGGAGCTTAATTGCCACCAGGCGCACCGATCCACAATGTTACCTCTTCACCACGTGGGTGATGCGCCTCTTGTCGTGTTCCTGGTCTTTACCAGCTATATATGGGGCGATAGCAATCTTTGGTTCACAAGATTTGCGGATGTTTGCCGTTGGTTCCTCAAAATCGGAGCTTCAGCACAAATGTCCGGCCATTATATTTGGCCAAACATTTTATTCTACTTGTCTCGATTTGTGGGCTTAGACTCCTGGCACTTTAATCATTATCACAATGATTGGGATCATTTCCTAGATCTAACTAAGCACCAAGACCTTTGGGACGCTGCTTTGGCAGTGTTCTTTTGAGCAGAGCGACACCTGTCGATGCTTCTGTAGTGATTCCGGATGTCTTCCATCGAGAACATTCCTGCAGCCTGCAAGGATGAAGTTGGACTGGTCGCGGCGATATCGGTCAATCGTGCCTAGAGCTGTGCTAGACAAGAGACTGCTGTCATGGTTCAGATTGTGTCGACTCCCCAAAGAAAACGAGACAAGGTACGTGAAAGATGCCGTTCGTTTAGAAATATTCAACCGGCTTGGCATGACACACACATGCTGTGAGCTTGTGGAAGACCATGAACTTGGGGAGGACTTTGACCTCGTGGAGCAATTTGAGCTCGAGGATGAGTTTGAGCCTGCGGGCGAATTTGAAGACAGACCCTGGAGATTATCCCCCAATGCTGTTCTGGTCACTTGCAAAAGAGGCAGAGATGCAAATGAGATTCAGATCGAGGAATCAGAGCTGAAACTACACCTAGATCTCATAATGGAAGCGTATGTTTCTTTCAGTGGTGACTTTGAGCACTGGGACGTCGGTCTATCAAAATGGTGGCTGCTGTTGGACAGGGTTCTGCCAGACCTCTCGGGCGTAAGGACACCTCATCCGACGCATTTCGAGACCCCGGATGCATACGAATATGCATTTCATCACATGGAGCAAGATCGGGCGATGAACGAGGCACAGACGCTAAGGTCTAATGGTTATGGGGATATGAACTTCTTCGATGTCATTCGACTGCATTTCGGAAAATACCTGTAGGAATTTGATGAAAAGTTATTTGGGAATTCTCAGATCCGGACAGCAGAAGATGCCTGAGATTCCATTCTTGGGTTTCAGGGTGTGTTGTGGTGAGCCAAACATTCATATAGACGTTTCAAACACAAAGCGCTTGCTGCCTCGCTGCACACAAGTTGATAGGGATTCTTTGCCAGTTCATTAAGTGATTCAACCAGAATATGATAGGGCCTGATTCGCTTGCGTTCACAGAGTGCTTTGCAGCTCTATCTGGCCAAGGCATCGTTGCTTTCTGATGTGCCAGACCCGCAATTTTAGGCATCTTCGGTCAGCAAGCCTTTTCATTGAATGATGGTTGGTGATCCTTGACGCTGGCGAGGGAACAGGTCGATTAATCAACATTTTGCTTGGCTCCATTTGGGTCATTCTGGGCAAATACGTCAGAACCCTGTGGGAAAAATCCGAAAATCATCACTTCCCTTTGCTAAACCCCGTCTCCCCTTCTCTCCATTCGACTTCCTGACTTCTGATGTATTGATTTTAAAACACAGAAACCGCGGTTCTGCTGACGGCATCACTTTATTTCAAAGGCTTGTTCGTTCGGGCATGCTTTTACCCACACCCTTCTTTTTCAACATCATTCTATCATGCACAATCGCGGACTATCTGTTCAGATCTCAGCTGACTCTTTGTGATATTAAGGCTGGAATACTTGACAATTCTTGGTCCTGTACCCTCGAAGCTAATATGGCACCACAAGACGAGCCAGAAGACTCTTTTGTGAAGATCTTTCTTCTTACCCACCTATGTGAAGAGGAGACTGCAGCGTACTTCGGAAGGTTCGAAGATCGTGACGAGGGTGGTCTCGAATGGGTCAAACCGGAGTTTGTTCAGTGGTTTTCGGATCAAGGGGAGGGTACTATCGAGGGAGGTGACTTGCTTCGCTTGTTCAAAAAGACTACTGCCAACCCCGACGAGGCTGAATTTCAGTACTTTGCCGACCGTCAGAGCATTGAAACCGGCACCATCATTCTAGCACACCGCGATGTATACACTATGCTTCATTCCCCCGAGACCGCCCAGGACATTACGGAGCTGGCAGCGGAGAGCGGAATCACGCTGCCAGATAATTGGATCAACATGGAAGGCGCCATCTATAAAATGATGGGCGAGTTGACCGACCGCGGCGTGGCATGGGGCCGCATACCAATCAGCGCATGGAGGTCAAGCTGGTGCAACGCGGATCTCGGCGAGCTGCACGAGCACGAGTTCATAGAGGACTGTGGAGGGAAGAATCAAATATTGAGAGACCCTGAATGGGACGGAGCCAACTTTCTGGAAAAGCTGAAAGAGGAGATTCAGAAGATGAAACGACAAGACGCTTAAGACTTTTATGTGCGAGAAGTGACTCAGTGCACGTCTGACATCTCGAAGGTAGGTGCGCTGGTCCGCAGAAAGTTTCAAGATCAGAAATTATAGTGATGTACAAAGACGAATTTTTTTTGGCCGTAAATTTACCTTCAATGTATCGGATTTGTGACAAGTCTGAAAGTTGTATGAAGTCTCAGCTGAGTTTGGGCAGAGCCGGGTGTGTACAGACTCATTGATGAGCTCAACGAATCACGGTTGGGCTTTCCACCATTTGGCTAGACAATCATATTAGGTGCATGCCTTTGAGAATTCCTGCTATCGAGCCATGCCAAATAAGACTGCTTACTATCTTATCACATATCCAGACAAGTGAGAACTTGTTACATATGGATTCCGAATATCTTGAGAAGCATATCCGACTGCAAATATCAATGCTTCTCTACGAGAAGAGCGTTAACTTTTGAGTCAAGTGCAAATGGTTTGCATGCCTTAATTGCGACCTGATATACAGGAATTTTCACTCTCTTGATGGCCGTGATCAATTTCAGGATGAGGTACTTGGCAGTGTGGTAAGAGCCCTGGAGTACTAAAGAGGACGAAAGGTGCAGGAGTCGCGAGACAGTAGGGTCAAATCAAATCTTGAGAGGTGTCTTTGAGCTTTTCCAAAGCCATTTATAACTGTACTCACTCATGTCAGAAGCGGTAGCTCGGTTCTTCCAGCATTTGCAGCAATACTTTTAATACAGCAGCATGAACGACGGACCCAGCGTTGACGTATCCAACATTGCATGCCGTGCCAGATGACAAGAAGCTAGTCCACTGTGTCTGTTTTCTGTTGCCTGTGACTTGGAATGTTTCGTGATTCAGCCATCGTCGTCTTGGTCCGGCTCTTATATAAATTTGTCCCCTTCAAATCAAACTTTCCCCCGACGCCAACAACACAGCATCTTGAACACGATACCACCGTGAACGGGGCTCGACAGAAATATTGCTCTATCAAAGCAAAAGCCCACCCTCCACCAAGGACTTGCACCCTCGGTCTCGGCAGCAAATTACATCCACCACGAATACCGTCCTTCGTTGGCCGCTGATCCCTCTAGCATCGCCAAAGAATACGAAGCCTCGGCAATTTTCTATCCAAGACGAAGTGGTGTTCCGTTACCAGTGCTACGGGCAGTGAGAATGGATAAGGCCGCCTGTCCATCTGCATCAGAAACATTTCAATCAACTCATTTTCAAAACATGGCCGGTTACGAAATGGATGCGGCGCCGGAGCAACTCTTCATGAACACCTTCATTGACAACTTGCGCAGCGAAAAGACCAGGTTATGGATCAAAACCATAGTACTCTCCTTTCTACTGGGGCTTTTTGCCATTTGTACAGCTGTGTTATCTATCCTGTATGGTATGACGCCCACAGGCCACTGAAACTTTTGGAGTTACTTTTGATGACAAACATTTTAGGAACTCAAACTTGCCCTGCCTCCTCCTCTGGCGTGAAGACAGTGACAGTATCGCCAGAGCCAACAACCGTTCCCAGCACTGTTTGGACATCTGTCACTGTCTTGGAATCTGCTTCAGCCGACCCAGATGGCGATGAGATGGAGACGGACACCTTGACCACGACTGAGTTCCGCACCTTAAGTATAACTTATATGGCAACAACCACCAGGAGGATCATATCCACAACCATGGCCACGGAAACGGCAACAATGATGGCAACAACGATGGCGACGACCACGGCAACGACGACCTCAGTCTCTACTAAAACAGTCACTGCGTCCGGGCCTCCAGGGTAAGTTCGGCCTTTACAACCAGAAAGAAAATGCTCAGAGGATCGAGTATGATAATTGACGAATGCGCTCCAGACACAAAGCATGCGAGTCTGGCCGCACCATGGGTGGACAACGCCTGATCGACGTGGACTCAGACTATTACACAAAGTGGATGAATTTCATCATGCGTAACCAGCCGAACTCAGCGCACAAGGCCGAAGATGACATGGGGTTCAAGAAGCTGGCGATATCATCAATGTGGCGGTGTGGTGACAATGGCTGGATTGCGTTCGAGAATTACTGTGAAAAAGGGTGGACTCTTAGCGACGATGGGAAGTCTGATCGCTGTAACGCCCCGGCACCAAGTGTGTCAAAGTCGGTCTAGATCACAATATCGTCTACAAAGGTAATGTTGGCGACCAGTTGAATATTGAGATATCAAGCCAATGCAGTCAGAATCTTGTCCTTGGCCATACGGTGTGCACAGTACCACCTGGTACCGCTCGTGATGCTCTGGTCTACACAGTATATTGCTGGAGTGAAGAGCGCAGCAAAGCGCAAAAAGGAGCTCTCACCACGCCAGAGCCTAGAAATTTGCTGTGACTGTTCTAGGATACTCCGTGATCCCCTGTCATTCGTGTCTTCTTCGATGAGGAAACACCGCAGTTTTCAATTGGGTGGGCGTAGGAAGTTGGCCAAAGGCTCAGCCGTGGCACTGCCGCCGCCAAGAAGCTGTACTGACAGATGAGGCAGGGTGACACCCCCACAATTGATCCGATGGCACCCATGACGAAACAGGTACCAGGTACGGCGATCCCTAACCTTGGAAGCAGCAGGGCCAGACACTCTCCAGACTGACTGACTGACTTGACTTGACTGCCGCCTTGCTATTTAAACAGGAACACCGACCGCCAATCTTGCCAAGCACAGAACATTCTTCGACCGACAACACCAAGAGAAGACCTATTGCCAGTGATAATCTGACACCATCTTCCAGCCGTGTAAGTCATCGTCCGCGCTCGCTCTGAATCCACTTTCCCCACACACATTGGTCTCAGGGTCGCACGGCCACTGACATCATACCCCTTTTCGCCTATTAGTGACTGACCCCTTAATTCCGACAGTTGACAAACATCACCATCCAAGAATAACCTCAATCACCACCTTACCATCACCGCAAAACAAGATGCCTAACGGACCCGGCGCCGCCTCCATCTCGACCATCGAGAGCATCATCAAGCCCGCCGAGGCCACTGGCGGCAGCGGCAAGACCAAGTGCATCGAGTGCGACGGCTACGAGTGCTGCTGCATCCCAATTCCCTGTGTTGTCATGTAAGAGTACTCGGGGAATACGAGGTGTTATATGTCTTGGGAAGATCTGAAGAGCGTGGGGACAGCAGGACGGGCAGAGGTTGTGACGGCACGTACACGTCTGCCAAAGAGATATTCAGGTGTCCCAAGCAGCAACACCAAGAACCTACGTACCTACTTGTCAATGCTTGAGAGCGAACGATGATGATATCCAGTTTATGAAATTGAATACGAGGGGCCGGCATTAACACACGCAGTTCGGTTGCTCGTGGGTAGCAATACAACATCCTTATTACACAAACCCCCACTTTTGCTACGTGAGGCAGTGCTAAGTGAGCCGAAGGAAGAGCCAGCAATGTAAATCCGTAGGCTTGCTTTCCTGTGCTACAGACATAACCGGGTAGAATCTAGCAGACCAGACTCGTGATACTCCTAATGTGGCGCGAAGCCAGCACCCATCTCCTGCTTGCTTACCCTTGCCACTCACAATCCTGGTCCATCCACAAGTCAGCCGTCGATGTGGAGGAATTTGCCTGCGGGACCCTCAAGGGCGTTCCTGATCTGCCCTATCTAGGCACAGCGGCTTCACCTCCCCACCACGACAGGACGAATATCAAGACCGCGGTCCACGATGCCTTCTCACATAATATGTAAACACCTCACGTTGCGAGTCACACGGTCAAGCCTATTTGGAGCACATTCGTACGTATGAGTGATCATGATGCATCAATTATCTTTCTAGACGTTACCAAACACAAAAAGGAGGAGGCCGACCATACCGACCACGGACCGGGCCGATCAACAATAATAAGCAGCAGCAGCAGCAGCAGCAAAACTAATGGATGATTTCTGACCCTGGGGAAAGAAAAAGAACCAAGTAAAGTGGCAGAGCATGCAACCTGACCAGCCCAGCCCAGACCAGAAACGCCCGTAATGAAATTGTCCGTCCCTCGAGGAAAGAACAAGACACCAACAATCTTGACCGATCTTGAATCGACGAAAGGCCTAGACTCCCGGAAGGTGAATAGTGGGAAGAGTGAAGAGATCAATAAAGCCACGAGAACCGTCCGTCCGTTCGTTCTTGGGGTATGCATGAACAAGACATTGACCTCCCTTCTCCCTCAATGACATGCAGACAACAGCAACAATAAGAACAAAAAGGAACAGAGAGTGAGAGACCAGAACGCATACATATGTACCTTATTTCTCCGGGAACCCCAAGCCTATGGACAGCAAGTATAAAAAAAAAGAACTTTTTGTGTGTTTGGTCAGTGAACCCCGGCCAGTTTTCCGTGTCGTTTGTGTTCATGAACAAATAGTAAATAGTAAAAGGCCCAGCATGCATTCCTTCGCTCCGTGAACAATGAAAATTCCAGGCCATTATGCATTGCGTCAAATTAGACAACCGCTGATGCCTCGGGTTGGGGAGGTGTATCCCCGTCTCTGTTTATGTCTCTACAGCAAGGTGTTATGACAAAGAGTGGGAGGGATCAGACCTCCTCCTCGATCAAGCGCTGCACCTCTGGGCCGTTGAGCAAGATGCGCTTGCCCAACTCCTCTGGCGGCTTGCCGTCGCGGACGGCACCGAAGTCAAGAATCTGTGCACGATCAAAAGTCAGTATAATGGCCAGATTTGTTTAAGTTCGTGAGAGTGTTCTTGAATAAACATACCTCAACATAGGTCAGGTTGTCCCTCTGCACAGCAGCAACACACCGCCGCTCGTCAAACTTGACCTGCCACACGCCTCCCAGGTCGGTGAGGAGGTCCTGGATGTGGTCGCCCGTCTGGACATCCCACATCTTGACCGTCTTCTCGCTGCCCGAGATCACCTTGCGCCCATCATGCTGGAAACACGTGATGGCGCCGGTATGTGCACTCAGCGTGTGCTTGCACTTGCCTGAATCCGGGTTCCAGATGCGCAGTGTGCTGTCGGCGGCAGCCGAGACGAGAAGCTCGTCGCGCAGGTCGAGTAGCCCGACCAACAGGGTGTGGCCCTCGAGGCTGTGCAGGCAGGCGCCTGTATCGAGGTCCCATATCTTGACAAAGGAGTCCATAGATCCTGAGATGCAGCGGTTGCGCTTGTGGTCAAGGACAACACTGTAGACCTTCTGGGTGTGGCCATGAAGGACGTGAAGGGCTTCCCCAGTGCTGATGCGCCATACACGGACGGTAGCATCGTAGCTACCAGAGACGAGGACGTCGCCGTGGGCAGCAATGGAGCGGACCGAGTGCGTGTGGCCGCTCAAGATCCTGACGAAATACGGGCACTCAGCATCATTGGCAGGAGGGCCTGTCTGTATGTATCGACGAGACCCTGCCTCAGGCAGCCTCCATACTCGAAGCTGGCTGTCTCGGGACCCAGTGATGATGAGCGGGTTCGGTGGCATCATCACAGGCTCGCCATCTATACCGACCTTGCCAGTATCAGTGGGCATGAGGATCTGCAGACATCGCACGGTCGAGGTGTGCCCGTAGAAGACCTGCGAACACATGCCCTTCTCAATGTCCCAAACACGAACTGATCGATCGGTGCTGCCGGATACTAGCGTGTTTCCCTCATACTGCAAGGCCCACACACCGCCCTCATGGCCCTCGAGCTTCTTCCGTAGCTTTCCAGTTTTTGTGTCGTAGACGTGGATGAGAGTGTCGTCGCTACCGGTGATGATCTTGTCATCGTCAAACTGCAGACAAGTGATGACGTGGCGGGGATGTGCTGCGAAGGCAACATGTCCAGGCTTGACCTTCCCGCTCGTCCAGCTCTGGCGGATCATGTAGTGACGACGGTATAGTGATTTGAAAAGGTGCAGTCTTCGGAGGCTAGGCAGACCAATCTGGGGATCGGGGACGGATAAAACCGCCTCATTTGCCGCCGAGATGGGGCCCTCGGCCTTGAACTTGGGCGGGGAAAGCGGTGCATCCTCCTTGAGTGACTCCTGCAGACTGACTCGTCGCTTGCTGCGCTCGAGATTGGCGTAATTGTGCACACCCCGCTTCCGCTTCGAGCTACGCAGCTTTGGCATTTCGGGCCTGGGCGACCGCAACTCAGCCTCTGTCGAAGTCAGGCGGTTTTGCAGACTGAGGTCGAGCTCAGCGCCCTCAGCGCCCTCGGGATCCTGCCAGCCCCAGCCCTGGGTGATGGCCTTCCTGAGTTCACCAGGCGAGAGCTGGAACCCGTCCCGGTCAAACAACTCCTTCCACCCAGTCTCGTTGCTGTCGATCATGGTTCGCCAGTGCTTTGAAACCTGTGCCGCGCGGCAGAGATCCCGGTGGTCGAGGAAAGAGAGCACGTGCAGACCAAGCTCGGTAGGCAGCTGCTTCAGGAAATCGCACTTGAGAGCAGGGTTGACAACATCTGCGACCATGTGCAGCGTTTTCCTCGGGCATCTGCGAAGGAACTGGTACATCATGAAAGTCTTCATGTCGTTGGGCATGGAGTCGAAAGATTCGAGCATGGACCGGGTATCTAGGAGGCCGACGGCGCGTTCGAAAGCATGTCGGTCGCGTTGAGTGGGTGAACCATCGACCATCATGTCCAGATCAGTCACGTCCAGGCCTAGTGTAGACTGAGACTCTTGTTCCTGGCTTTCCTCGGGCCATCGTCGCCGGGTAGACCTGGTCAGGCTTCGCGAGAAGCTGGAGCCCTCGTCATCTTCTTCAGGCTCATCCTCCTGAGGATCCGATGTATGCAACTGTGCGGCGGCCAGGGTGGGAGACAATCTAGGACTTGGCAAGCTGGCATCCGGATCTGCGACCGTGATGGACGGCCGGGGTTGTGATATGTCGTCCAGGGACTCAGCGAAGGGCTCGACATCGGCATCAGTGATGGGAGGAGTAGCCACATTGCTGCTGAACACTGTTTGAGATTCACTGCCAGCGGGACTTGCCGCCTCGTAAGCGGCCAGACTTTGGCCAAGGCCAGCAGTTGGGTCGGCGTGCAAGGGCCTCAACCTCTGCGGCACTTCGCTCGCGACGGTGACTTCAGACCTATCCGGGGTGGCAAGATACAATGAAGATGATTGCCGAGTCGTCCTCTCCCGGGCACCATGGGAAACGGCCCTTCGGAGCCTATCAGAGACTGATGAGCTTGCATGGCTGCGGGATGACCTCTGAGAGGACCTGTTTGATGTGTGCTGATTTGTGGCGGCGTGTCGGCGGGATCTGCGAGTATGCGACTCGGTAGAAGGTTTGGAGACTTGAGGTTGTGGTTCAGGCGCAGGCGTGCCACGATCGGAGTTTGACTTGACACTGTCCTCGATTTCGAGGGGTTTGGACTGGACAAATGACTAGTTAGCACAGTGACAGCCCACACAACATCCACAACACGTTTCTCAAAGCTGGACTGACCTGATTGTCTCCCGATGTGAAGGATGGTTCGCTAAAAGACCAAGCAAACTCGTCATCGTTCTCGGATAGATCAAGCGTAAACTTCCTCAGGTCTGGCGGGGTAGGGCCTTGGGCCAGGGGGTACTCCTTGACATCGAGGGTCTCGAGGGGCCTGGGCTGTCGGATGAAAAGAGGGGGGTATGATCTCTTGGTGGTTGTCGTGGTGGTAACGGTCTTGGTCTCGACGCACTGAGCCAACTCGTATTGAAGTTTTGCAGCACGTCCTGATGTATCGCTCTCGCTGTCGTCGAAGCTAACGGTCAGCCTCTGGTTGGCCCTGGGCCTTCGAATCTCGGTAGTCTTCTGGACGGGCGGCGAGCCTTTTGCAGGAGGCACGAGGGTCATCTTGGCGGTCGAGGGACGAAATGATTCGCAACACTGGAGTGCCGTAGGATAGTGATGCAGCGGTCGATGAGGGCGTGTCGAGGTGGGTGGCCGATGTCGAGGATGCACACGGAGGCACGTTCGGCGTCGGTACTCGTACCCGGGACGGACTTCCTGCGATATTTACCCGCGAACCAGGCAGCCAACAACTTGGCCTTGACCCGAGAGACGCGTTCCTGTCCTTTTCACAGCCTCGTGCAGTCGGCTGCAACGCGTTTCCCGTTGGCGGTGGCAGGGGGGGCGTGCCACACCAGGCAGGGTCGGTGGAGTGAGAGACGGAAAGTCCGAGTCAAACGAGGCTCAAGCGCTGCACAACATGTCCTGCTCGTGTTGATGAAAATGTTCTCGGTCGGTCTGTGTCCGGTGTCGAGGTGAGGTGAGGTGAGGATCAGAAGGCGGATGTGGAAGAGGGGATGAGAGATGGTGGGCGTGGCTCGATGTGTCGAAGTTTTGTCAGAAGTAAGATTGAGTAAGACGAGGCACGAGGCACACGAGGCACACGAACACACGCACCCGCTCGGGGAGGGCGCACGGGGCAGGCAAAGGAGGGACGGCGAAGGCGAAGAACGAAGGCGGGCGAAGGAGGAGGCGTCGGTCAACAACGCCAAACCTTAGTTAGGGCGGATTTGGAGTGTACCAGGGGTCATCCGAGGCCTGCCCGTTAGGAGGCTAGACTGGACTGGCAGACTGGCTGGGCTGCTTGGTTACGCTGCACTGCTGCAGGCTGCAGGCTGGCCCGACTAACAGTAATGGTCCGAGTCGAGGATAAAGAGACAGGCCCTATCTGGATTTGGATCTGGATCTGGACCTGGACCTGGAACTTGAAAGGACAAATGCGATGGTCGTCGTGTCTTGTCGTGTCTTGTGGCTTGTGTGCAGTCCAGTGGTGGTTGGACTCGGGAGACGTGAATAGAAGGAGGATTTGGATTGAGATTTGGATTTGAATTGTGCCCGTGGGTTTGTTGTTCCAAGATCCCCCTGCGGTTGGTCGTCTTCCCCCTTTCGAGAGGAGCTGGGTGCCCAGGTGGAGGAGGAAGAGGGGGTCTGTTTTGCCGCGGGTGTTGGGCTCTACCCAGGCACGCAGCACAGTGAGTGAGTGCAGTATGCAGTCTGCAGACTCAGGCTCAGGCTGCAGGCTGCTGGTTGGGGTTCGAGGGGGGACGGGGAACGGGGATAGGATGGGATGTGACGGAGTGTGACGAAGCGAGCCCACTGCAGGCCCTGGTCCATTGCCTGTCTCCAAAAGCACCCAGCACCAGCACTCACTCAGCCAGCATGCAGCGCACCTGGGCAGTTGGCGCAGTGTCGCAGTGGGTGCGGGCGTGCACCGTACTGGCCTGCTGCTTACCAACGAAACGGGTCCCCCAATGTTGGAACCTCCCAAGCAGCCAAGTGGACTGGAAGACCAGGGGGTTCGATCTCGTGGCCGTGGACCGACACCAGCGTCGAGCCGCTAAACGCTAAACCCAACCTGACGGTCTGCAGTCCGTCTCCCGATCTCTCCCCCACCCGCAGCCGCTCATCCCAGCGTTTTGGGTTTTAGGACCGTCAAAGCCTTTCATCGAATCGACAAAGACGCACGGAAGAGTGACGCCACACCCGCCTGCGCACATCGGGTAATGGCACCAAACGAACCTTGGAACATTTGCATTTCTTCCAACAGCAATCCCTGCCTCGAACTGCCCGTGCCCGTGCCGTGCCCCTGACCTAGACTCAGACCCAGATCCAAATTCAGACCCCGTGGGCACTGGGCATAGGCTACAGACCGTCCTTCTTCATTTCCAAGAGTGCCAAAGTCAAAGAGCCCACATCCGCCGCTGACATCGGTTTTGCCTCATCGACAGCCGGTGCAGGTGCCTGTGCCTGGGCTAGCTTGGCTAGGCAAAATCTTACGGCCTAAGCAGTGGCAACAAAGCTGATCATCAGCTTGTCCTCGGGTTCGCACGTTCGGTACCGCTGCCTTGGGAAATCCCGTGTCCAACCAGAATCCTGTCTGTCCGCTCTCGGCCGAGTCCGCCTGCCTGACAACCCTCTTCTCCCGCGCTGAATATACTGAATCTGAATGTCAACTACTATGCACAGCAGAAGCCTTCTTTTTTATCTACTCAGTTGAGTTAGGTAGCTCAATGGGCAGGCAGGGTGGCAGGCAGGCAGACGGCCATGTGAAAGGAGCTGGCTTATCACTGTCGCAGTCGAGTCTCCACAAGATCCCTCACTGATTCTCCCTTCGCACTTAATGTTTCAAACAACCTCTGGAATCTGTGCGTTCTTCAGCTGCGAGATCAGAATAATCCAGCACTCAAAGAATAATGGATTGTGTGGTCTACCTCTGCTGCCATAACAACCCAGTCCCACTTACACACAATAGCCTAGATATATCTATCCATGGTAAAATTCAGGGCAAGGCTTGCCCTCTCACCATCAATTGACACATATCTAACACGTCTCAAATTCTGCTCTCTTCAAATGTTGTCGTGCAAGTATCATGATCGAGTCGGACCTCGAGGGTACAAGATGCTTTCACCTCGAGTTGTCCACAGATGCAGGAGCTATGGCGGTCGCCGTTCTTTCCTAAGTCGACTGCGAAGATGTCAACTAAACTGGGTGTGGCAGCTCCAACCCCCTCAGCCCTCCAACCCTCCTCCATCTCTTCGATCCTCCCTCGACCGTCGTTATTCTTCGACTTTTCTCTTGCAGGCTTGTGAATCCTAGCCCTTTTGATTTCGAGAACACTCCAACATCCCCCTGTCACGGCCTCTCGACCCAGTGCTATGGGACTCGCGGTTTCCCAGCACCCAGTTGCCCTTCCCCGGCTCTGCACCTTGGTCTTGACCTTGAAGTAGGCCCATGATGTTTACAGCAACAAATCGACCACCTGATTTCGACATTGAGCTGGCCAAGATGCTCGTCACGGCCACTGTACGTGCTGCTGCCGCCGATTTTGCATCGCTTCAAAATGCTATGACTGACTGCTCAGCGTCCCTGTAGCTCAGTCTCATCTTCTATGGCAGGCAGGTGCCCACTCTTCCCACCATGCGCAGGTCTTTTTTTGGCTTACAATTCTATGACTTTCCAGAAATGCGTTTTCCGAGGACTCTTTTCGAAAGCTATCAATGCGCGAATTGGAGGATTCCCAGGTCACACACGAGTCCCTTCTCAGATCCGGACGGCCCCTTTCATACAAGGTCCATCCTCTCTCCATTCTCTCCCCGGAGAGTGAGTCACTAGTATACATGAGAAAGAGCAACAACCCTCGTCTAAATGCCTTCCTCGCTGATCTGGTCTGTCAAAGCCCAGCTTAAAAAAAATGTTGGCACTGCAAATACTGACAAGGCCTAGGATGAAATCTTCGAGGCTCTCAAGTCTCAACGAGTGGGCAAAATCTTCATCTGCTTCAACGAATCGAAGAATTGGAATATGAACGGCCTTCTCGAATGCTATACTCTCAAGTTCAGCTACACTGAGCTTGGTAGTTTCCACATTTATATCGACCGGACTGGGATGATTGACGATCCCCTGAAAGAAAAGGTCTCGCCGGACGCCTTCAAATCTCTGAAACAAATAATCAATGGCTGCCCACAGCTTCCGGATGTCTTTTACACGCACATGTTTGTTTCCCCGGTCGACAGCAAGACCAAGCTTGATGGTGCTTGGGGTAGCAATGGTCATGGCGTCAGAGAAGCAGTATTGCATCTCAAAGAAAGGAAAGGATCGGACAGTAGTCGTATTGGAAAGTTCAACTCAGAGCCCCCATCGGAAGTGGCCGTCGAAGAAGCCCACGATGCACACAGTGGGATGCTTCCGGCGCACCCACCGCATATGACAAGCGATGGATTATCACAAGCGCGTTATATCGATCGCGCTGGCACACAGGCTCAAGTCGCGTATGCGAATCACTCATCCAGCTCGACCTATGCAGAACCGATCTTAGCCGCATCGCCAGCCAGCTCGGGATCTGAGACAGGTGTCAATGGGGAGCAGAGAAAGCCGCAGAAGTCCCTCGAGCCTCGCACCCACCAGCAAGACACTACTTGGGCTGCCTTGTATCATGACCCAAGGTTCTACTCATACGATGGACAATCTGCGGATGGTAATCATGGTGGAGATGAAAAGGCGCACCCTAGCCTGTCTTTCACATCTACGCCGGTAGACCAATCCCTCCGCAGGAGCTCGAGGAAACGCTCGGCACCACAGGACCGCTCTGCGTCTGTCATCCAGCAACAGGGAGAAAAGACAAAAATTATACCCAAGCTTGATTCCCGACTTACCGTGATTGACGAGGTCGCAGAGGATCTGCCTCCTACACAGCGTCTGGACACCCCAAGCCAAAGCCGGCAAAATCGGGGACCTGGATGTGTGCAACCTATGTTTCTCTCCTCCGACTCTGGAAGATCCGTTTCACCTCCAGCAAAACGCAAACAACCAACAAAATCGATGATGAGCATTGCAAAAAGGCTGAATCAGAGACATTCGTACACAAACCCGATGTTTCTTTCTTCTGACTCTGAAAAGTCTCATTCACCTCCAGCGGAACGCAAACAGACCGCGAAACAGACAGGAAATGCACAGCAGCAACCAGAAGATGTTCTCCAGCTGGTGAGCAGCCTAGGATCACCTCGAATATCGAATCAATCCTGCCTACACGGTGTCCCGTCGGGCCCATAGTCACTACCGACTATGGAGCTGTTTATCAGTGTCGCGTCCTTCCTTGAAAAGGATACATTGTCACACAGTGGGGGGAAAGAGGCTAGTGACGTGGCTTTGAGACTCGATAAACTTTGGCTTAACACTACATGCTACTAAATGTCAAGACTGGTGTGAAATATACCCAAAGAGGGATGTGCAATCGGTTGCGAGGTGTGGTCACTGATTCTGTAAGTCAGCAGCTGTCCTATCTGCGGAAAGCCCTATCTACTCAGGCGATGAGGATGAGACTTTAATACTAGACCACCTTTTGTCACAGTACCGTCAAATGATCTAGATTGAAGATCAAATATTTTGCAGGGTCAATTGCTATGGTGAACGAACCACTTCTGCAGCTCTCGAGACTTTTGTAGCTGAATCAATTGATTTTGACAATTATTAAAAACTCTTTTACACATCATAGTTACATATATGGTTGGCGCCAGAAATGGAGCAAAAGGCTCGGTGAAGCCTACGGCGAAACCCTCCCCAAGGCGATGAAAAAGAAAACTAACACCAGTACTCCAAGACCCCTTCCCTTGATCCTGCCTCTGTCGAGAATAAAAGATTGACGTTCTCCATAGACTAACCAACACCCTCGACCTATTCTACATCGACGTCATTGTCACCCTCATCATTATTCACCGTCGCCGCCATACCCAGGGCGCCTTGTCACGGTGGGCTCGGGCTCAGGCTCGGTCAACGCCGCCGTGGTGCGAATGGTGACAGTAGTCAGGGTGGGAAGGATGATGGGAATCTCAGTCGGGGTGAGGAGCGGGTCGGTGATGATCTCCGGGATTGTTGTTGGGAGAGCGGCCGTCGGGATAGGCTCCCTAGTGGACAGCGAGAAGACCTCGCTCGTCTCGCTCTCGGTGGCGACGGCGGCCGAGGAGCTGGGGCTCTCCAGGGTCAGCGTCACCGTGTCGATGACGGTCTCGGTCACCTGCCCGCACGTCGGCATGGTTGGTGTCTCCGTGGGGGTGCCTGGCGTCTCTGTGGAATTGCCTGGTGTCTCTGTGGGGATGCTTGGTGTCTCTGTGGGGATGCTTGGTGTCTCTGGGTTGACTGGCGTGCTGCTGGCGCCTGGGGGGACCCCGGTCGTGGTCTCGTTGCCGTAGTGGGTGCCTGGGGGGGTCGTGACGACGGGTAGTGGAGACGGAGCTGATGGGGACGCGGAGGCCGGCGGCGCAGACGTGTCTGATGGGGGTGGACCAGATGGCACAGGACCGGATGGTGTAGGACCAGACGGCTCTGGACCGGATGGCTCAGGACCAGACGGCGTAGGTCCAGATGGCTCAGGAACAGATGACACAGGCACAGACGGCTCCGGAGTCGGTTCTCCGCTTCCTGGAGTAGATTGCGGCACACCGGGCTGGGTCTGGGTGACAGTGATCGTGGTCCCGGGGACGGTGATGGTTGAGCCTGGGACGGTGACGGTTGAGCCTGGGACGGTAACAGTGCTCCCAGGGACGGTGACAGTGCTCCCAGGGACGGTCACAGTTGTCCCTGGAATGGTGACAGTGCTACCTGGAACCGTGACAGTTGAGCCGGGATTCGTCACAGTCTCGGTGACCGTCAAGACGGTGCTGCTATCCCCATTGCCTTCATTTATGGTTATGGATCCGCCAGGGTTCGAGGGGAAAACTGTGGTGATGCTTCCAGTAGGTGTAGGAAGGAGCACAGTAGAGGTATACTCTGTGACAGTAACTGGGGGCGGAAGCACAGTAGTAGAATAACCCGTGACAGTGACTTGGGGCGGACACTCGTAAGTTATTGCGCGAGCGGCGTGGCCGTTGGAGTGAGCGTCGTTGTTTCTGTTGTGCTCAGCTCGTTGGAAGCGCCCGAAGGCTTGGGCCTGGGAGGCAAGCAGGACGACAGCGAAGGCGAGAAGGCCACTTGCTTTTGTGTGGGCCATTTTGGATATAGAGCGAAGGAGTCCTGCTAAAGAATGAAGATGAAGGCGCTGTTGCTGATGAGCATATCACAGGCTGGACGGATCAGTCGAGAACTTGACCCTCTTTATACATCACATTATTTGCATTCAGATATCTCAATCCCAACTCCACTCCTGGTAGGAGCATCGTGAAGGGAGGCAGATAGATTGCTACTATCGACCACGGCAGCGTTGTGTATCACGGCCGAACCCAACTACATCCGTCTCAACATGAGGCTTCTCGGTGTGTTCATTGTGAGGCCCAGGTGTGAAGGGATGTGGATAAACTGCTACTATTGATACAAGAAACCGAGTATATCACGGGAACTCGACCATAAACGGCCCGGCAAGAGAGTCAAGCGAGCGGGCGGCCCGTTGCGAAGGGATATAAATGACTACCTCCGAAGATAGATCCATGGACAAAACCGGGTTATTGACGAGCTGGTGTTGATTCGGGGTCGAGGGATGGAGCGCACGTCCGGCACCGCCTGCGAAATGGTTGTGAGAGATATAATACCGTGCCCCTCCCTACCTATGTAGATGGTGTTTGTCTGTTGTTGACTCGGTTGAGAAGTCTCTCGTCGGCCTGTCCAAGGGATGGATGCAAAAGCATCAAGGATTCAGGGGTAAGTAGTGTGGTAGTGTCAGTGTCAGGCTCAGGCTCAGGCCTTCACTTAGACAGGCACTGACAGGCCGACAGCTTGGGTGCTGTGGTTGCATTTGGCTGGTTAGTCAGCGGGTCTGTGCCGGTGGATCTACCTCGGTACCAAAGTACCTAGGTACACAGTTGGGGGCCCTGCCTCAGCCTGCCTTTGCCTGCCTGCCTGCCTGCCGGGGGAACGCGAGATGATGGGAAAGTGCAATTTCGCATTGATCCAAGATCGCATCGCATCGCACCATATCACAACAGCAGCGCGCCTGCAACGTCGGCACGGCACATTGTTTGCATGGACGCGATCCTATCATGAAGACTCATTCTCCTTCCTATTCGCTCTTTATGCAACATTTCACCCATTCCCTGTAAAGGGACCTAGAGAGAGGAGAGACACTTCAACCTTGCTGCGCCCGACTTTGCTTTTCTCAACAGTCTTCTCTACTGCTTCTCCTTTGTCGCGCTCATCATGGGCAACTGTGCATCATGCCTAGGCCAACGCCGACGGGACTCTGTCGTGGAGGTAAGAGAGACCCCTTTCCTTCCTTGCCGCTGCCCTGAAGTCCTTGTTTACCCGTGCTGACATGCCGGGCCGATGGCCAGGACGAGGAATCGCGCCTCCTCTTCGATGACCCGAACGGTATCCACTACGGCAGCTTTGGCGAACAGCAGATGACGAGTCAGAACGATCCCATGGAGGCTCAACGAGAGATCGAGGCTCTTCAGCGGGTCGTTGCCCGAACCTCCGAGTGCGTTCCCCCTCCGCCCCCGGACAAGAGTCCAACATGTGCGCCTGAAACAGCAGCAACTGACCCCGTGGTGGTGCAGCAACATGGTGGATATCTTTGAAATCGCGCCCCCGAAAGACGCACAACACAGGGCACCGCCCACCCCATACGGCCTTGTGGGTCAGGAGGCACGTCACATGCGGTATCAGTCTCTGCTGAGCAAGCTCAGCGCGGATGAGGAGGACTCGGCTGCCGGAACCAGGGTCGACTGGACCCCAGAGGAGGAGGAGGGTGACGATGAGGACGCCGCAGGACTGCAGAAGGGAGTTCCACAGATCAAGACCGAGCCCAGCGACGCCCTGGTCGGCAACTTTCGAGAAGCTGCAGCGGCGATGGCATGATGCACGAAGCAGGGACAGGGGCTTCACGCAGACCGGGATTTGGACGACACATCACATCACAATCTTCTAGCCTTTCCTTATTTCAACTTCATGGCACTGACGAGCATGCGCCCAATGTCATGTGGCTGCCACCTGCAGCTGGGTAAAGTGTCGGTCACCGATGCTCGTCTTGCCCATATTATCACACCTCCTATGATGACACACAGGACCCGAGGCAACGGGAGACCCACCGTGTCGGGCAGGGTGCTGTGCCACAGTACCAACTCGGGGAGCCGCACTCCGCCGTGGGCGACGGCACATCTGTATTCTTACACAGTCAAATACCAACAAGCTTTTCTTCTTTTTTGTCCACCCCTCACCGGTCTTTCCCTCCCCCCCTCGACAGCTGCGAAGTATACTGAGCTTGGATCTCCTCTTTTCAGACCCGGCCACCAATCATCGAAACCCTCATGGAGAAATTTCCGAGGGCCGCAGCCAGGTCAGGCCCATTGAGCAGCAGCCACGTACGAACTCTCCCTGATGTTGCTTTGAGGTGGAGACTAGCATCGGCCGTCGCACGATTAGCTTCAAGTCAGCTGCGTTTCGTCAGAATTTTCTTGCAGTGACTTCTCCGGCTTCGGTGCATGTTTCGCCCGGCACAAGTCTGGGGCCGCCATTGCGACGCTGGAGATCCAGGGCCCTGTTTTGAGTTCCGGCGAAGATCAGGCTAATGCGGGAGCAAAAACCCGAATCCCAGTTGATTGGCATCGTCCGAATAATTGCGGCCTGCCTCCGGAGGCTCTGCCAGACGAAGAACAGCGCCACTGTGGGGGACAGGAACCCTCGCGGCGCCGCTTCGAAAGACACCGACGAACTATTGATCAAGGGACTCGTGCTACTAGACCGACCAGTGATCAGCTCGGCCAACCACCCCAAAATCTCTCCTGCACATTCAGCCTAGGCTCAACGCCCGCTACTAGCTCTGCAGGACGCGGCATGGTCGCATCGTTTGCACGCGGCGCCTTGAACGTGGAGCAGGGCGATGGGTCAGCAAACTCGGGGCTTAATGTCGACACCATAGACTAGTCTTCCTGGCTCCGAACAACTGTTCTCTGGGGCAGACAGGGGCCTTCGGCGGGATTCGCCGGTACTGTTCTGCCCGGTGTTTGGCTTTGCTACCAACCATGTCGTCACTAGACAGGATTCAATGTCGCTGGTGTATGGTATGGCATGGACGTCCGTTCTGTTGTCCCGCAGATGTACTCCTCCATGGTGCCACTCAACTCCCCCTCACCTCTTGTCTTGACCCCATTCGCCGGTCCGAGAGTCCATTTCGTACGGCTTACATGCTCATAGGGACGCTTCCTGCCCCGACGAGCCTGTCAGAACCTTGTACGGGGCCACTATGATGCAAGTCAACGTGGGGGAAGAGGCCCCGTCGACTCGGCTCGCACGCATCATAGTTTCCACGCATGACCCGGCACCTTGAGACTGCATGTGCTCGCTCGTCAACCGTCTGTTGGGATGCGATTCGCAGATTCCCGCAGAAGGCCTTTGCTCTCGGACTCCACCTAGCCTGCCATCAGTCACTGAATCGATATGGTGGCACTTGGGTTCTAACACGGCTCAGGTGAGCTTTCGGAAATTGAATTTTGTTTGCAATTAGTGATGGAGATCTGTACACTTCCCAAACTTAGCCCTATCCACTGCCCCTATTCCAGCCCATGCTCAGAGGCGTGTCCAGCAGCTTGCGACAAAAACCCGCCCCAAATTGACCAATCCTACACTGATATGGCTCCCTTACAGTTTTGCCCTTCCCTCTCTGTCTTAATATCTACAGGTTGTTGCTTCTTCCAGCTAGCTTCTAGACCTCCAATTGCCTGTCGTCCTTGTCGACGGAGCGTTTTCCACCGGCGGCCGCCCCCTCCTCCTATGTGACAGTTCTAAGTCTATCATCATGCTCAATCCATAGTTTCTCTATCGCTTTTCTGACCTCTTCCATGTCGATCTCTGTTTTCTCGATGGTAGCCCGGCGATTACCCTCTCTCCTCCAACGCTCCACGTCCTGAGCCATCTTGTTGTAGCGTCGCTGTTTCTTATCTGACTGGTCGCATAACTTGCAGTTTCCAGGCAAGTAGTTCGTTTCGTAGACCAGCTTTAAGCCACAGGTCTCGCCGGTTCGGTACTCTTTGTTACATTGTTGTCTAAAATTTCCCCATTTCCAAAACCCGCATTGCCAGCGCGATTGCTCGAAATAACACATGACCGAGCAGGGGTGGTAGACCGACGGCTTCTTTATTGATGAGGCGCGTTACCCAAGACTAGCGAGATGCGTTAGCCCACATATTCTCTCTTCCTTGCTCAACGACAGGGCTGCAATTTTGTTCTCTGAAGTACACGGGATATACCAGGACGGGGTTGACCCACTGAAGGTGTGACAGGCTTAAAATATCTTCGAAACCGACGTGATATGTGACCTTGAGATGTAGACTTGCTGACTTTGGGGTCTTCTAGACTTCCCCTGAAACAATTGGTGCAAATCGGTATGGACTTTTGCGACTTTGAAGCAGGCAGACACCTGATACGATTGAACCAAGAAGACGTCGAGCAGGCATCATACTTATACCGTGATGGTTGGCCCTGTCTGGCTGGTCTGGGAAGGTGGACCGGAGCCATTGCCAACGCACCACCATCTGCAGCATCTCTGTTGACGAGGCTTGCTTCTAAGGGGACACAGCAACTTGTCTGCAAGCCCCAATCTGCAACCGGTCAAAACCCACAATCAATGGACAGAATGCCCAACTGGTACATGGAAATGTCCGAACCATCTCGAGTAGGTACCTTTTCACGACCCCAAACGGGCCCCGGTTTTTGCTTCGGACACATGCCATTACCGGGTTGCAGACCCCTGGCATGTATTCTTTTTTTCATTCATCCAGACGCATGCTTCCCAACGTCGGCCTCGTGCCCTGGGCACAGTCTGGTGGAGCCACGTTGTTTATGTATGATCATATTACCTCTGTTCAGTCTAAATTCACGCTCGCCACCGCCATGGGCATGTCCATGGCCGCTACATTACTTCCTCTTCGGCACGTTCGAGGTTATATTACCCCCATGCGGAGGATGCGCATGCATGTCACGCCGGTTCGTCTTGTGAAACGGCAATGCCTGCTCGTCCATGGAATGGCCACCCAGCCGGAAAGGTCCGAATAGGGTATGGGCCTGTTGACGGCCACGGTGCCCACACTGCCTCTTCTGGTCGTCAGCACCCTAATCCTCAGGATTTCTCGCTCACTACCTCGTGCAGATCACCATGTCAGTACCCCACCCTGTTAAGCAACCAAGACCGAGTAGAGCCCGGCCCACCAAAGTACATCACCATGACCCTTGCCAACATCCTCCTGGTCTCACGGTTCCATCCCGCCGCCACATGAACTGCCAAGTGAATGGCAACCTGCCTGCTCGTTGTATTTCCTATGCGGCCGTCACCCAAGCTGAACAGTTCGTACCACATGGCACGACTGGGCAGGTCGGATGCCTTCAGGCTAGGCCCGCCCCGCCCACCAGGGGCAAGGACCGGGAAGTCAAACATGCAGCATGATAAGGTCAGTGACATACTACAGTACACAGACTCCTAGCCCTATAGGGAGTGTGGTCCAGCACCCTTGAAGCTTTTGCGGATGTCTCACACACTCCTCGTAAGGCTGAACTACTGGCTTCATCCGTGTCGAAAGGCTGTCTTCAACGCTCCCGCCAGTACACTTACACTCAACCACAACATTATCTTCTGAGGTTGAGCACTTCTCGACCAGATCCCGACTTCATATGGAGGCACAGGAGATCTGTCACTTGCATGGCAAGTAGGAGTAATGCCATTCGGCAGGTAAATCAGCCCGGGCCCATCAGCGTCCACTGTATCCCGATTGGGGGCTCGTCCAGCAGGCCCGTCTCGCCTACGACTTGGTGGCCTAGACACTGCACGGTACCGCATTAGCAGAGACAGACTTCCCTCAACCGCGGGCGGTCGAGCTGTGAGGAGCATCCACTTCCTTGGGTGTGTTAGCTGTCTACCTGGCCAACCGAGCCGGCCACAATAAGCGAATGGGGGAAGCAGCCGTGAGACAACACATCTTGCATCTCACAAGAGTCACAGTACCAGATGATCCAGCAAGCCGGCCCACCTCCATGATGCGGAGCCACCAGCCTCTGCCGTGCCCGGCAGGCCTATGGGCGAGTGAGGATCAGGGCAGGAGACGAGGCGAGCGGCAGCGGTAACAATGGCACTGTAGACGCATTAGGTTCTGACTTTACCCAAGGTAGGCTTCGACTTGCCTGAAGAGGTTGGGTCCGCCGTTGCCACATGTGGCCATCGTCGCTCTATTGTGCTGACTGCCTGGGATCAATTGCGCTACGGTGGCCGTTGTGGCATCCACACCCACTAGCCGATGGGGATATAGCACCAGCCGCCGACGACTCCTTCTGCCACCATTCCACCACCGTGTACAGTTTTTGTGGAAGATGGGACGACATGTAGCGTGGAATCAGTATTAGAGTGCTGACTGCCATGCCAGGGGGGGAGGCCTTCCTCAAAGGGAAAAGGAGGGTAGCTCAAGCGGAACAGGCCGTCGACGTGGCCGTGACTGACTTGCCCAGAGGCCAGATCAACCATGCAAGGTACTCTACCGCGCATACCCAGGTGTGCCCCGACAAGAGGCTACCGGCACAGGGATCAAGGCAGCGGCGGGAGCAGGGCCACGGCGATCGGATGTCAGCGACAAGAACGACAAGAATTCCTCAACGGGCAGAAGGGCTCCCGCGAGCGCCGCTCCCACGCTGATCGCGGCTTTTTGGACATTTTCCGCCGCGTAAAGCGCCCCAGACGCGATCACGACGTGACTCCGTGGCCGTGGTGGCCAGATCAGCGGCCGTCCGCGCCAGGGGTGGGTATAAATGGTGCTGTCGCTGGCTGCAGGACTTGGGCCGCCTTGGTGGCCGCCCCGTGAGGTAACCTGTCAGGGGCC